TTCATCTTGCTGAGACAATAGGTACTAGTGCAAGTCATTTCACAATCCAACTCAAGATGCTGCAACGCTCATTTGAGAGGGATTCCATGCGACGAGTGTTGACGCTCACCCAGAAATGCATTCAGTCCCCGGTGTGGAACCAGGGGTACCAGTTGATCTCAGATACTTACTCACGAGAGGAGGTGCCTAGACCTGCCTACTCAGTGCTCACCTGAACAGCACCCAGCTAAGCGAACCGGACATGAAATCCCCAATTTCGCCTCTGATCCCGACTCAGACCAACCACGCAACGCTCCTTTCGGAGTCCCCCGAGCGACACGCTCCGGGGGTACGGCGCGCATCAGACTAGTTGATGGATCCTTTCGCGAGAATGGAAGGATGAAAACCAGGGTTCGGAGACTTTCCCACAACGCGACCTCACAGTCAGCACCAGAGATTCTGATGCAGCTGCAGCGCCGCGCCACCAACTGCCAACCCCGCGCCACCGAAAGATCCATACGTCGCTGAAATGACACACACACATTTGTCTCTAGTCAAGGATGCACAACCCAGTGCTTCTCGAAGCATCATAGCAGAAAGCGGGACAGTCAATAGCAATGATTATGTAGGATGCAATGCGCAGATTCTTAAGTGTACATTGGGGTGATTGAAATGCGGGATACAACAACGAAAGCAATGAGTACAGCGATAGAGGGTGGTAGGTGGGTAGTCGCAGCGGGAAGGCCTGAGATACAAGATAAAAAATCCAGAGGTACCATAAATAGACCATAAGGAACGGGAATGGAAGGAAGAAGGTGGTCGGCTCATGACGGGTCCAAGAGATACTCCGACCCAGGGTACATCACGGGCGCCCCATCCTCCCCCTCTGGGAGAGCACCAGTAGCGAAATCCCAGCCGGCAGTGATACCGGGAACTTTGTCCAGGTCAAAATCGCACGCGCCAAACACTGGCTGCGTAGTTGAGAACGGGAACGGGGACTGACCTGCCCAGGGCGAGGACGACTCCCAGGCAGAGGTGTAGTCGCCGCACGACGACGGCAGCGGATCGAAGCATGCGGCCAGAGTATTGTGAGGCTCGACGTAGCTGGCGAAAGGCTCCGGGGCGGGGTTGACGAAGATCGAGCGCAAGAAGTCAGACGACTGCACAGAGAGACACAGCATGTCAGCGGACAGCCCGAGGGATGGCACAGATAGGGGACGCACTTGCAGACTGTCGGAGAACTGGGCACTGACGACCTGCGGCTGGAAGTCCCACTGCGCACATGAATCTTGTAGGGCGAGCGTCGCGTTGCATGCAAGCATCGGGACAAGCGAGGTAGGCGACATCGATTGCTGTTGCTGGGGTGTGATAGGCTCGAGGAGCAGATCGAGCGGGGAACATGGCGCGGAGGTAAGAGACGTGGGGACGGGGCTGGCAAAGATGTTCGGCACCTCCACCGTCATATACGGCGCACCATGCTGCTGCTGGTGTTGCTCCTGGGCTGGAGATATTGACGGTACGACGAACTCGAGCACTTGGGGTTTCTCCGCGTCTCTTCGTTGATGCTGCTTCCTCCCACCGGCACCACCACTCCTCGCGCCGCCCTCGTCCCTCGCTCGATTCGAATTTGGTCGTGCCACGCGCTGCGGCCGGAAGACATAATCCGGGTACCTCAGCTCGTGCTCTCTTTTCCGCTGCTTTGCCAGCTCATCCCACTCCGCACGTTCCTCCGGGGCCAATGCGCGCCACTTTGCCGAGATCATCTTCGAGAGGTCCGCCTGGCGCGGTTTACCGCTGCCCCCTGCTCCCGAGGATTTATTCGACGGATTCGAAGCGAGGAGTTTGCCCTTGTCGGCGGCGTAGCTCTCGAGCGTCTTGCGCCGGAAGAGCATCCAGGAGTTTTCGGGGCGTTTGATGTAGTCGTCGTCGCCACGCTTGGGACGCCGTTCTTCTTCGTGAGGAGAGACATCGAACGTCGAATGGTCACAAAATGAAAGGGGAGAGGATGCAAGAGGAGAGGACTGCGCGGCTGGACCGGATACGCGCGGTGGTGTGCTTTTGGGGGTGACCGTCACACAGACTGGGGATAGCGTCCGCGTCAGCACGCTCAGCGGCGGCTTCGTTGGCGTTGACGGTGCGTCATATAAGAATTCCGAGCTCGGCGGAGAGGTTGAAGTGGAGGAGGATGCGAGAGAGGAGATTGACGACGAGGAAGAGGAAGAGGAAGAGGAAGAGGAGGTGGACCCTAACCCTTCAAAACGATCAATCAGATACTCTAAAGCGCATATCAGGAAACGCACGACAGTCTGCCCTCGTCCGACTTAAGCTACCGAGCTCAGGCTCGACTGGAGAGCTGCAGGGCGAGTCGTGTGGGGAATCGCTGAGATTGTGCGAGGAGGGAAAGGTGAACTGAACCCGGGGTACCGGTGCCACTATCAAGTCCCGCGCCAGGATTCGTTCCGTCAGCTGGTTACGATCTCCCCCGAGCAGAGAGAGAGAGGACTGACCGACACTACGGGCAGCGCGTGCACTGGACCGGAGAGCAGGCATCAGGGAGGACAGTTACGGCACTCACGACGCGAAGGGATTTCCTGACACAATAGAGAACGCATTATATACCGATAGATGCATGACTGTGTTAGGGCCAGGCTTTCAAGGATGATGCCGATCGAAGTAGATCTCGAGATCTGGCCACTCATGTTAGCTGCTCTTGTCTTGGCCCAAAAAGGAAACTACCGTGGGTGAGGGATAGCTCACCTAGTCAGAGCGTGCGTCCATCTACGCACGCAATATAGATACCTTCACTATCTCAAATCTTCAAATAATCTATCTCTGTAGTGTGCTCACTAGGCTAGCTCGGAATACCACATCATCTGGCAGCCCAAGGGCACTTGCGAAGAACCCCGAATTCTCCCATCACTGCATCAATCTGCCCATCACTTTCAGCTTGCCCGATAAGGCGTATGCGAGCCGGTCATGCGGTACGCAGCTTATCCCGCTTGCCGAACAAGCCCTTTGTTGTCGGCATCCACCGTCGGCCCACCTTCCGTCGACAGATTTCTTTGTATCTCCGAGCGCTGATAAAATTGATCTCTCTTCCAACCGGGAACATATCCGAGTTCCAAATTCAAATTTCAATCTCACAAGGAATTAGGTTTGCGAATGTAGTGGACACGTGTAAGGCCTCATCTAAGGCCTCATCTACTCTCTCCTCGGAGTTCCGTGAATCACTAGACTGATGTTTGATCTCGGCCGTTTTAGGCTTGCGCCGAGCGGTCCGCGGCGGGCCCCCGCAGGCTAGGTCCTGGTCGAAGCGCTCGTTCGCTTGTGCGCGCACTGGAATTCTGATGTATACTAGTACATGCATGGTGGGCTCTTGTGAGAGAAATTTGTGAACTCCTCCAGGCGAAGTAGCTCCGGGGCTGATGCTGTGAGTAAGGATGACCAATGGAGTTCAGCGTACTGGGCGTCTCATCGAAACGATTTGTTTGCGACGCAGTCGTGGTTTTCTCTCATCTATTTCTCTCCTATTGTATCTTTGAAATCATGGAGGATATGAAAAGAGGGATAGACTTTTGCTCAGTGTGGCAAGTTAGTTGCCATCAATAAGCTTGCTGAAACATCATAGACGCGGCATACAATTATGTTTCTAAGATGGTAGGATCGTTCTCACCGAGTTCAGCCCGCGACTAGTGGATCATCTCAGCGGTTTCATCGGCTCGCCATTGTTCAGTCTATCGAGAACATCATTTCCATCCAACACCCAATCTCATCTTCTCTCCCACCGACCCTGACTCGTTTCTCTCGGTGTCGGTTGCAGATATAAAGCAGATAGTGCGGAGCCCGGATTAAGCGTGTTATTCCCGGGGCCGAGACACTAGCTGCACGATGCTTATTATACGTTCCTCGCACTCGTTCAGAGAGACCGACCCCGTAGCCGTGAAGGAAAGAATCTAAACTGCCATGCACCCAGGTGGTGCACAGGCACTGTCGCACGTGGGTTCCAGATTGGGACTAGAGTGCAGAGACGTTTTTATGACACTGAGATCTCCGCGATGTCGCTCATAGTTTCCGGGGTGGGTCCAATTCCTCCTCCAACCGTTGTTTGCACGAAACGGCATATGTCATAGCAGCCACTGTCTACCAGCGCATACTCCGTAGCATAGAAAAATCCGTCGATGGAAGTACGGTGCATGTCCGGATATTCCCCCGAGTCTTCGGAACACTCCTGTGTGTGATATCCGGGACGAACAATGGGTGAAATCGCAAAGGTACGGCTCTGGTTCTCGAGTCCCACAGATAGAACTAGGACGGCATCTGGCGGAACCAATCCAAACTTCCAACAATGGAGAGATGGGATGTCGCTGAGGGTGTTCGATGGTGGTTCAAGTTGTGAGAGGACACGTCTAGAAATTGAATGTCATCATCCTTTGGCAGTGTTGTCACATGCCATCAGATCGATCAGATCAATCCTGCTTGACCATATACCGCGAAAGGCTGCAAGCTGGATGGCAATCGCTATCTAACAGGCGCTTTTTCAGCCTAGAAGACAGTCCCAACGCCACATACTAGTTGCCTGCTTGGCCGACACAACGCGTCTCGCTGCACAGCCATGGACCACGCGCTGCCGGATCACTGTCCACTCACAACTCCTCTCGCGTTCCGCTCGACAACCCCCTTCCCTGTTCAGAGGATGCCATCCGCGAGCGGCGGGCTCATTCCCCTGGATACATGTGCAGCTGGGTCTCCGCTGCTTCAAAATCACGCGACCGTCCGCCCAGTAACACCGAGTCGACCGAGTTCCCTTGGCCCCTGCGCATGCAAATCGGATCATCCACTTGACGGCTCCGATGCAACCTGCCCTTCCGCTGGCCGAGCAATGAAGGGTCCCTTCTAGTCTGCTGTTCATCTCCTCCGACACGACGACACCGTCAGACGTCAGACCGCGTAAGGAACGTACCTTGTTCTCAGTCGGGTACTCACACATCCGGGGGTTCATTGTGCAGTCGGGGGGTGCTGTGTGACATTCGAGGGTCTGCCGGTGGGGAACCGCTTGGAAGGTTGGAGACCGATCGCCTCCTTGTTGGGTGCGTGGTAGTACGAGGCACCGAGACAGATGTCAATGCGCAGCTGTGCTCAGTGCGACGCTATTATCCGGATCGGGACTGCGAGCCTCGTGGCGTGATGATCATGACGCTGCGATTCCCATGGCGCTCTAGTCCAGGCTCTGCTTCCACCAGATTTTACGAGGCGTGTTGAAGTAATACATTCGGTCGAGCTGTGGCCGAGCATTGTCAGGGCACACACGAAGAATGTACCGATCAGGCACCAGAGCACTGAGGGTTTGTGAAGGACTCGGCACACGTTCACAATCGTCCTTGGAGGAATCCACGAACCGTATCGGGCTCAAGAACCACTTCTCGGTAAAGAGATGTCTGTCTGCCATAGCGCTGAATGACGGGCTCTGCCGAAACGTATTCAAGACGAACATTCGGATTTAATCGGGGCATACACAAACCTGGCTAATTGACCTGCGTCTGCGCATAGACTTACGACCAATCAGAGTCAATGTAACGTCTTGTCATCTCTGCCAGGTGATTCCCACGTTCCCGCTCGAGTTATGTCTTAGAAGCGACCCGTCGAACAAACATTCTGTTTAACAGGATTGGTTACCTAATCGACCAATTGCTCGATCAGAGCTGTTGGCACCAGCTATCGGCTCCTGCTCAATCAACTGGCCTGCACCTCCTGCTGGATTGCTGGAACTGATACTCCATCGGATGGGTTTACGATGGACGTGGACGACATCCGTAATGTCCTCGGCGTGGGCGGAGGCAGAGTGGCTGTTCCCATCTTACTGGTCGGGTCATTACCCGCGTTGCGATCCCGTTCTGCATCTAATCTAATCATCTGACTCGACGGGATGTCCTTGCTGTTTAGGGATCTTTCCCCTTGTAGGCTTTCCTTTGTGTCCTTTGCGGTGTGTTCAAGCGCGTGTTGTCTATTCAGACTCAAAGTAGAATGCACTCGGTCCTGTCGGGGCACGTCGACCGGTTGTGGTTGCCTTCCGCATCAGTGCGCTAAGCTTTGGACAATGAAATGCTCTCGAAACTCAGTAAAAAGGCATGCCAATAATATGTGGAGCCTGAAACTCACACTCTATTGTCCGCCCCGGTGGTGCCGGAAACTCTTTAGTTAGCTATGAATGTGATAATTTTGGATGAAACTCCTTGGACACTCAGCCTCACCCGAACGATAGAGAGCTTCATTAGATCGGTGAGTCCACCGGGAGTCATGTGACGAGTCAGCCCACCTCTGACCTGATGACCACGTGTCCCGCGAACATGGCTTGTTTCCGAGCTCCACGCGTCCGCATCGCCTATGACTCTGAATATCAGTTTCAGCCTCACTCGCACATAGCCGCACTGTATTCACACGCCTCACGGGGTTGAACACGCTGGTAATCGAACACCGCTGCGGATCTCCACTGATTTTTTCGGTCGATAGCTTTCTTTCCGTGATCGTTCCACCACGATTCTTCGCTCGCAATCGATGGCGTTGTAGCCCTGGATTGGGACAGTCGGGAAATTTCCGGGGCATAGGTTTTCCCAAAGTTCCTAGATTAATTCTTACATATCGACCAGCACAGTTTACGCAGTCTACGCGCGATTACTGCCGCGTGGTTGCGGATACTCGATACCCGGAGCTTCGCCTTCAAGATACAGTCGGCGTCGGCAGCACCTCGAGGCTGATATTTGTACAGCCCTCTGCCCTGAACCCTTCGACGCGCGCATGCCGTGACACCGCCTTGCTCCATCGCCACCCGGGGAAACATGGCATGTGGGCGGACCATCTACAGCCGAGCCTCGAGGCGCGCGAGTTGATATGATGATTTACTTCCGCGGGTCGGCAGGAAGACAGCTGACCAGATGTTCCGGCGGGCATGATCGATCACCCGGATGTGGGAGATAAGACCCGGAGAAGTGGCTCATCAGCTGGCAGCACCAAATTACCTCCAGCGGGAACGGCAGGTGCGGAACGAGGGACCGGATACCCTTCTCCGTGCTGCTCACCGCCACCCGCCGCTTTACTTACTCCTTGGGGGTTGACATATGTAGCGAGCGGCCCGCCTCGTGGGAAGCTACTCTGTCGCGACTCGAGGATGACTCGCGCGATGGGGCCCCACGGTGTGCCCGTGACTCGCTGTAGGAATTCCTCACATGTGCCGCTGTAGTCGAGTCATATAGATTGCAATCCAGTCAGTATGACTATTAGGCCCGGGCACCATTCCTGCGGATGAGAGCACCATTGTCCTTTCAAAGTTCATCGCGCCGGACTACATGTGGGCCATAATCTTACTCAGGGCGACGCCGTGTGACCGGTCCACATTGTCTCTCGACCTTCTAAACTCATCGGACAGATCATCGTTTGATAAAAGCGGGGCAGAAGCCGTGAATGAACTCAGGACAATGGGCGAGCGGGGTTGGATGTGAGTCTAGTGTATTGCTTTTGACCCTGGAAACATCTTACAGTAACATCTGAGGATCCGGAGGTATCATGAAATCCCTCAGGTTTAGATGAGATCAAGAGAATTGATGATATCTGGAAGCGCAATCCTTTCTCTGATACTTGCAGTGCGAACCACAAATGGCGTGTCTTCGTCGCTCACTCTATCAAAGATAAGATGGGCGATCTGATCCAATCATCTGCTGCACTGCCGCCTGTCGAAACAAAGTCACACACACATCCCGAAAACGCGTGTGAACTGTGCGCATCGCTTTGTGTCTTCACCAAACGAGTGGCACGCAGCACGATGCGCGTCAGGACAACCCGCTTCCTGACCTACCTCCTCCTCCTCGTTCCGCCCCTCATCGTCTCGCTCTATCTCCTCACCTCGTTCCCGACGCCCCCGTCCCGGCGGCCCGCGGTCCATCCGGGGCTGAGCAGTCTCGCTGTCGATACGCGCGCCAGGAGAATATACACTGAGGACTGGCTCGAGGAGGGTGGTTGGGCGGATTTGCCCCTCGGACGGGTGGGCTGTGCTACTCCCTCGGCGAGATCTAGTCACTGATGGACAGTGGTGCCTCCGTAGACGCGGTATTGGTTTGTGGGTCCCAAGAACGGCAAAAAGGTGATTTGCAAACCTCTCCCACTCTTCACCTACTCACTTGTGTTTTCAGCTTGTCCTCATCCATGGCCTCTCCGTCCCGGCCCTGATCTGGTCGCCATTCCTCCCCCACCTGCTCTCAGCAGCGCCGAGGCACCGCATCCTGCTATACGACCTCTACGGACGGGGATACTCGGACGCGCCGCGCGGTATCGACTACGACACGCAGCTGTACGTGACGCAGCTCGCGCTGCTTCTGCAGCACGTCGGGTGGACGAAGACGCGGATCGCTGGGATCAGCATGGGCGGGGCGATCGCCGCTGCGTTTGTCGATATGTTTCCGGCGCTTGTGGAACGGGACGTCGTCCTCATCGCGGCTGCGGGTATCCTCCAGGTACGTGACGCGTCCCCGCCCGATAACGTCTCGCTGCCTCTGACGTGTGCACGTAGTCCTCCGATCTGTCACGCACCTCGAAATTCATGTCCTCCCCGCTTGTTCAGACGCTCGCTGCGAACCCGCTGATATACTCCTACCTTCGGCGGCTTGCTGCCCAGCGCACGGCAGACTGGGACGGCATCGAGTCACAGGACCCATCCTCTTCTCGGCGTCCCCCAGTATCGGCCTTGGATCCTGCACCGATCCACGCGTTGGTCCGGCTGCAATCTGCGCACCTCGCTGGCTTCAATTGGGCCGTTTCCTCCTCATTGCGCTCAGGCCCAGTTGTCGGCTTGGAGTGGGCGTACCAGAGCCCGGAGTGGGCCGGGAAACGCGTCCTGCTGGTCCATGTGCGTCGTTTTCCTCCGAAACAGTTTCCAGATCTCTGAGATGAGTAGGGTACGGCGGATGATACGGTACCCGCGGCGCACGCCACGCGCATTCGAGAGCACATCGAGACTGCTTCCGCTACTGTGCGTGGCTTCTGTCTGCAATGAAGTCTAGTTACTGATTCGGTTTTACCATTGCAGAGGAAGCCTCAAGTCCAAGTTATCCATATCGAGGGCGCTACCCACTCATTGACATGGACACATGCCCCTGAAGTCGGACGCGCGGTCGGTAGGTTCCTTTCATCAAGTTGGTGAAGGTGTAGCACCAGTGCATCTGTAGCATATATATCGCATTTTGTTGTTGTGCTTATTGTTGTTGTCTCTGTGTATACTGCTTATCTGTGAAGCTAAAGAGAAAGAGACCAATCGGCATCGATTGGTATGAACAGGATCTACGGGTCTCTACACTAATTCGGTGTCTAATGGTCAGTCTAGATCTATTTCAGAATCTCGTCAGCCTCGCGATCTCCTTTACGGGTTCCCCGTTGACTCTCTCCTCGCGCCAAAGCTCTGCAATGCGGGTGGCGTTTTGTCTAAGGAGTTCGCCTCTGGGTCCTTTGAGATCCCTGAATGCCTGCTCGAACTCGGTCTTCGCGTCTTCAACTGTTCCTGTGATCTTGGGTGCTTCAGGACGAAGCGAAGGGCCTAGTTGAGTTCCAGATCGGATCTTTGTATCGTGAATTACCGGGGAAGCAATCATAGTGTGGTTGAAATACCTGAAATAGCTCGATTCCGACGGGACAGGGACCCGTCGTATAAACAGCGGCATTGAGAGCTTGGTCTGCTCCAATGGGCCAGAAAATAAGCGGAATTCCTTGGCTCAGCCCCTCAGTCAACGAGCTGCAATGATTCAACAACATTCACGTTAGGTTTTCAGGGCGAGCTGAACTGACTTGTAGCCGCCATGAGTCAAAAACCAGCCGATTGCACCACCCTTCAAGACGGCTTTCTGATCGACCCAATGAGCGCATACAAGTCCTCGGCCGCTGGCGTGAATGCGATCGATGGTTACTTCCGGCAGAGAAGCCATCGCCGACCCCAGGACAAATACGAAGGGGATGACGGTATCGAGATTGAGCAGCACGTCAACCAACGCCTCAAGCAGCTGAGGTGTCTGTGCGGGGAAGAAAAACGAACTGAGGGAAATTCAGTTCACCATTTTGAAATGAGCGAGTGACCATGACGCACCCGAAGGAGATGTACAGCACAGATTTAGGCCCGTGTGTTTTGCGCGCATCATCCAAGAATGTTTTCATTCTTTCATCCTTAGGACCAGGACCTGCTGACGGGGCCTCCCACTCATCATCGTGCATCTGAGGACCGACCAGAAACAGCTCTTGTCCACGCTGTTTGTAGTATTCACGAGCGAGGGGAATCACTGAGGACTCCAAAGGGTTACTAGTGGGACAAAAGAAGCCGTCACATAGCCGCGCCAGTTCCTGTGCGGATACCATGACCAAAGCAAAGTCGCGCGGTGGCCCTGCGCCCTGTGCTGTGCGCTCGTGATCGTATATTTTCATTCCACCGAAGATTTCGAAGATCCTCCCGTCGAGTTTGTCGCTTCCATTGCCGGCCCACACGACCTGGATGAGCTGACATGAAAACAAACTGAGTGAGCGAGGAAAACAGTACGCACGTCGCCGATAATGTCCTCCATCGTTCTCCCTCCTCTTCTGCTCTCGTCAATGTATATCTCGTGCGCGATCTTGGCGTAGTCGAATGGGGCAAAATAATCCATGCATGCTGCGAGCCCGGTGGAGCACCAGAGCAGAACTTTGCCCCGCGGTCCCAACAATGCCTTCGATTCTTTAATAACGAGTCCTCCTCCACCCAAATCCATCTGTTCCGGAAGTTCAGCTTCCTGATACAGAATGAAAAGCTTGCGCACATGTAATGTCTGAGGTCTGGGCCAATCGGACCCCACGCCAACTGCGCTCGCGAGAATCTCGAGCCATCCAGCTGCGAGCTGCCCCACACACGTTTTAATGTTTTCCGGTGATGATTGGAGGCTGTTCCGAATGAGATGATTAGTCGACCAGAATCGAGCTGTAAGACTCACTCGGCGTCGCCTACACCCTCAATCTTCAACCTGCAGACATCATAGGAACATGATTCCAGCTCTTTCAACATTCTCCCAACTATAGCAATCGGCATAGAGAATCGTACGAATTGAAAGCACATACCAAAGCTCTTGTGCTGCACAATGGTGATAACCAGCTCCGGATCCGAGGCCAGCATTCGAGTCGTAAGATGAATATAAGGCAGTGCATGGCCCCAAGCCGGAGCGAGGAAGGTCAGGATGTGTCGAGAGGGCATGGCACGAGTTGAGGGTGTAAAATTACTCTGCTAAGACCTGAAGGGCACATGCTTTATACCTGCGAGTAAGTGGTCGGTGAACAACCCAGACGTGATAGGAACTTGAGAATGAGTGATCTCAAATTCGTCATCCTGTGGACGGGCCGTCCGGCACGTGGGCCGGCACGATCAGCAAGTCCGATGATCGATTCGGGTGTGGGGCATGGAAAAAAACTTCGGATACTGCTTAGTATGTCTTCAGATCGAGGACCAACGATGTTGATCCCAGTCAAAGTGTTTTCAAGAATGTTCGGCGTTGAAATTGGAACAGGCCAATCGGTGCCGAACTGGAACTGAATATGGGGCAAAGTTGAGATCCAAACTTACCACCCTGTCCCTCCAACCTGCCCAACTCTACTATAAGCGCACAAACATTTGAGTTCCAAAAGTTTCCTCCGGATAAAAGGATATTTCATTACTCATCTTCGCTGGCGAATCGCGCCCCGGCTGACAGTGCACTTGCAATGCGGTTGTGGCTGATGAAAACCCCTTCATGCACCTGCCGATGTGAAGGAACAAAAATCTCATAGGGAACGGGGCTTCTTTCGTCGCTTCGTCGCATATTTCTGCGGTAGATATAATGTCCGAGGTGCAATGGCACAACTCATATCACGTCGAGAGTGTGGAGGAAGGGCCAAAAGGTGCGAACGTCGTTTGTATATCCCCGAATGGCACGACGATGGACGGGAAACGTCCAACCACTGCTATCAATTATCCTAATGGAGAAAGTGACAGATTGCAACGTGTTCCCGAGCTTCGGGCAGAGCACACTGGTAGAATCGTCTCGCCACAAAAGAAGAATTTTCCTAGGCTCCAATCACGAGGAGAAGGGAGACGTAACTGTGCGAAACAAACTCGTATCGGGCAATCGCAGAGGCTGGACAGCGAGTCCGGACATTCCAATCCATTTTCTCCCATCGAGTCACTTCTGTTCTCAAAGCGTACCGGTAGGCATAAAATATACGCAGCTCGCATACTTCTGCTTCCTTTCATGTAATCTTTGAGCTAAAAACAGTCAGACATCAAAAGCGGATTCGCACGTGCTAAAATCCTCTGGTCTTCTTAAGCTCTCACACTGACAAACACTAAACTTTGAGCTGGTCGCAAATTCACACAGGTCATTATCTATGACAGGTGGATTCGGCGTGTGTTACGTGGCCCAGCCGATTGTGCGTCAGGCCGGTAATGCTTTCTTACTTGGCGGCCCGCTGGCTACAAACTGGTGGAATATATAAGTTGGTCTCTCCCCCAGCGACATTACAAAACATTTATCCACTTCCTGAAATCGTAAAAGATGGGCAACACAATCGCACTCCCAATTATCTGCAGCATCTCCGCCTACGGCGTTCTCCTGTTGGCTCGGACGATCTACCGCACCTTGACGTCCTCACTCCGATTCATCGATGGCCCGGCGACATCAAACTTTGTCTTCGGTCACTCCGTCGTGCTTTCGGTGGGCATGAATGCTATCTCTCTGTCCATTTGCGGCGTCTGATTTACTCGCTAGGATGTGCCAGAGCAAGGGGACCAATGGCGGAAACTTTACGGAGCCACTTTCATGGCCAAGAACCTACTCTGGGTAAGAGCATCTCTATGCATCTTCGAGTAATTCTATCAAAACGCCGCTCACACATTGTGCAGGAGGATGACTTGCACACGGTCGACATCAAAGCTATCGCCCACGTCCTCAGCCACGGCTCGCTGTACCCGAAAAACCCTGGATCGGTTGCAAGTCTGCGTCGTATACTCGGCGAGGGACTTCTTTCCGTCGACATGGATCCGCATAAGCGTCAGGTACGTCTCCATGATTGCCCACAGGCTCTGTAGCTGATGCCCAGATGCTGATAGCGCAAAATTCTGGTAAGTCCGTTCATTAAATATGGATGGAGTCTGAGGAGTGGGAAAGAACCCAGTGTTTAGCGTTCAGCAAATCCGTTTAATGAACGAGGTCTTTCTTGAGAAGGCGAATATCGTGGGTTTTTTATGCCTGTCTCGTCTAAGAAGCCACTAATTGCATCAGTTGCGAGACATTTTGTCGGCAGATGTCGAAAAGGCCGGTGGAACCGCAACTATAGATCTTGCTGAAATGTTCCGTCGGGTCACGTTGGACATCATGGGACAGACCGGTGTGTACTTATCGTCTCAAGTGCTTGAATCCCAAATTGAGCCATCTGATCAGGGTTTGGCTACAACTTCAACTCGCTCGAGTCAGGCGGCAAGAATGAAGGAGAACTGAGCAGAGCTTTCCACATGCTGTTCCGCGGACCGAACGCCAACTTGAATATTGCTGTGCAGATCGCTCAGGGCGCGATGCCGATCCTTCAGTATCTTGTGCGTATGGCCAGCAAGTCTCATCAAACACGAGCCTTTGTTAACGATGCAAATCTCAGCCCCTTCCTGGCTGGAGAAACACCCAGTCTGGGAAAAAGACGCTGCGTACAGTAGGAACGGAGCTTTTGCTCAAGGCCAAAGCCGAAGCTCGGGCACTCGGAGAGAAAGATCTGGGCTCGGGCCGAGATCTCCTATCAGTCCTAGTCAAGGCGAACATGTCGGCAAATCTCCAAGACAGCCAACGTTTGAGCGATGATGAGGTCATAGCCCGTACGTTCGACTATCGAGCGAAACTCAAACTGACATCCACTCACGTTATCTTTGCAGAAATCCCGACGTTCCTCCTTGCAGGGCATGACACTAGCAGCATCGGGCTCGGCTGGGCAGTCCATGCGCTGTCGCGGCATCCCGCTGTGCAAGACAAGCTGCGCCAGGAGCTGCTTTCTATCGAGACGGAAACACCGACCATGGAGGAACTGAACGCTTTGCCATACTTTGAGACCGTGATGAGGGAGACTTTGAGGCTCTACGCTCCAGCAGTCTTTGTTCAGCGTGTGGCGTCACAAGATGATGTTTTACCACTCGGCAAACCGTATGTGGACCGGTGGGGTGTATCTCACGACACTCTTCCGTGCGTTTCTTTCATTGTCTGAAAATCTACCACGGCGCTGACATACGAAAGCATCACTAAAGGACAGTTGGTCACAATTCCGATCCTGGCTGTCAATAGAGACAAGGCGATCTGGGGTCAGGATGCCCTAGAGTTCAAGTGCGTGTTCTTTTTGCTTCAGGATTGTGATTTGACTGTTTATGGTCTATCCTTCTGCACAGACCTGAGCGGTGGGATAACCTCCCGGAGGCCGTCCATTCCATCCCTGGAGTGTGGGGTAATCAATTGACTTTCGTTGCTGGCGCTCACAACTGCATCGGCTTCCGGTTTTCAGTGGCTGAGTAAGCCTGATCATTTTACCGCATCACGAAGGCAGTTTAATGAGCACATTCCTACAGACAAAAAGCTATCTTGTTCAGTCTAGTCCGGGCTTTCAAGTTGTTGCCAAGTGTTGAGCCGGTCGGCCCGGTCATCTCAGCGCAGCTCCAGCGGCCATCCTCGTTTGTTTCCGATGGAAAGGGTGGAATGGTGCCAACGGGCGGGCTTTCTATGGTGCTCAAAGCTTATCAAGGTTCTGATATGTGATCCGTTATCTTGTTAGTATTAGCGAGTAGATTTTATAATACTTAGTGCAATCTAAACCTCTTGGACCCATGCATTAGGCAGGAAATATGCTGAAAGACACGGCAGGTATTATGTCATAATTCAACCACTTTTTCCTCATTCCATCAATCGATCTTATCTTATCCTGACATCGGGTTATCTTATCAGGGATCACGGCACCAAAAGGTCCGGGTTAGGGGCACAAGGGGGTTATCTCTATCAATTCAAGGCTGCACCCATATGCTCCAGAAGCTTCTACTGAGGAATGACACAGAGCGTGCAAATGCAATTGCACAAATTGCATTCTGATGGTAACATTCACACATTGATGGGCAGAATCGCATTCTGACATCTGCAATCTCTGATGTTCAGTGATGCACAACCAGGACCGGGATCACCCACCCGGAACCTGGTGACATTGACAGCTGTCCATTTGCTCTTCCTCTGCTGCTGTGAGCTGATTCTAGCACTTATCCCAGGGGCTCATACACTCTACTCAGTTTTGAACCTTAATCAAAATAGCATAGCACTCCTGACTGCCTCGTGTTGATGAATGCTAGTGCAATTGCAAATATATGCATGTTTTTCTGCTCACTTGTTCAAATGAGTCGTTCTGAGTGCTTATCTTTCAAAACATGAATCCAGGGTTTAGAGTTTTCATTTCTTGAAAAGTTCTTGCATTGTTATATTCCAATTCTGACCTAACTTGACTAGACTATGTTCCTGGAAGCCGCTGACATCTTCTTCAACGAGTTGAAGCAGTATCGAACTTTTGTGAGTTCATTGGGCACTTATTATACAGTTGACTGACATTCTCTGTTGAAGGCATTCACAGCTGCGGTCTCGAATGAGAACCATGACCCATTCTTTCCCCTTGTTCAAGCTACACTGTGGGTGACATCTATTGGGTGGCAGATGTATCTGCTGCACAACAGTGTGGAGCCGGCAGTTGAGGCAAGCCCTTCAAGCACAACAATGGCCCAATTGATTTGGTTTTAGGACTTGGTGCGTCACAACAACCTCATTTGTTTTGATAATTAATTATTCTCCACCAGAGCCTGGGCGACAAATTCCTGTGACACCTGTTGAAATGCTGAGGGCGTGCTCACAGGTGAATCTACTATGAAAGTAAACCCAAATATAAACACGTTCACACTCCTCGTAATCAGCTTCTCAGTGTGTGAAAGATGTGAGGGTTTTGGGGTGGACAGAGCACCAGTATCACAACTCTCAATAGACGCAGATCCAATAGTCGTGGAAGACGAAGTCAACGACAAGAATTTATATATAGCAAACAGTGGTGTCTCAACCAATATCTTCTGTACAAACAAAACCAACACTAATCCAACCACAACCAACAAAATCACAAGTCAGAGCTTAATACGAGGTATTAAGATCCCTTGTAGCGACAGTGTCCAGATGGTGTCGCAAAGCCCAAAATATCAAGTTGACGCACTGCCAACCAATACAACCAAGATACTGAGTCGACGCACTGCCAACTAGTAGAACCAAAATGTCAAGTCGACGCACTGCCAACTAACAGCCAATATCAAATGTCCAAAACCCGAGCACAACTTGTCAACGCACTGCCAAACTAGAGGTGTGGAAACAATCTCAACAAAGCCCAAAGGCAACAACACTGAGTGCCACAACTAAACCAGAAGCGGCGAATCTGACCTCCTGATATCTCAACTCAAACTCAAATCACAGTAGCTAGGAGTGCTCAGGGAGCAACTCGTCGCGACTGGGCAGGGGTGGCAGAACTTCTTAAGGTGGAATCATGTGACACGTAAATTGTACAAAACAATCTGATATGGGTATGATTCACAGTGCAGGGGAAAAGCCCCCCAATACAAAGAAACGACACACTACTTCTACTGTCTACGATGATGCTTAGTAAAGTTCTGTACAACTGCATAGTAGCTACGCTATCTAAGATCGGTTGCTTTTTATGGTAATGAAAAAGTTGAACGATTGGACAGGTCCTGACTGATCAGGACCCTGCCCCATTGTGCATATGGTGCTTTTTGATGTGGGTCAACCCACCGCATCATACTTTTGGAATACGATGTGCTGGATTGGCCAACTGGTATGTCTTGGCAGGTGAGTCCAACGTGGGCGTCCCAAGAAGCCATATGGTCCTAGGCATGCCAGACGTTCCTCACATGGTTCGGTTCACGGATCTAGCCCGTGTTGCTTTTGATGTGTTTGGGTATGGGTGCAACTCACCGTGACACCTGGAAGTGTCACCGCAACGTGTCCACAATATCCTGTGATTGAGTGGAACATGACATGTGACAAGTCGTCGCTGTAGCATGATCTAAGGAAACATCCCACCCAAAGCCAGGAGTTGCCGCAACAAGATTGGTTCAATCTCGTAACGTCAAGTCCTGTCCAGTAGTAGTTGTATTATTGAGAACGTCGCGCATTGCCCAGCCCTCCAGTCCAAGTTCCCATCTGCAGAGAATGACCCTTTTTGAGAAGTTGTCGCAACAAGGTATCCCTTTTGGGGAATTGTCGCGGTCCGAGTGTCCATCACTAATAACCCTGAGCCTGGTGTAGACTCATAAGACCAATTCCACAGTAGTGGTCTGACTGCCTTGCTATTGTCGACACTATCCACAGTCGTTGACTGGGCAGCAGACCCTTAAGTCCTACTGAGTGCAACACTGTCAACAGCGACACGATACACTGAATGGTACAAGAGTAAACTCTGTAAAAGCAAAAAAAATACGCCCTTATAGAGCTGGTGCAGAGCGCATCTAGTAGCCAGCCTATCAACACTACTATCTTAATGTCAATCCTGGTTCTTTGTTCCTGCCTGCCAGCATTTCCAGGTCACCTGCATCCTCGCTGTATAGTCTTCCTTCTGCAGCCGGAAGTACTGGCTCTTTGGTGCCACCTTTGAGACCAGCCTCCTCAATGGCTTTTCGGTCGACCTCCTCTGCACCATTTGATCTTGATCTCCGGCTGCCCAGCTCTCTTTCCATGTATTTGAACACATTTTCTAGTGAATTATTTGCATATATAATTGAGATTATACTCAATAGACACATGACAGATGGTGATTGTGTACTAGATGTCATAGCTCGATCCTTTTTCATCTTATCATCAACAATCTAATCTTATCTCAGCGCGGGTTATCTTATCACGGATCACAGCATCTGACAGTCCGGGCTAGGGGTCCAGGGGATCATCTTTGTTGATTCAAGGCTGCGTGACATATGCTCTGGAAGGTTCTACTACAACCCATGACCAGTGCTCCATGCAGTACATAGTCTCATGACTCATTAGTTGTAGATATGACTCAGACTGGACTTGGGTATAAATACTGTAGCTACCTTGTTGTATTCTCCAGTCTTCAAATTAACTTCTCTTTTCAACATTATTTCTTGTTGATTGTCACACAATCAGTCCTCATGTGGAGACATGCACATTCCTCCTGATGTGTCTGGGAAAAGCCTGGATCCTCATTGGTCTTGATTGGTTGACGGAACACAACCCTGAGGTGGATTGGCAGGAACAAACAATGAAATTCAGCTGATGTCCAGAGCAATGCCACATGCAGGGTCACGAGGAGCACCAGACAATGATTGATATGGACTCAGTAGACCTGGACACGTGTGTATCAGATCTGGAAGAGGGAGAATGAATCCTGTTGGTCAACTTTGGGAAGGAGGTAGATCAATGGCTGAAGGAAACACCAGCACAGAAATTCACAGAAGAAGCAGAAAAGGAGAAGGAGAGAATGACTGAGAGGAAGATTCAGGATCAAGACTTGCTACTGGACTAATGTCCATGGGATTACACAATCAAGCTCAAACCTGGTTCCGAAGCAGTGGACTCCAACATATATCCACGATCACAAAACAAGCAGGGCAAACTGGACAAGTTCCTGGAGGAAAATCTAGCTAGTGGACGGATCAGGCCATCAAAGTCACCGATGACATCTTGTGACAATCAACAAGAAATAATGTTGAAAAGAGAAGTTAATTTGAAGACTGGAGAATACAACAAGGTAGCTACAGTATTTATACCCAAATCCAGTCTGAGTCATATCTACAACTAATGAGTCATGAGACTATGTACCGCATGGAGCACTGGTCATGGGTTATAGTAGAACCTTCCGAGCATATGTCGCGCAGCCTTGAATCAACAAAGATGATCCCCTGGACCCCCAGCCCAGACTGTCAGATGTCGTGATCTGTGATAAGATAAGATAAGATGATTGATGATAGGATGAAAAAGTGGTCAAACTATGATACATCTGCATTTTTCTTTGTCAAGAAAAAGGATGGCTTGTTATGCCCTATTCAACATTATTGGAAGTTGAACAAGATGGCCATCAGAAACTAATACCCATCATTGCTTATCTCCAAATTGGTTCACAAGTAGTGCTCTCAGGGTTCAGCTTGGAAATTGGTTCAAACCTGAACTAAACTGAACTGAACTCTGGTTTGGAATTTTGGTGTAACGGACAGGCTGTTACATACGTAGTCATCTGAATTGACAAACCTTTATCTTATCTTTTATCACACAGCCGCACTTTTTTATTATATATATAGTTGATGTAGTAGACTAGGGGGCAGTGAATCTAGCTTATAACAGTCATCTCTAGCTTCGCTAAAAGCCCTCCCGTGTGCCGGAACTCGACTCGACTCGCTTCCGTCACATATTTTTGACTCTTAGCAACTCGTCTCTCGCTGCTCTGGTTCCCCGTGGTCTGATCAACCATTCATACCGACATCGACGAGACCCCCCCAACACAAAAAAATCTATCTACTATCCATGTCCAACCCTTCCTCTCACCCCCTTCCCCTGCGGGACTCCCGTGGTCGCTTTGTTCGACAGGATGCCCCAGACGTTCTCCCCTCGAGCTGTGTCTCGAGTGTTTCCCGTGGCAGCGTGGGTCGCTCCCCGCCGCGCGGTGTATCCCCGGACCTGTTATACAGCCGGGTGGTTTCCCCTCGAAGCGCAGAGTCGCTGGAGGGAGAGTCCGTTCCGTTGCTTGACAGCCAGAGCGTGGACTTTGAGGATGAGATTCAAGACCTCCTCTCGTTTGTCGATCCCGTTGAGGATCCGAGCTTCACGAGGGTCACCAAAAGGACTGCTCGTTCGCATCGCGAACAACGAAGTTCGCAGGAGAGCGTGAATACTAGTACCTTCGCTACTCCGCCAGTTGTATCTGCCATTGAGAATATGAGCCCAGAGCGGCTGCTTGAAATATCTGCGCGATTTGGGCGCCTTGCTCGTGCGGGCTTTCGGGCTCGTGCGGGAGACCACTCGGATTTGCGTTCAGCCGAAGTGGAGTCGGTTCTCCACAAGCATGAGGATGTGGAGCTGGGGAGTGATAACAAATCTCCCCTGACTGCCCCAGCCACGGAATCAACTCCAACGCCTGGACTGGCAGCTCCAGCGCAGCCTCCGACTTCTCTGGCACCGCCTGCCAGGGCGCCAGAGGCCCCAACGTTGCAACCAGCGATGACGCCGCCTTCGCCGGGACCGTCGAAAATGAAGGGAAAGGGATTTGATCCCCGGAACTTCGGTGGAATCGACTGGTCTGTAGATATGTCAGAAACTGAGCTCGACGCGCAGCGCATGGCTTACCAGAACCTTAATCACAATCTCCGACCTCTCAAGGAGGAGTCGAAGTCTAAGGCATTTAGCAACTTACATCTGTTAGACACAGATATTGCTAACAAGAATAATGTCGGGGATGCTCCCCTTCTGCTGGAGGAGCCTGCCGAGCGTATTGATCCTCAGAAAAATGAGGGAAAAGTTCATTTTAGCCTCGAAGAACAGATTGCGAACTTACAACAGCATATTCAACGACTTGAGGACCAGCAGAGACATACGGACGAAAAGTCCAGACAGCGTGCCTCAAGTAAATCTGCGACCCCGGCGAAGAGCGCCGAACTGTCGCGTGGCAAATCTGAGCGCCCCGTGGATACAGCCAAGGAGCCGAGTCCAAGGAAACGTTCAGAGAAACCAAGCTCCACTCGGCTGCCCGGAGGTAGCTTCTTGGACGATCTGGTTCGCCGATCCAAAGAAGTTGGCCGCTCGTCCGCTCCACCGAGTGACTCGAGTGATTCATCCTCGAGTGACCCCTCATCTGATTCGTCCTCGGACTCTGATCCTAGCAACCACTCGTCAGAATCTGACAGTGAAGGATCGTTGGCTGACAGTGAAGAATCTGATGAAGAGTCAGCGATAAACCACTCTCGGAAGTCCAAGAAGAAAACTCACCGGAAGAAATCAAGGATGCTCTTGCGGCCCCATCCTCCCAAGAAGTATGACGGATCAGCAAACTCCGATAAGTATATCGAGTTTGTAGATCAGAGCACCCAGTACTTGAAATTGGGTCGCGTCGATCCTGAGGATCAAGTGGCTATGCTTAGTCATTACCTTGAAGATAAAGCACTCACCTTCTACAATCGGAAAGTACGTAGCAGGCCCGAGAAGTGGACCTTGAAGAAGTTTCTGATTGGGATGGCCAACCACTGCTTCCCGCTCGACTTTCGCATGACACAGCGTGAGAAGTTGAATAAGCTGATGCAGAGTAATAAGTCAGTTGCGGATCATGTCACCGAATTTGAAAACATACATAGTATGATCGGTTTGCCAGACGACCAAGAAAAGGTCGTCAAACTCTGGGTCAGTCTTCGAGAAGACATCCAGACAGAGTTGTGGCGGAAAGGACGTGACCCCGAAGCCACGAAATGGAAAATTGTGGTGAAATCAGCTGAAAGAGCTGAGCGATTCCTGTCTCTGAAGCCAAAACGGCACCCACAGTCACAGAACTCTGCTGGGCAGAAGCAAACGGCTCCTGACAATTCCGGAGACAGGCCCCGCAAGCCGTATCGCCGATTCCGCAAATCCAAAAAATCGGGCCAAACTGAGGTGCTTCAGACGTCCGCTGCGGGATTCTCAGGTCAGCAGAATGGCGCGAACCCGCGCAACACGCCGAAAGGCAATAAATCGGGTCCCAAAAACCCGAACTGGGGAGACCGCCCCGGAGAGCGCAAGTTATCGCAGCAGAAGCGAAACGAACTCCTCGCAGCAGGGCTATGTCTGAACTGCGAGGAGGCAGGCCACATTGCCCGAAATTGCCCCAAGCTCACAACTGTGAAATCGAATCAACCAGGCAAGCCGCCCGGGTTTGGGGCTCACCGTGTTGGAATTCAAACGGTCCCTGACCTGGGCGAAACCACAGAGGTCTACGAGACCCTACAAGTCGGATCAGTAGGGATCGACTTCGGACTAGAAGAGGGTGAAAATACCCATGAGACTTTTGATTCCAAAGACGATCCCATTGGGGACCTGCCAGCGCGGTGGGCTGAGATCGTGCTCGAGCATCTCGGACAGGACCCATCCTGGGATGGTAAGCGGTTCCTGGTGTACGGAATCAGCGACACGCACCATGTAGTGGTTGACGCCATGCTCAACACAAGCTTTGAAATCTGTAGCGAGCAGTTGCGGGATCCTCACTTTCAAATTGGCATGTGGATTGCCCAGCGAATACAGACTCACCTGGAGCTCGATCCGGACGATGTGCCCCGCGAGGAGCCGTATGTTGATGAGCTGGGCGACCCGTATCAAGCTATGGCCGCAATTACCCTCGGAAACGATGATTTTGAGGTCGGGAATGTATCAAACATGTCATACCGTGTCCAAAAGTCAGACGGACAACAGTCCACCTTGGCGAAGTCCAGTCTTGAAGACCAATCATTTAGCTTGAAGGCGTGGGCCAGAGAGGCGTTCATCAGCCCGGAGCAGCCAAGCGATTCAGGAGCTCTGGAGCTCAGAGAAGTGAGCAATGGTCCAAAGAACGCACAATATGACTCCGAACCTGATCTCGAGGATATCCCTGCACTTCAGAGTGTCAGCGACTCTTCGGATGAGGAGGCGACAGACTCCGATTGCGGTTCCGAGTGCTCTTTCGACTTCTTTCCGACGAGCGAGGAAGAACGTCTTGACGAAGACGTCCATGGACCAAATCCGGGTCTGGCCGATGGGCCGATCAACCGTGATGAGCGTGAGGGAACTGATCGATATGATCAGACCTCCGGGCAATATCGTCCTATGGGAGACTTGCTTGCGGAGGGCGCAAGAGCGTTCCTGGAGACGTTCCAGCCATATCCTGGCGATGACCTCATGGCCGTAGACAATCCCTGTCAGACACGCGATCGATTCAAAGTACTTCGAATTTCAAGATCTGAATATCTCATCTGGGATGAGCTCTCACACGAGATGACGGCAATCCCAGAGAAATTATTGCGCAACCCAAAATTTGAGCTCGCAGGCTGGTATGCCGCCAGGTGTGCCGCAAATTTGAGATCCCAAGGTCAGCGAAGACCACGGGCTGAATACCGACTGGCAATTGATGATTTCCTGGAAATTGGCGCGGAAATGTATCTGTCAAATCTATTTAGTGATGGATCTGAGAATGAAACCATTTATCGTGTCATGCCTTGCTACGCAGCTCCTGGAACTTGGCCAGTTTCCGAATATATGGTTTCCCGAATGAGCGCTGGAGAGGTCGCCGGACCCATACAAGTGATCTCGGCAGAGCTGTTGATGAATCCACGTCTGGATTTCGCTCACTGGATTACCAGACACGACCTGAAGGACCAGTCATCCGAACATCAGAGCATTCACGGGATTGATTCAGTAGCCTTTGGCTATTTTTATAGTCTGTTTGACAATGGGCCATCTGCTGAAGAACTCAAGGTTCTCAATAAAGAACTATCAGGGAAGAAACCGCTGCTATTTTGTGGTGGTACTCAGGTTCCTGCTAATCAAGTGAATGGCATATCTCGGAGTGCCTCAACGCCACGAGTCCCTGACAAAATTGTGGCAAAGCCTCTTGTGATTGTCATCCGAGTCAATGGCCAGCCGGTCAGAGCACTTGTTGATTCAGGCTCTCTAGGAGATCTGATTTCTACTACAGTGGCAGACCAACTGTCACTTCGTCGAAAAGAGCTGTCCGAGCCAATCACACTGCAGCTAGCAGTTCAGGGCTCACGCTCAAAAATCAATCACTCAACGGAGGTACGATTTCAGTACCAAGATATAGATTGTGCGCGTACATTCTACGTAGCCAATCTAAGTGGCTATGATATGATCTTGGGGACGGCGTGGCTGTTCCAGCATAAGATCAGCATTGGCTTCAACCCTGCACGAGTATGCATTGGGAGCGCGGAGTGCTTACCTCTACAAGGCGTAGCCACGGCACGAGTTTACTCGAACTCCCTCCTGCTTGAGATGGGTGCACTGCAAGCAGCTCGAGAAGAGCTCATTGAGTACGCTAAGCCAGTATGCAAGAACGCTGCAGAAACTGAGTTGCCGCCACTACGGAAGATAAACCACACAATACCTCTGATTGACGAGAATAAGATCCTGCCGTGGCGACCGTCACGTTGTCCAGAAGCACTGCGCCCGCAATGGGATGAGAAGCGTAAAAACTACCTGAAAACCGGTCGGTGGGAAATCACGAACTCAGGGAATACCGTACCTATGCTGCTTATCCCAAAAGCGAAGTCAAATCCACCTCGACTACGCGTTGTGGTAGATTTGCGGGCTCGGAATAAGAACACGCTGAAGATGTCGTCTCCCCTGCCAGATATGGAAGGGATCCTGAGACGAGTTGCACGCTGCCCATATCGATCGCTGATAGACGGGCAAGACGCTTACGAACAAATTCGCATTATCCCTGAGCATGTGCATCGGACAACGGTGACCACACCAGATGGAAATATGGTTAGCTTGGTGCTCCAGCAGGGAGACTGTAACGCACCTGCGACGTACCAATCACTCATGAACTATCTTTTCTCAGACTATATTGGTCGATTCATGGATGTGTACCTCGATGACATAATTATCTACTCGAGAACGCTTGAGGAGCACAAACAGCATGTCAGAATGATAATAGACATTCTAAAACGAGAAAAACTGTACCTTGGTGTCAGTAAGCTACAATTCTTGCAACCAGAACTGAAGGTGCTTGGCCGCGTTGTTGATGACAAGGGCATTCGCATGGACCCTGATAAGATCAACAGCGTGCTGAACTGGAAGGTTCCCACGAACCGTGAACTTCTACGCGGGTTCTTGGGCTCTGTCGGATACCTCGCAGATGACCTTGCCTTAGTCCGTGTCCCCATGGCAGTACTACACACCTTGACTGGTGACACGGTCCCGTTCCGTTGGAGCTTCACACACCAGCGTGCGTTTGAGGATGTGAAGCGCATTGTTACCGACTTGCGAGAGCATCGCCGGAAGCCACTGGTGTACGGTCCAGACACTGACCCAATCTTCCTCGTCACGGATGGATGCAGCACAGGTGTTGCGGGAGTAGTCTCGCAGGGCAGGGACTGGAAGAGCGGCAAGGTTGCGGCCTTCTTCTCCGCGAAGCTGAACTCAGCTCAGCAGAACTATCCAGTTCATGAAATAGAAATGCTTGCCGGCGTCGAGGCGATGCTGCGTCATCGCGACATCCTGCAGGGATGCCGATTCCAGTGGATCACCGACCACAAGGGCCTGATCCACTTGATGAATCAGCGTGATTTGTCGGGTCGCCAGGCGCGGTGGGTCGAGAAGATCGCCGAATTCGACTTTGAGGTGGTGTATGTGCCAGGCACAGAGAACGTGCTGGTGGACGCACTGTCTTGTATCTACTCGAATGAGACCCCCGGGACTGTCCGCGCACAAAGCGAATACACGTACCACGATGTAATTGACAACGACTCCCTCAGTGTCGGATCTATCACCATGCCAGTTTTTGCCGGGCGTGAGGCACAAGCCCTATCCAGTGACCGAGTGCTCCGCTCTGCCACCAGGGCAAAAGCACCTGAAAACTCATCAGTGGAGGCTGAGATAGCACGAGGACCTGTCGAGAGAGCCCCGAAGCCCTCAGGCAGAGTGCTGAGGTCTGCGACAGAAAAGCGTGGGCCTAGTGCGGGTGATGCTGTCAGGCTGCCCAGCGTTCCCGAAACCGCAGTAAAACCGCCCAGGAGGGCGAGAGGATTGTTCCCAACGCCTTTCGTTGGAAAGGAGGGCGAGGGTAGGAAGAAAAATTCGACCTTTGAAGACGTCGTGAGCGCTCGAGACCAAGGACAGCTGTCAGAACAGCCACCGGCTGATCGGGAATTGACCCCGGAACCAACGTATGAGATCGATGCTGAGATCAACAGGCTCGATCCTTCGCTGTTCCCTGTGGTTAAGGACGCTGTGAATGGTCTCGATTTATCGAAGTTCCTTCGAGGGAAATACACAGAGGATTCTTTCTTCAAAGACATTATTGCTCAACCACAGAGCTTCAAGAACTTTGAAGTGAAGGATGGCCTTGTGTATCTCAAGGATGGCCAGAACTTGATGCTCGGCATCCCGAGACTCACATACCAGGGACGAAACATCCGTGAAATAGTAATATCGGAAGCTCACTCCATCCTAGCACATCTGGGATCACGAAAGACTCTTGAATATCTACGAGAATATGTATGGTGGAAGGACATTGTTGACGATGTCCGTACATATTGTGAGACTTGTACTACATGCAAGCGTAGTAAACCGAGCAATCAAAAGCCATACGGGCTCTTACACTCGCAGTCTCCACCGAGTCATCCCTGGGAAGCCATCGGAGTTGATTTTGTTGGGCCACTCCCCGAATCTAAGAACCGGGACGGCGTGTTCAATTCAATCACAGTTGTGATATGTCTACTCACCGGAATGGTTCATTGTATCCCCAGCCGAATCAACTACACCGCTCGCCAGATAGCGGAGTTGATGTTCGAGCAGGTGTACAAATTGCACGGATTACCTAATTCAATTGTCAGTGATAGAGACGTTCTATTCACCAGTACCTTTTGGCGCCGACTGAACGAGCTCATTGGGACGCAGATGCGCATGTCCAGTGCGTATCACCCAGAGTCTGATGGATCAACAGAGCACGCAAATCGTACCGTGACGCAAATGCTTCGCCAGTGCATCGGCGAGAAACAGAGAGATTGGGTGGCCAAACTCCCTGCTGTCGAGTTTGCAATCAATTCAGCGCACTCTGAGTCGACTGGATACTCACCTTTCTTTCTGAACACGGGCATGATGCCCCGATCACTGATCTGGGATTCGGATCGCACTCGCAAATATCCGGGAATTGCAAATTTCGCGCTCCAACGACGCCTCGCTGTGATGGCGGCACATGACGCAATCATCGCCGCACGCGTCAAGCAGACTCGAAATGCCAATAGGAAGCGTCAGCCTGAACCGTTCGCACAAGGGGACTTGATTTACCTATCCACGAAGAACATCAAGTTCGAAAAGGGATTGGCTCGAAAGCTGATCCCGAAGTATATCGGCCCTTATCTGATCACTCAGGACTTTGGAAATTCGTCGTTCAAGGTGGACTTACCTCCAGAGCTGAAGCGACGTGGAGTGCATGACGTCTTCCATGCCTCCCTGCTGCGTGCACATGTCCCGAATGATGATCGTCGCTTCCCAGGTCGCCTGGAAAGTCAGCTCAATATTACCTCCGATGCCAGCGCTCAAGAGTGGGCTGTGGATCGAATTCTGAGCCATTCGGGAAGCCGGAAACGTGCTCTATTCGAAGTTAAATGGAAGTCTGGTGATCTCACATGGATGCCTTACCAGCAGGCGAGCCATTTGAACGCCATGAAAGAGTACTTTGAGGTCCTAGGCATATCTGATGTAAATCAGCTCACCGTCGGGCGAGGAATACCACCGCAAAATGACGCCGAGGTCTTGGCAAGTGGGGCCACACTCCATGTCGGAGCCATGTGCCCCAACACTGCGCCGATTTTTAGTGAAATAAATGAGAATTTATTTGCCAGTGAAGAACTCACCTGGTCGTTCCCCCTCGTCATGCCTTACAACAACGATAATCCATTCCACGATCCGTCGTCCTACGGCGCAACGCGCCCATCGAACCAAATCAGCCGCGAGTATCGCGAGTTCAACAACACGTACCGTGATATCCTCCTTCGTCAGGACCCCGGCATGTTCATCTATACAGACGCCAACGATTTCGATCGAGCTCTCCCAGCGAGCCTTGTGCAAGTCTACGTCGTTTATAATCAGTTTGGCAACCACCCGAAGACGAACAAGGAACGTATCCCGAATATGCCCGTTCACTACATGGACTGGGCCGATGACATGAACGAGCGTTGCCCAGAAGGATTCAAGTGGGGCTGGCCCGACAGTGCCGCGGAAGATGGTTGGCACTATGCTGAAGGCAAGATCGCCTCGGTTTGGGACTTCGGCGTTGCGGACAGCCAAATCCAGTCATTCGAAGTGCCGGAAGGCAAGATGCTTGTCGACAAGGGTGATTGGGACGTCGGGGTCGAGTCGATGACGTCGCGGTTGAGGTCGCAGAAGAGAGCGCGCGAGCACGGGTTCCAGGAGCGCGAGGCCAAGCGTGCGAGGAAGAGCATTTCGACGAACGAAGACCGGCATGTGGAGTTTCGTCGCCAGAAAAACACGAGAGCGGTGGTGAATGCGCGTGCGAGTCAGACGCGTAGCCAGCCGGACGAACCCGCGGCCGAAGCGGCCAGCACCAGTGCCGCAGAGCCTGCTGAGGACGACGCCATGTATTGAGGACTAGAAGGCAAGAAGACCGCCGCGTGACGTCGATCTGGAGGGCGTGTGTAACGGACAGGCTGTTACATACGTAGTCATCTGAATTGACAAACCTTTATCTTATCTTTTATCACACAGCCGCACTTTTTTATTATATATATAGTTGATGTAGTAGACTAGGGGGCAGTGAATCTAGCTTATAACAGTCATCTCTAGCTTCGCTAAAAGCCCTCCCGTGTGCCGGAACTCGACTCGACTCGCTTCCGTCACATTTGGGTTTGGCCAAATGCCCAAACCTGAACCATGGTTTGGTTCAGAGTTCAGGGGAGACCAAGAAAGCCAAACTTGGTTTAAACTGGTTTGAACCAATGAAATTACTTGAAGCATTTTTGTAGCTGTACAGGCTTGTAGAACCTATTTCCATCCTTCAAAAGTTCAAATTCTATACAACTGAACTTGTTTGATGTGTGTCTCAATGGATTCTGTCCAATGTAAGGCCAAGTGATGCTGATGTAATCAATTCAATGTCAAAGTTTTTGGACAACTATGCCCCGACAAATTGTCTGAAAAGATTTCAAAGTCTGTCAAGGTCTGCCTGTTTACATCTATAAACCTATTACACATGATTTCCTTGCATTTGAGTCTGGCTGGACTGAAAAATACCATATTCTCATGAAAATTTCATTCAGCAGTTTGAACCGGTTTGAACCTCTGAACTGAACCGTGCGAACCTGAACTGTGGTTCTGTCAGTGGAACCCCCGCTTTTGTCCAATCATTGTGGGATCTTGCATGTGACCATGCACGTGCCATCTGTCAAGCATCACATGCTTCAGTCCGGACTCCCCTGCTGAGCATGTCCAGATGACCCTCTGGCCCGAACCCTCTTTTTCTGTCAGGGGACGCCACGCTCCTTGGGCACATGACCATGCATGTGACCCACTGCGCCCTCTCTGCCAACCTGTGCCTGCTCACCTGTCAATCACCCAGCCTCCTCCTCCTCCTCCGATCCTCATCTCCATCCGTGCCAACACCCGCTCTCTCTCTCCTTCTCCCGGCCATCTCCTTCAAATCCCTGCAAGCGGTCTAACCAAGCCCGATTCCTTGCACCAGGGAGTGCTACTGCCGTAGGCACTCCTCCCCCTCTACTTCGGCCTTCTTCCCGCAGATGTAGTCTACTGCTGTACAGGCTTGTACTAGAAGCCCTTGTGCTCATCCGCACCACCCCTCTTCTCAGTCAGGCATTGGTCCTCGCCTCCAATGTCTCCACTGGCCAGTGTTGCAGACAATACCGCGCAGTGGAGATACGACCAGTAGCGATCACCTAAAGACACAGAGTCTCAGCGAGTGTAAGACACAGGAGCTATACATTAGCTGTACCTAAAGACACAGAGTCTGTGGTACAAGTCATAAGTAAGGGTCATTAGATCGTAAGGGAGAATGCATACCTCAGCGAGTGTAAGACACAGGAGCTGAGGATATGGAGCATATAGTACTAGGTTTATATACCAGTCTGGAGCAGATATCATGATGTCATAGTGGAGTAATGATATCATAGATGAGTAATGGATGACACAATAATGAGGTCAGGTATGAGGTCATTGTGGAGCGAGCCAAAGTAATCTAAGAATACTACTTATGATGTCATGTCTACATACTGTGATAGTCGCTAATACAAACAAGCTTCAACAGCCAGTCAGGCACTGGCCTGGCCACTGCGCTCCTCCAGTGTGGCTTTCCACTGTTGGTGCCTCAGGAGCTGGCCATCACTGGCTGTGACAATCAACCCAAGAACAAAGTCGAAAAGAGAAGTGAATTCGAAGACTGGAGAATACAACCAAGTAGCTACAGTATTTATACCCAAATCCAGTCTGAGTCATATCTACAACTAATGAGTCATAGGGCTATGTACCGCATGGAGCACTGATCATGGGTTGTAGTAGAACCTTCCGGAGCATATGTCGCGCAGCCTTGAATCAATAAGGATAATCCCCTGGAACCCCTAGCCCGGACCGTCTGATGCCGTGATCCGTGATAAGATAAGTTGTGCCAAGATAAGATGAGATCGTCGAAGATAAGATAAAAAGTGGCCGAATTATGACATTACCACCTCTCTAGGGTCGATGTCCTCATCGACTAGGCCAATGGGTGTGAAGACGTTCTCGTAAGGGTCGAAGAGTTGTCGTTGGGGGTATGGAAGGCGTTCGTCTCTGGGCTTGTAGCGATGAATGAGATAGTCCCAGTGTCCGGCTTCGAGCGTTGGTAGGAGGCGAATGCATGTGTCTGGGTTGGATTGTCTCTTCTGCCAGTCTCTCAGGACCTCCTTCACGTGGCTAAGGTGACGTGATGGTTCCCAGGTGTTCTCGCTATGTGGCCATCCCTTCCATTTGACCAAGTACTGTTTTCCTCGGCCAACGTTTCGCTCTTTCACGATCTCTTCGACTTCCCACTCCTCTGCTCCTCCGATCATCTTGGCTACGGGCCTCTTCTCTCGGCGATGGGGGGGTGGTTCGTGATACGGTGTCAACAGTGACTCGTTGAACACCGGATGCCTTCGGTCCGTGTCCGGTAAATCCAGTTTCCATGCAGCTGCTCCAACCTTCTCCAGTATCTCGTATGGTCCTAATCTCTTGTTGCTCATCTTCTTTGATGGTCTATCCGTCTCGATATTTTCCCCTTCTATGTACACCTTCATCCCAACCTTCAACTCTGGAACTTCTTTTCTTTGTTTATCGTGTCAGGGGAACCCCCGCTTCGGACCGCTCTGCCTTCGATCAGGCATGTGATCGCGCTCGCGTGACCTGTCAGCTGTCACGCGCCGCGGCCCGGACTGCCGCGCCAAGCGCTTCTCTCTGATGGGCACATGGTCAGCTGTCCCATTGTTCCCACTGTCTCGGTTTCCTATTGTTCTCCAATGGCCATTGTACTTATTGTTCCCATTGTTCTTTGATTGTCGCCCGAGCGCACCCCGTTCCCGTTCCCCACTTGGGCTTTGTTCGTCACCGAGTTCAAGCTCCGATTCGTCGAGGAGAACGAGCAAGACCACGCCTTGGCGCGATTGGAAACCCATCAGTATTATATGGGCTCCCGCGACGTATTCAAGTACACGGACGAGTACGACGACCTCCTTGACCTCGCTGGTTATACCGACAACTTGGTCAAGGTGACCAAATATAGGACGGGCTTGGACCCGAAGATCAACCAAGCCATCACCACCTCTGGTAACCCTCCCAGCCTCACCGACTACGCCGAATGGCGTGTCCGTGCGTTCCGGCAGTACAATGCGGAACTCGCTGCCAGAGCTTCTCGAGGCCACGCAGCGCCTCCTCCCCGAGCGCCTGCTGTTGCCCCCCGTCCTCGTGCCCCAGTGCTCCCTGCTGTAGCACCGGCCCTCGCTGCCCGCCCGGCGCCCGCCCCTGTCGCCCATCCAATTCCCATGGAGGTAGACCGAGCCCGGCTCCGTGGTGACATTCGACGCACCTGCTTCCGCTGCGGCAGTCCGGGTCATCTTGCCCGTGACTGCCCCACCCCAGCTGACATACGTCACGCTGATGTCCTTGATGAGGTCATCAATCAGCTGGGGAGTGATCTGCTTTCCGAGTTGGTTGCTCGGGTCGCGACCACTGCAGCCGTTGCGGATCATGCGTCCAACGTCACAGCCGAGGAGGAGCAGGGTTTTCTCCCCAGCGACGAGTGAGTAGTACGCCCTTGTTCGCTTCACGTAATCGTTTCTCCTGTTTGTATGATGAATCCAATTCCCTCCACTCTGCAACACTTGAAGCGATAGACGTACACCCTGCTCCCCCTCTAACCCGACGAGTCCGTAAGGAGAAGTGGGAACGCAAGCTCCCTTCCTACTATGTCGCTGCCGCCTCTCCCGGGGCCAATTCTCTCCACCTCCCCCTCGAGATCAAGTTCACCGACAACGCAGTGAAGTTATCTCTCAAAGGCCTGGTCGATTGTGGTGCCACATCCGACTTCATCAACTCGGCCTACGTCCTCGAAAATCACCTCCCCGTTCGTTGCCTCACCCAGCCTATCCCCGTTTACAACGTGGACGGCACGCCGAACGAGGCCGGTTCCATTCGCGAAGTTGCTGATGTGGTTCTCCGTTACCAGGGCCACAGTGAACGCGTGCAGCTTGCTGTCACCCGTTTAGGCAAGCAGCAGCTCATTCTAGGGTACTCCTGGCTCCGGAAGCACAACCCGGAGATCAACTGGGATACCCAGGAGGTAAAAATGAGCCGTTGCCCTTCTGGTTGCTCCACCTGCCGGGAGGAACTCCGCGAAGAACGTCGATCTGCCAGAACCGCAGCCCAGGTGCTCCGCACCATCAGACAAGGTCCGGTTCCATCCATCTGCGCTGTCGACGTTGAGGACCACGAGGACGAAGAGATGCCGGAGCTTTTGCCAGACTCGGACGATTACGACCCTGAAGATGTCGAAGAAGATGACGACTCCTTGGAAGCCGGTGACCGTATCTTTTACACCCGCTTCAACCCTTCTGGAAACATCCGAGCCACCAGCACCGTCTCCCAGCGACTCGCCGAAGCGTTTGCTAAGAACTCTGCACCTCCTCGGGATACCATCCCCAAGTGGGCCCGCGAGTTCGAAGATGTTTTCAGCAAGGAGTCCTTCGACAACCTGCCAGAGCGACGCCCCTGGGATCACGCCATTGAACTGGTTCCCGACGCAAAGCCGACCAACTGTAAGGTCTACCCCATCTCCCCGCTCGAACAGAAGCAGCTCGACAGCTTCATCGAAGAGGGCATGGCTACTGGCAGGATTCGGCCGTCAAAATCGCCCATGGTGTCTCCCGTCTTCTTTGTGAAGAAGAAAGATGGCACCTTACGGTTTGTCCAAGATTACCGAGCGCTAAACGCGATGACAGTGAAGAACCGCTACCCGCTCCCCCTGATCAATGATCTCATCAACAAGCTCAAGGGAGCTCGGTTCTTCACCAAGCTCGACGTTTGCTGGGGCTTCAACAACGTGCGCATTTGTCAGGGCGACGAGTGGAAGGCAGCGTTTCAGACAAACCGCGGGCTCTTTGAGCCGTTGGTGATGTATTTCGGCCTGACCAACTCCCCCGCAACGTTCCAGACGATGATGAATGACATACTTCAGGACCTCATCCTCTCTGGCGACGTTATGGTGTACCTCGACGACATTCTCATCGCACATTCCGATATCCACCGTCACCGGGAAATCGTGAACAAAGTCCTCCGACGTCTCCGCGAGAACAAGCTCTACCTTCGCGCGGAGAAATGCGAGTTTGAGATGCCGTCGATCGAATACCTTGGGGTGATCATTTCCCACAACCATGTGGAGATGGACCCGGTCAAGGTCGCAGGTGTGGCGGAGTGGCCAGCTCCGGCTAACAAGAAGGAAGTGCAGCAGTTCCTCGGCTTCACTAACTTCTACCGGAGGTTCATCCGGGATTTTTCGCACGTTGCCCGTCCTCTCTTTGACCTCACCAAGAAGGACGTGGCATGGACTTGGGGCGCCAACGAGGCAGCTGCGTTTCTTGCGCTGAAGAACGCTGTTACCTCTACCCCAGTCCTGCAGCTCCCGGATGCTTCCAGCTCTTACCGCCTCGAAGCAGACAGTTCGGACTTCGCGACCGGTGCTGTCATCTCGCAGCAGTCCCCCGTGGATGACAAGTGGCATCCGGTTGCCTTCTTCTCGAAGAGTCTTAACGAGGTCCAGCGGAACTACGAAATCCACGACAAGGAGATGCTTGCCATCGTCCGCGCCTTGGAGGAGTGGCGACACTTCCTCGAGGGCGCCGAGCACCCCGTTGAGATCTGGACCGACCACAAAAATCTGGAGTACTTCCGGAAGGCCCAGAATCTCAACCGTCGTCAAGCCCGCTGGTCCCTCTATCTGTCTCGCTTCGACTTCACCCTGCACCACCAACCTGGCCGCCTCATGGGCCGCCCGGATGCTCTCTTGCGCCGCCCCGACCACGGAGTCGCTTCGGACAACGCAGACGTCACACTGCTGCGCCCGGAGCTGTTCCATGTCCGGGCCTTAGAGGGTCTTACTGTCTCTGGACCCGAGGCCCCTCTCCTGCGCGACATCCGGGAGGCCCTCGCCGGTACCCCCGACATGGAGGAGCCCATTGTGTTGGCAGCACGTGAGCTCCTCAAGGAACGCGGAGTTTGCTCTGCTCGGGCTGCGGAGTGGCGAAAAGAAGGCGGCCTGCTCTACTTCCGTGGCAAGCTGGTGGTTCCACGCAACAACGACCTCCGCCAAGGCATCCTCGAGCAGCACCACGACACCCGCGTCGCAGGGCATGCCGGCCGCTTCAAGACGTTGGAGCTGATCTCTCGGAACTACTGGTGGCCCCAGTTGTCTCGACACGTCGGCCGGTATGTGGCCACCTGCGACCTGTGCTGCCGAACCAAGGCGCTCCGCCAACCCCCAATCGGGGAACTCCATCCCACGGAGGTCCCTTCGGAGCGCTGGGAAGCGGTGTCGGTTGACTTCATTGTGCATCTGCCAGACGCTCACGGGTATGATGCTATCATGGTCGTTGTTGACATGCTTGGGAAGCGCAGCCACTTTAAAGAGTGCCATACCCAGCTCTCCGGTGAAGGTGCCGCCAGGCTTTTCTACAAGAACGTCTGGCGCCACCATGGGCTGCCGTCTAAGTATGTCTCTGACCGCGGCTCCCAGTTCATAGCAGAGTTCACGCAGGAGCTGTGGAAACTCGTCGGGGTCTCATCGGCAATGTCTACCGCTTGGCATCCACAGACGGACGGCCAGACCGAGCGTGTGAACCAGGAGCTCGAGCAGTTCCTCCGAATCTTCACCAGCTACAACCAGGACGACTGGGACGAGCTGCTTCCCGCTGCAGAGTTTGCCTACAACAACCATATTCACTCATCCACGCAGCAGGTCCCGTTCATGACAGATACCGGTCGACTCCCTCGTATGGGCTTCGAACCGAATGGACTACGCTCAGCTGTGAACGAGTCGGCAAACGACTTCCGCGACCGCATCGCGTCTGGAGTGGCAGAAGCCAAGTCGGCACTGGTGAAGGCAAAGGATGAGTACAAGCAGTACTACGACCGCCGGAGGGTCTCAGCTCCAGACATCAAGGTCGGAGATCGAGTCTGGCTTGACGCTTCTGACATAGCAACAACGCGCCCGTCCCTCAAACTCTCTCACCGACGGCTGGGTCCCTTCAAAGTCACCCAGGTTGTTGGGCGCGGTGCTTACAAGCTTGACCTCCCTCGCTGCCTCTCTGGTCTTCACCCGGTCTTCCCCGTTGTCAAGCTGCAGCTCGTTGAGGACGACCCGTTCCCAACACGCCCGGCCCGCGAGGAGCCGCCACCCGTCATGGACCAAGGAGCTGGCGAGGAGTGGGAAGTCGAAGAGGTCCTGGACGCCAAGATGCGCTACCGGAGCATTTGGTACTTTGTGCGGTGGAAGGGCTACGATTCGTCGCACGACCAGTGGGTTAAGCACTCTGATATCTTCGCAGAGGACGCTATAGCGGCATTCTACCGCAAACACCCCAACAAGCCACGCATCATTGCCGCCGCCATCTTCGACTCCCTTCCGTTCCAGCACCCCTCTGCCACCATCCGCACGTTGCGTCGAGGCGCCGCAATCCAAGGGGGGGGTGATGTCAGGGGAACCCCCGCTTCGGACCGCTCTGCCTTCGATCAGGCATGTGATCGCGCTCGCGTGACCTGTCAGCTGTCACGCGCCGCGGCCCGGACTGCCGCGCCAAGCGCTTCTCTCTGATGGGCACATGGTCAGCTGTCCCATCGTTCCCACTGTCTCGGTTTCCTATTGTTCTCCAATGGCCATTGTACTTATTGTTCCCATTGTTCTTTGATTGTCGCTGCGCGCTCTATTGCTCTTGTATCATATAAATAGTGGCGCCTGGCAAGGAGAATCCCTAACACGGTTTCTCTTTGGATTCTCCCTTGCCAGGTATGCCGGTCTTGTACCTAGCTACCACTATTGACACTTTGGATTCTCCCTTGCCAGAACTCTGAGATCGGGTCTCGAGGTTGCCCTTACATATCGTAGTATTTTTTCATTTTTTCTTTTGCTTTTTCCAATGCTGCTTTTGCTTTGTCTTGTATTTCTTTGATTCTTTTTACAAACTCCTCCGCTGACTCGTTCCTCGATTCCATCCGTTGCTCCACTCCCTTCCATGGGTGATATCCGTGATTGCCGTAAAACGGTGATATTTTGGTCGACATGTTCATTTTGTCGTTATATGCGAACTCCGCCATTCCCAGCCACTCCGACCAGTCCGTCTGATGGTAATTGACATAGATGCGGAGATAATGTTCGATCTCCTGATTCATGCGTTCTGTTTGTCCATCCGTGATCGGGTGATATGCGGTACCCGGATTCATTTCTATGCCCAACATCCGATTCGTTTCCTTCATGAAGCCCTTGATGTAACGCGAATCCCTGTTGGTGATGATCTTGCGGGGGATCCCGTGGTAGCGGAAAACTTGGTCCCTGGTTAATCGTGCGACTCCTTCACTGCTGATGTCAGTACTAATTGGTTCGACATGGATAATTTTGGTGAAGGTGTCACACCACACATGGATTGCGTCATACCCATTACTAACCGGCAGGGGTCCGATTTGATCCATCGAGATGATTTCCCATGGCGCATTTGGAACTGCATGCGGGTGTAGAGTCCCCGTCCTCGCTCTCCTGGTCTTGGTCCGTTGGCATGCCTCACACGTCTGGATGTATTTCCGAATTTGGTTTCCCATCCTTGGCCACCAGTAGTTCCTTTCCACCATCTCCTGCGTTCGGTTAATTCCAGCGTGTCCGGCCAAGGGTGTGTCATGGTGTAGCCCGATGATCTTGTCTCGCAGTTCCTCGTCCCTCGGTACGTAGAGCTTCCCATGGTACGTGATGAGCCCGTCTTCCTTTTTCCATCCAGCGAGTGACTTCTGCAAGGCCGCCTTGACGCTTCCATCAATTGATCGAGTGGCCTTGATCTCATCGATTAGCTGCTGATCCTGTCCCTCGAATGTGACTTCTTGTGATCGGAAGAACTCAGGCTTCAGTAGCGTGATGTCCTTGTTGTTGTTCTTGCCCTGATCGTGATCCGCTCGTCGAGATAAGAGATCCGCCTTGCGGTTGAGTGCACCGGGCCGGTGTCGTAAGGTGAAATCAAACTCCGCCAACTCCGTGATCCACCGTGCTTGCCGTCGATTGAGCTTCTGCGGCTTCCAAAAGTACTCGAGATTTTGATGATCGGTGAAGATCTCGAACGTTTCCGTGGCTCCCAGGAGTAACTGCCTCCATTCGTCCAGTGATAGCATGATTGCGAGCATTTCCTTGTTGTAGATCTCGTAATTTCGCTTGGTTTCGGTTAATGCATGCGAAATAAATGCGATTGGACGCCAAATGCCATCTTGGTTTTGGCTCAAAACAGATCCTGTTGCCCCTTCCGAAGCATCGGCTTCCAGACGATATTGGCCGGTGTCGTTTGGTAGCGCTAAGACCGCATCCTCCGCGATTCTCTTCTTCAACCCATCAAATGCTGCACGCTCTTCTGCACCCCATGACCATCCTGCCTTCCCTGTCAGCCGTGTCAACGGCTTGGCAACCTCCGCGTATCCCCGGACAAAGTGCCGATAGAAGTTCGTGAATCCGAGGAAGGCTTGAACCTGTTTGACGCTCTTTGGTTCTGGCCATTCCATCACACCCTTGATCTTGACTGGGTCCATCCGCATCGAATTATGTCCAATAATTACCCCCAAATATTCGATTTCCGTGCGTTCGAACTCGCACTTTTCGGGTTTCAGGTACAACTTGTGCTTTTGGAGCAATTCGAGTACTCATTTTGTGATCCGTCGATGTTCGTCCAAGCCCTCTGTGAAGATCAATATATCGTCAAGATAAACGACCACGTGGCCCTCATTGATCAGTTCCCGCAGTATGTCGTTCATCATATTTTGAAAGGTTGCCGGGGAATTTGTGAGACCAAAGAACATGACCAAGGGCTCGTATAGTCCGCGGTTTGTGCGGAACACGGCCTTCCACTCGTCGCCCTCTTTGATCCGTACGTTGTTGTATCCCCATCGGATGTCGAGTTTTGTGAAGAACTTGGCGCCGCATAGATTATGGACCAGTTCGGAGATCAGCGGCAGCGGGTATCAGTTTCGGATCGTCATTTCATTGAGCTTCCGGTAATCTTGGACAGGACGTAAGGAGCCATCTTTCTTCTTGACAAAGAAGAATGCTGATGCCATGGGTGATTTCGATGGCCTGATCCGTCCGCTGGCCAGGTTCTCTTGTAAGAACTCGTCGAGTTTGACCTGCTCGTTTCGTGATAATGGGTACACCTTGCAATCCACTGCCTTGGAACCAGGTTTGAGCTCGATTGCATGATCCCATGTCCGTCGGTCCGGTAGTGAGTCAAACGATTCCTTGGCAAATACTTTGACGAATTCCCGGTATTGATCCGGAATCTTTCCCTCGGTCATTCTCTCCTTCTCCCTCTCCGCTTCTTCTGCGAATTTCTGTGCCGGTGTTTCCTTCAGCCGTAGATCCACTTCTTTCCCGAAGTCGACCAACAGGATTGATTCTCCCTCTTCCAGATCCGGTGCGCTCGTGTCCAGGTCGATTGCATCCATATCAATCATCGCTTGGTGCTCCTCGTGACCGCTCATGTGACACCGTTCTGGGCATCGACTGAATCTCATGGTCTGCTCCTGCCAATCCACCTCAGGGTTGTGTTCCGTCAGCCAGTCAAGACCAATGAAGATCCGGGCCTTCCCTAAGCACGTCAGAAGGAACGTGCGTGTCTCCACGTGAGGACCGATTCTCATCCTCAGGTCAACGTAATGCGTGATCCGACCGCTGATGTTCTCGGTGTTGTCGGCGTTACGAGCCACAATGGGTTGCGGTGACGGACTGGCCTATCTATCCGACAAGTCCTGACGTGTGGCAGTGCATGTCAATCAGCAATCAGTGGGCGCACGCTTCGCACACAACTGAGGGTCTCCTCAATATTCCTCAGCCCTGGCTATTCACTGGTTCGTCCAGCCCTGCATATATTTTTGATATTCACATCCCTGGACTGCTGTCTGCACATTTATCTCTACACCCCTGCCTTTCTTACTTCACCATCCACTTGTACCTGTTTTTCCCCTCTCACTTCCCTGGTTCCTCTGTTCACCATCCCTTGCTCCATCCTGTCGATATTTCACCCACTCTGATGATTATTTCATTGTCTCACATACAAAAGCTTGTAGTTGGACAAAAGAAAAATAGATTTATTCTCCTCATAGTCTTGAGTTCAGTTCTCGTCTTCAGCTCGTTTCTACTTGGGTATTTCGACCCTCTGCTTCGTCGCATCCGTCCCACGCCGCCCTCGACTTCGTCCCACGTCTAAAATCATCATTTCTTACTGCCTGCCACGGCACTGAATCTTGTGGACCTCCTCGCACATCACACTTATTCCTGCACTGTTTTAGGTCGTAGCTGACCCCCATTTTGTGTTAGCTCGCGCCTATTCCGTCCGCAGGCACGTCAGCGGGAGCTCTTGGATATCCAGCTTCTCTGCCCGCGCATAGTCGGTATCGATGCAGCAGGTACTGCAGCCACTATCGAGCAGCGCCTTGACTCTGCGTGTTTTTCCCGAGTCCAGACCCGTGATCTGAACATATACGTCCATTGAATGCCTCTTTCTTTCGGCCTGGTAACTGCGCAATTCCTGCGCCAACTTGCTGGGTTGGGGGCCCTTCTGTTTCTCGGCCGCCAATTTCCTCTGGACAGCATCTGGCACCCTGGTGCGTTTGGGTGCTTCTGGAACCTTGATTTCGGCAGATTCCTTAGGCGCTTCCTCCTTTTCCAAGGATTGAGCCTCCGGAGCGATGCTCCCTTTTTTGGTCTTTGTTGACGTGGTTCCTTCTCCACGAGCCATAAATACGTAGGAGTCCAGAATTAATTTATCTGCAGCTTTCTGATCCTTTTTACTCTGTAAATATTCCCTATTTAAAGCTATTTTTCTTTGGCGTTCTTTTTCCATATCAGCAATGAGAAAATCGTGAATATTGGTACGTAGTGAGTCCGAGATTGTGTATGTATGTGCAGAATCGTTCATGTCTTTAATTGAAACAAGTATAGAAAATCGTCCATAGTCCGGACGCTCCACCTCCTTGGCTAGAGGAGTGGAGCGCTTCAAAAACCCTTCTCGCGCAGCTTCTCGGCAATCTCCTTGAGGAACTCGTTGTCTTTGTCCCCGTTCTCGATCTCTTCAAGCATCGTGGCCCGATTGAAGAATGTGCGCTTCTTCCTTGGTTCCGGGCAGTTCCGCGCAATGTGCCCAGGCTGCTGACAGTTGTAGCAGATGATGTTGCGGCCGCGGGCGTGGGTGCGGTCGATTTCCATCGGAACCGGTTCGTTGGCAGCGGGTCGGGCCGGGGCGGGTGCAGGTGTCATTGGGGCTGCCTGCGGGCGGAATTGGGGAGGCGGTCGTGGTGCGGATTGCGTATGCGATGCTTTGCGCAGCTGATCGCGTAGAGCGTTTGCCTCGATGTTGACACACCAGCTCTTGAAGGCTCCATATGCCTTGGACAGGGAACGCCAGTGTTGTAGAGACGGCTTGCAATTTCGCTGCTGAGTCCGCGCTCCAGGAACTCGATGAGGATATTGTCCTGTTCCCCCTTCTTGTACTCGCCCTTGCTGTCGGTGGAGGTGACCACGTTGTACCCCGCGTCTGCAGCCAGCATTTCGAAGTCGGAGATGTAGTCCGCAAAGGACCGTCTGCCCTGGCGAAGGGCCATGAGTCGAGCGGCAGCGACTTGCTCTGCGTTAGAATCCCCAAAGGCCCTCTGAAGCTCCTCCAAGAAGCTTGTCGCGGTGACTCCCGCCTTCAGTCCTTGGAAGCCCTCGAAATTGTGCTGCTTCCAGTTCATTGCCCATCTTGAGGCGGCGCAGCTTGTGCCGCTCTCATTGCGGAGGTAGGACAGGACGAAGAGGATTTTTGTCTCATCCAGTGAGAACTCTGACCAATAGGCACCGATGTAAGTGGTGCACGCATCCACAAAGCCCAGGTACTTGGACTTGTCGCCATCGAAGTAGGGGGGATTGGCGGCGAGGGTGATGCGGTGATGTCCTGACATGGTAGGGGCAGGTGCGGTAGGTGGGGGCGAGGGTGGTTGTTCAGAGGGTAACTCGCCAAGGTCGGGGAACTCGTCTTCAGGCGGCGGAAGGGCGAGGTAGGGGTTGGAGGGCCCGGGTTGGTTTTGATGCGCCAGATCGGGCGACGATGGTATGATGGGGGGAGGGGATGGACTCCCAGATGACAATGGGAATCGGTAAGAAATGGTGGATCCGTGTGCTGTACAAGCACTCAAGGAAAGGTTCTTTTGCTAGCAAAAAGATCCCGGGCCTAGCTCTTCACGTGCCCGATGATCCCGAGGTGCGTTTTCCCGAAGGTCTCCGCAGCACTCCTTGTAGCTACCGTAAGGCTTGGGTCGGGCTCAACGTTACCCGTGGCCTGGTGCTGTTTGCTCGATATGAACCTTTCACTGCGATCGCAGCGAGCGACTAGATGATTCGGTAAAAGGGTGAGTGGGGTGATAAAGGTGAAGAGGATATAGTGGGCGTAGCGGTGCAGGGAGCAGGGTAGGAGGTAGGAGGTAGGAGGGTATGAGGGGAGTCTTCGAATTATGTGACAATCAACCCAAGAACAAAGTCGAAAAGAGAAGTGAATTCGAAGACTGGAGAATACAACCAAGTAGCTACAGTATTTATACCCAAATCCAGTCTGAGTCATATCTACAACTAATGAGTCATAGGGCTATGTACCGCATGGAGCACTGATCATGGGTTGTAGTAGAACCTTCCGGAGCATATGCCGCGCAGCCTTGAATCGATAAGGATAATCCCCTGGAACCCCTAGCCCGGACCGTCTGATGCCGTGATCCGTGATAAGATAAGTTGTGCCAAGATAAGATGAGATTGTCGAAGATAAGATAAAAAGTGGCCGAATTATGACACTGGCCCTCTGAGCCACTCACTATCTTATCTGGGTTTGTCATCATCTACTTGTCATCTGCCGTTGTTCCATGGCAGTGATATCCCATCATCATCAGTCACTTGTCACAGCTGACTATATAGTGTGACACCTGGGCACATGGATCCTTGAACCATTCTCTAAGGATCCCCCTCTGTGCTCAGTGTCGCAGACAATACCGCGCAGTGGAGATACGACCAGCAGCGATCACCTATAAGACAGAGTCTCAGCGAGTGTAGAGACACAGGAGCTGAGGATATGGAGCGTATAGTACTAGGTTTATATACCAGTCTGGAGCAGATATCATGATGTCATAGTGGAGTAATGATATCATAGATGAGTAATGGATGACGCAATAATGAGGTCAGGTATGAGGTCATTGTGGAGTGAGCCAAAGTAATCTAAGAATACTACTTATGATGTCATGTCTACATACTGTGATAGTCGCTAATACAAACAAGCTTCAACACTCAGGTGAGTAGTATACCTCCCTTGTATTTGATAGTCTCTGAGGATTCCCCTCTGTGTTCAGACTCATGTGAGGTTGTTGTGTGCTGTGTGCTCTCTTCCTTCAGGCTGGCAGGAGTTGCCCTTACATTTTCCAACAGTATGGCTCCCATTGTTCTTCCCGATCTGGCCCCTCATTGTTCCCTGGCCCCATTGTCTGGCGCTTCCCATTGTGCTTGGTTATCCATTGTTCCATAGGCTATATATAGTGGGCCCTGACAAGGAGAGTCCCCAACTTGGTTTCTCTTCGAACTCTCCCTTGTCAGGTTTGCCATTCTCCTGTATTAGTTGATCCCCTTTTCTGACACTTTGGACTCTCTCTTGTCAGGACTCTGAGATTGGGCCTCGAGGTTGCCCTTACAGGTGCATACATCTTGTGGACCATGTGTATGGCTGCAGGATCAACTTGGACCTGTGATGTTATGAGCAGTTGACTGGGTTGGGAACTAAGGTGTACCTTAAAGTCTAGAATTGCATAGTCTTCAGTGAACTGCAACATGTGCATGGGGACTCCATGTGGCAAAACCTTTGATGATGAGTCATTTGTCAAGTTTATCAACAATGTTAGCACTGTTCCCATCTCATCTTTTGGTCACGACTTGCTGCATTATCCAGTTGCCTTGTTCCTCTGTTTTATGCAGCATGTTCAATATGAGAAGTCCAAGGGATTGGTATTCTTGTCCAACCTACAAGGTTCGCATTTTTCAACTTGGTAACTGTCATTATTAAGACATTATCCTCAGGCTCTTGTTTGAACAACCCACAAATCATGACATCTCCGTAAGTCCGATTTCCTTTCAGATCATCACTGAATGCTCATCCAATGAAAGCAAACTCAAAGGGGATCTTTTTGGGGGTGAAAATGTTGGCTCCCTGTTCAAAAAGTTCCCAAGCCAACACCAATGCTCACAGTACTGCCAATTCTTCTGGCTGTCATCCCTTGCTTAGTTGAGTGTTTTCTGTGCTCTATAGAATCACTACTGACACTATAAGGTACACAATAGCGACATGCAAGCAAGCCAATCCCTCCACAAACTGAAAGCTCAGTGGATTTGTCAGCGATCTCATCAAGGTAGCTCCACGTGATCCTTCTGATCATTGCTGGATGCCCCGAGCTAGGATCAAACAGGGTGCTATCTCCTTGTTATACTCACAGGTTGTATCTACCTACATAGTCTCTAAGCTAGTTCCAGAAACCAACTTCATAAGGCTTGATGCAGCTGATCTCTTGGCTTCTTACCACCACGTGCACCTGATCGGCGGCCCACAATCAACATGTCTTGACCTTGCAGACGCACGATGGGCCACGTAGCGGTGCGGGCGCTTAGTAGCTTGGATACCACCTATCCTACTTGACACAGCAAGAGTAAATGTACGGGGCAGGGGGACAACAAAGCAGCACACCCGCGAGCACAGTGCCCACGAGCGCCAGTCAGACACAACAAACCATGGGCACCAGAGCAATGCCTCTGAAAGACATGCACCTAAGAATGGACCTTACCAGGGAGCAGCTGTACAAAACGGACTTGGGGGTAGACCTCAGCACTATAAGTACCCAGGACGCAATGAGAAATCTGATAGCAAAGGGATTTCATACAGAGACAGTGAGTGATACACCGACACAGAGCAACCTGGCCCTGGCCATACTTTGTGCAGCAGCTACAGGAGGTCTATCAGTGATAGTCACAGACGTGTTGCGCACCTTAGCACACCTGGTCGAAACGCTCAACGGCCCCACCCACATCAAACAATTAGGGGAAGACATCCAAGGAGTGCTCAGAATTCTACAAGGGGAATTTGCCAGTCCCAATGACAATGAAGATGGACACAGACAGCCAACGACAATGGCGACAAAGCTTACTACCACCGTTGAGCAACACTGCAGGGCCCTGGAACGAGCCACCACACAACTCAAAGCATACATAGACGAGGCGTCATTGCGGGCAGCAAAAGCCACGGCCCACAATACGGACACATCCCAGGCACGCACTGTCACATACCCAGATGCAGTGCGCAATGCACCACCACCACACCTAGCAACAGCATTCGCGCAATCCCAAGCTTGCAGGCTACAAATCACCATACGCCCAGAACGTGACACAACAGTCACATGGCAAGATCTAAACGACAGGGAAACCCTCACAAAGGTCAACATCGCCCTAGCCGCGGCACACGAGAATGCAAATGACGACAAAGGGCCAGAAGAGCTAAAAGCCAGGGCATCCCAGCGTACCCGAAACGGTGCTCTAATCACACACATGACAACGGCAGACGGCGCCGAATGGATACAAAAGCCGGAAAACATGCAGACCTTCCTAGTAGTGCTAGGCGGCAACACAACATACACCCCACACAACTACACTGTGGTAGCAGACTTTGTACCAGTAACCTTTGACCCGGAATCACCTACGGTCATTAGCAAACTGGAGGACAACAATGGGCTCAAGAACAGACAGGTTGTCAGCACGAGATACATCAAACCAAAGGAATGAAGGACACGCGGACAGCGGGTGGCCCATGTCATGATTGGCTTCAAAACAGCAAGTGCGGCAAACAGAGCCATAAGATTCGGACTATTTGTGGAGTGCACAAAGGTAAATTGCAGAAAACTACTACAGGAACCATTGAGATGCGTCAAATGTCAGTTCTACAACACGGGACACATTGCGAAAACCTGCAACTCAATCCACAATACCTGCGCACGATGTGGAGAGATGCACCGCACCAGCACATGCACCGCTACAGACGAGCAAATAGCATGCTCAAACTGCAGGGCCAACAACCTCCCAGCACACGGACACGGGGCCGCTGACCGAGCCTGCCCAATATTCATCAATATCTTATGGGACAATCACCAACACAACACAGACGCGCAGCACCGATACTACCCAATCGCCGACGAACCGGACACCTGGGAGACTACACACACAAACACACCAGATATCCAGCACCAAGGACGCACATTCCAGGGCAGCAACCAACCAACAACACGCCCGACACCAGCAGCAAACGCCACGACCACAACCGGCACCACCACCACACCACCAGCGACGCAATGGCCAAACATGCGCATGGAACCAACACCACCACAAGCTCAGAAACCCGCCCACTGGGCGCGCACTTTCAGCAACCAGACATGGCCAGGGCCAATCCTGCGGCAGACCATGCTACCCTTCCAACCAGCACACCGCGCCACACGCCCGCTATTGCCGCCATACTCAACAGAACCATACCCTGGACCTCAGTCTGGATCATGGGCTGATCAAGTCACTGAACACAGCACCGGAAACCCCCTCTTCCTGCAGGCAACCCCGCCAAACAGGAGATGAATCACAACAAGGGCACAGACTTCTGGCAAGGCAAAACCATCAGCGCGTGGCAACAAAACACCAACAAGTCCCTCCACGCACAACTAGACATGCTAAACTCCCTACAGCCGTTGCGCTACAACTTAGTGCTGATTCAAGAACCGCACATTGACTTCAGGGGCATCTCCAGGACAAACTATCACTTCACGTTGGTATACCCCACCACGCACAGCCTGGACCCCAAGGCAACACGATCCCTTATACTGGTCGGGACATCAATACCGTCCGCCAAGTGAACAAAAATCAAAATCAACTCCCCCGACATCACCACCATAGAACTATGAACCAAACAACACACAATACACATTATGAACATATACAACAACTGCAGACACAACAAAAGCCTGGAGGCAATAGCCGCATACATCGCTGATCTGCAGAACTGACCCACATTGGATAGACAGCTATCATACATATGGGCCGGAGACTTCAATTGACACCACCCGATCTGGGACAAAGAACGGAATCATCACCTCTTTACAAACCGTAATCAACAACTTGCGCTAAAACTTCTACAGATGCTCGGCTGACACAAAATGGCAATGATATTGCTGAAAGACATCCCCACGCTTAAGGCGCATGCAATGGGGAACTACACGTGCACAGACAATGTCTTCTGCTCAGAAGACATGGCGGAGAACTTCATCACATGCAGAACGGCCCCTACACTACGTCCCACAAAAACGGACCACATCCCAATCCTATTCTCCTTCCACCTCGACGTCGGAAACAGAACCTTCATGCCAAGACTGAACTGGAGAGCGACGGATTGGCAGGAATTCAGGAAAATGCTAGAGGCCAAACTCGCACAATGCCCGCAGCACGCAATAGCAACAACGGAAGACATGGAGGACAAAATACAGAAGGTAGATGAGGCTGTGGAATTGGCAATAAAGGCGCACGTGCCAATGTCAAAGCCTTGCCCGCACTCAAAACGCTGGTGGAACCCAAGTCTATCAGAACAGCGCACACAACTTGGCAAGGCACAGAACCGCTCATACGCCCGCCGTAACATGCCAGACTACCCAGATCACGAGCATGCACAATGCCTGCAGAACACTTTCTCGAGAGCCATAGTAAGTGTAAAGAAGACCCATTGGGACAAATGGCTTGACGGGCTGACAGAGGCGGACATATGGAACATGCAAAAGCTGTCAGGGGAACCCCCGCTTTGGACCGCTCTGCCTTCGATCAGGCATGTGATCGCGCTCGCGTGACCTGTCAGCTATCACGCGCCGCGGCCCGGACTACTGCGCCAAGCGCTTCTCTCTGATGGGCACATGGTCAGCTGTCCCATCGTTCCCACTGTCTCGGTTTCCTATTGTTCTCCAACGGCCATTGTACTTATTGTTCCCACTGTTCTTTGTTTGTTGCTGCGCGCTCTATTGTTCTTGTATCATATAAATAGTGGCGCCTGGCAAGGAGAATCCCCAACACAGTTTCTCTTTGGATTCTCCCTTGCCAGGTATGCCGGTCTTGTACCTAGCTACCACTATTAACACCTTTGGATTCTCCCTTGCCAGAACTCTGAGATCGGGTCTCGAGGTTGCCCTTACAAAAGCTCGCAGAAGGGCCCCCCATGGATGGTGGCAGAGTGCGTATTCCCGATCTTTGCTTCAAAATGACACCTGACGGCCCGATGCGCATGGCAACAACCAACCCTGACAAAGCCAAAGCTTTTCACCAGGAGTTTTTCCCACCCACGACCAACTGACCCAGCAATGATCCCCCCCCAGCAGTGCCCACCGCCGGCATACACCTGGAAACCCCTATCCGACTCCGTAATCTACCAAACAATAGCAAAGCTCAAACCATACAAGGCACGGCAACCAGGATCAATACCGAACTGCGTATACAAATACAATGCGCACGTACTTGTTCCCCGCCTGGGCCCAATCTTCAGAGCCGGCGACGACCTGAACTACTATCCAATGGATTGGAATTATACGCACTTCATTGTGCTAAGAAAGCCGGGGCAAATTGACTACACCAGCCCAGCAAGCTATTGGCCGATAGTCCTATCAAAAGGACACCCAGGATTAGAAAATGCAGCGTGCACAATGCAAATCACGATGGAAGCAGAGAAGACCGGTGTCTTACCCGCAACCCAATACAGAGCAAGGCCAGGCCGGGCCATGACAAACGCGATACACATGGTGGTCAAGACGGTGATGGACGCATGGAGGAGCAAGGAGGTTGCTAGCGCACCTATAAATCCCACTAGACACCTATAATAATAGGTGGTGGTACCCCCTAAGCACCACCCATTACTATTGGTTCATTTGTGAATAAGGGCTTGCTGCGCCAAAGGCTGGCCTAAAGGCTGGCAGAAAAATATTGCCTGTTAGATATATTACCTCTGGGCCCGGCACTGCTCGGGACATCCCGTGGCCATCACTGGGCACTGCCACTGACTGAATTGGGAAGTCCCGCTCACTGCCCCGCCCCCCGCCCATCAGACATTGTGATCTTGGTCACACAGGCACATTTCCGCATCAGACACATCACCAGGGAATGCTGCCCATCAAATTTGATAGTCCTGCCCACTCCCTGCCTCGTCGGCGTGACATGTCACATTTTGTGACCCCAGGTGATTTTTTGCATCATTTTTTCTTGCGCGTGCATTGGTTCTAACAGCTAGATCATTTAGTTCTTGGTGTTAACAAAACAGGCTAATTCAAAAAACAAGTATCTTGTCCTGAGGTCACCAGGTTCTGTTATAATATATCCCATAGTGCAGTTGAGGCATGGTGACATAGCTCACTTGGTTGCTGTGTTTCCTTAACTTCTTCAAATAAGCGTGCATGGTTTGATTCCTTGTGTCGGTAATTTTTGGAAAAATTATTCACAAATTTCAATTCAATAAAAACAAGTAGGCCAGTATGGTATTTCTATTTGATGTCAAAAGCTAATAGACTATGGAGCAGAGATAATAGTGAGGCACTCATGACTTGGACTTCGAAGCTACAGCCTTTGCTTTCTGAGCTAGGACCGCAAGTCTCGAGCTTTTCTTGACAGCGACCTTCTTCTTTGCTGAGATGCTGCTGGACGTTTTGGACTTCTTCCCAGCCTTTGGCTTTTGCTTGCTTGCCCTAGCGCTGCCAGACCCAGGCGTCTTCCTCTTTTGCTGCGGAGCTGTCAAGTTGTCTTCATCATCTCCTCGAGTTGACCAACGCACCTTTTGAACGCTGTTATTGGCCTCCTCCTCCTCCTCCTCTTCTCCATCACGGTCCTGGTTGCCATCATCGACACAGCCAACTGTAGCTGCACTCTTGGCCTTCTTCAATTTGCTTGGCCTGGCAGTGGCCGTCTTCCGCTTGTGTGTCCCATTGAGATCGCTCCGAGGCTTCTTGGTTGTCACCTTCAGCTTGCCATCCTTGACTTCCTGGTCGTACTTCTTCTTCCATTTGAGACGCTCCTCTGCTGTGATCTTTCGCCAATGACACTCTCCAGTCTTTAATGCATCCCGCAACTCTTGCATAGAGTCCACAGTGGAGATCTTGCTTGGGGTTTGAAACGGTGTATTTGATGGCCAGCCTACTAAACACACGCCCAGCCGGAGAACAATTGTGAGAATGTACTGGTCCCATTTCATTGTCGCGCTTTTTTGAGACGAAGCAACCACTGTAACAAACCATCAGTTGTGGTCCATTAGTGTCACCATCACGCTTACCGAGGCCAAGCTTGATGAATTTATTGACTTCAGCCCGTAAGCTGTCCAAAGTCTCGTTCTTGCCATGACCTGTAAGGTTATTATTAGCTCAGAACCACAATGCAAATAAGACCGTACCCTTAGCATTCTGAATTGTCCATAGATGGTACATTGCCAGAACGTTGTAAGGGCAACCTCGAGGCCCGATCTCAGAGTCCTGACAAGGGAGAGTCCAAAGTGTCAGATAAGGGGATCAACTAATACAGGAGAATGGCAAACCTGACAAGGGAGAGTTCAAAGAGAAACCAAGTTGGGGACTCTCCTTGTCAGGGCCCACTATATATAGCCTACAGAACAATGGATGACCAAGCACAATGGAAGCGCCAGACAATGGGGCCAGGGAACAATGAGGGGCCGGATCAGGGGGAACAATGGGAGCCAGACCGTCGGAACAATGGGGGTCCAGGCCGGAGTGTCATGTGGACGCGCTTGGCAACCGAAGCATGTGACGCTTGACAGATGGCACGTGCGCGGTCACATGCGAGATCCCATGATGATCGGACGAAAGCAGGGGTTCCCCTGACAAACGTCCACTGCTGAAACTTGAAGCATCTCCTGGAAGAAACGAAGAGCATTTCCGGACTCGAGCGCGTATGGGATGTTGACATCTTGGACATGGGATGGTGCAACCAACATCAACGACGTCAATCCCGTTCTGTCATGGAGATGCCGAATCTGCATACAGATTAGCCCTTGAAAACATTACAAACTTTTGCCCACCTCCTCAGCAAAGCGAGCAATTGTGACTTCACCGTCAACTCAAACAGCTTGATTCATTGACCGCGTGCCGCGTTTCTTGAGGCTCTTGTGCTCTTCCAGATCCCGCAGCAGCTGAGACTCAAACTCCTTTGTCATCTTTGACTGCGTGAAGAGCTTGCATGTAGAGAGCATATCTTGGAGCTCATCCAACTTGTAACGCTCGCCGTCTTCATTTCCTGTGAAGAATATTAGGGACTGAGTACGACTCAAGAAGATGGCCCACGTACGCAAGGTTTCTGACATGTGGTGTAACTTGGCCCAATACAAGTCTGGTTTTCGAGTCTTCTTCCACGATGAACTGGCCAACAGCTCACGATAGACCAGCGTAGACTTCAGACCCAGGTCCTTTGCCCATTCTTCAGCCAATAGCTTCCGCTTCCCATTCTCCACCGTAATCAGCTCCCGAAGTCTTGTGAGTCAATTCCAATTCTGCCTTTGGGTTGCCTGAGCAGCTTCACGACTTTCGCGGGTTGACACACGTTTGTCATGGGATCGGAGAGGGATTGAAGGCCGTGCTGAGTTTTGCGCGCGCCAGGTTGTCCCACCTGTGCCCCCAGAATTGTCAGTTGCATTGAGGAGAGTGGGCAGTCGTGGAAAGTCGGGGTCATCAACACCGCCCCATTCTGGCACATCCTCGACATTGTTGTCGCCCTATTCGTGTTGTCAGTGGTCAAAACTCTGCCAGCACGTAAAATTGCTACCTCACTGGCCTGATCTCCTCTGTCGTTATCAACGTCATGTTCATGGAAGAAGACCCCAGGTTTCCATGGGCCCCTCATGCTCTGCTCCTCCACTTCCGCTTCGACAATGGCTTCACCTGTCAGGGGAACCCCTGCTTTCATCCCTCGAGGTTGCCCTTACATCACCGGGGAGAGTGTCTGGGTCTGCGTGCCCATCCTACAAGACAACAGTCAGTGCCCTTGCTCAAAATAACAAATGTGACTGTAGTATACCATGCAAGACTCCACATGACCACCATCTCCATTTCGTCCTTCTATGCCTTCTATGGCTTGAGACATAAGCTGCGCTGAGGAGAAAAGCAGAGAGTTTGCACGTGCTCTACTTCGCGCAAATCCCACCACGTGCAGGCTTTACACACATGAAAACATGAGCCGTCATTTGCTTCAAGTACCACTTTTGATCATAGGAAGATTGTTTATAAGACCCAGTAAAGAAACAAAAACTGTTCAAAGATAAACTTCAAATGTCAGCCTCCTCCTCCAAAACCTTCTCCAACTCAGAACGCGACGTGGCGATTCTAAGCTCCTCCCTGAGTTTAAAGAACTCCAGGACCGTTGGCCTGATGACCGACGTCAGTACTACCATATGCGTGCAGCAATTGATACCTCACAGGTCCTGATACACGGCGCCTCTGGAGGTGTTCACATAGAAAACAGGCTTGCTAGCATCCCGTTGCTTGCCATTGAGCTTGCTGGATAGCTTCTCCATTTCCCTAGGCTCTGATGCTGCACAAGAGGGCAGCGGCTTAGAACGTCCTTGAAGCAAGGACAGAGGTGATGCTGCACAAGAGGGCGGCGGCTTAGAACGTCCTTGAAGCAGGGATGGAGGCGGTGGCTTGAGGTGTCCTTGGAGCAGGCTTGGAGGCAACTCGTCAAGGAACCGGAGTGTGTCGCTGATTACCGAAGAGGAGACTGAGCTGACAGCTGAGCTTGAAGGCACGCTGTGCATTGAAATGGAGGACAAAGGTGATTCAAAGTTAGTGGGCTCTGACATGAGTGACATGCATGACGATGACAACCTGCTCACTGCTCCAGGGGTGCTGACACTTCCATAGTAAATGACCAGAAATGCCAGATTGTTGTTTTTGGCAGTGTTGGCGCCAACAGGACCTGTGGTGTTGGGGCCAGCGACATGTTCAGCCTCTGGGCTGTCGGATGCCCAGAGCAAAAGTTTTCCGGGAGGAGTTGGCGGCGATCCCTGCCTGGAAGCTTGGGTGGACATCCGAGAATGAGTGCATTTGGATGCCCAAGAATGAGTGTCAGGGGACACTTGAGAGTGAGCAGGAGTGGAGGCTGAGGCCTGAGATCAAGCACGAGTGGAGGCTTGTACAGTGGACGCAGCGTGTGCTGCAGACTTGGCCTCAGCTTTGTCCCAGTTACAGAATCGACCACTTCGGTCGTTCAGGGATATGATGGAGGGGAGAGCAAGCAGAGGTGAATTGTTGACACGTCTGAGTTGAGCCAGCTCTTGCAAAAAAGCGTGGCTGATGTCAGTGACATGTCCGCGGTCACAGAGCCACGCTTGCTGCCACACGTAGAGGGCAACATCAATATTGTGGCACTTCAGCACCAGGTTCTCGTTTTCCCTGCCAAATGAAAACAGGCACGCATTCCTTTGGATGATTAGCCAAAACATGAGGCAGAAGAAATGACGCACAGGTGAGTATATATCCCCTCGTATTGATTCCCTCTCCGACAGCCCACAAAATAAAACATGCACTTGGATGTGTCATGCTCGTTGTAGCTCTGGAAGTTGTAGGAGGCAAAAAACAGAGGTGTTGGAGGTCAAACGCTGGGCGGGACTGGAAAGAGCATTAGAAATCTAAGTCACATATTGTCACACAGGTCACCAGCGTCCAGTGTATCATCTTTGTCAGTGCCTTTGTTGCGGGCTCACAGGAAGGACGCCGCCTGACGCTCAAGATGTCGACCACGCAAGACATTAAGCAAGATATCGACACTGCAAAACTTGATGTCAACTGCCCAGACATCGACCCCGCAAGACATGGGCTGATGCCGAGCTTCAGTCCACAAGTTACGAGCATGGGATATGGGCATGGGATTGGATAGGGTACTTGCATTGCAGTTCGATTTAATCAGCTTGTAATGTTAATCCTCCCCCTCTATCTCTTCGCTATCCTCCTCCCAGTCTGGCTCCTCAAAAGTGATGGTGAGTCTGCTCGGACCTTCTCCTCAAAGGAAATGATCGCGCTGAGTGGACCAGATACTGTGTGAGAAGTCGGGTTCAATGGGCTTGCCATCTGTGTTGTCAACGACCTTCACACCAGCCAGGCTCCCAGTGCCGTAGAACTTGAAAGTAGGTGCGTAGAACTTCCAGAAAGAAGCCTTCCCGTATTTCTCTATGTATTTCCTACAGGGTCTCATTAGTGCTTGAGCAAGAATATGTAGAATTGAAGAATGTTGACCTCTGACGTTGCCTTGAGCAGATGTGAGTACCAGATTTGGGCATGTCATTGGACCCGATGTACCATTCTCTGTGTGCAGCATCCAATGCCTTCTGAGCTTCCAGAGCAGCAGAGCAGAGTTCCACATTTGCATGAAGCATCTCCCGTCTCCTGTATTCAAACGTAGTATTGGGAAAGCATTTGATAATGGAGAGACTGACTTCCGCATCCGTTCATGAGCCTTATCACGTAGAAGTAACTTATTCCTACAACATGTCATTTTCTCGCAAAGAATGAGAGAAAAGAGGTACTTCTCGTTATATCTTGCCATGGCACGTCAATGAGAATCCTGTTGGTTAGATTTCTTTGATATGGTGGAAGTTCAAAGAAAGATGTGATTGAGTGAGTATGAGAGATATTGACTTCAAGTGCCAGGTGGGGTTCCTGCTCATTATTTACAGAAAGCCCAAAAGAATGGATGGATACAATGCTATTAGGCCAAATCTACCGACCTGAGAACCTCTCGCCTATAGAGAAACACTACAATGAAGAGTGTGAGCTTTGATCTGGCGGGCAAGTTTGCGATCTGGCAGGCAAGTTTGCGATCTGGCGCACAAGTTTGGGACCTGCATCCAAAATCTGGGCTGTGAATATGTACGACTTGATTCTCAAATTAAGAAGTAGAATAATAAATACACGGAATTTGATTGGGAATGCCCAGACGCTAGTTATGTAGACAATGGTGTAACGACTTCAAACATACTCACTCCTGTAGCCCACCGCTCAGGACCACGATGTTGCCGGAGTTCCTCACGCTCTTCCTTGGAGAACTGGCCCCAGTACACTGATAGGCTGGCTACCAGACGCGCTCTGCACCAGCTCTGTAAGGGCGTATTTTTGCACTTTTTACAGAGTTTACTCTCGAACCATTCGGTGTATTGTGTCGCAGTTGACAGTGTTGCGCTCAGTAGGGCTTAAGGGTCTACTGCCCAGTTGATGACTGTGGATAGTGTCGACAATAGCAAGGCAGTCAGACCACTACTGTGGAACTGGTCTTACGAGTCTATACCAGGCTCAGGGCCATTAGTGACGAACGCTTGGACCGCGACAATTCCCCAAAAAGGGATCTTTGTTGCGGCGACTTCTCAAAAGGGTCATTCTCTGCAGATGGGAACTTGGGCTGAAGGGCTGAGCAATGTGCAACGTTCTCAAATAATACAACTACTACTGGACAGGATTTGGCGTTACGAGATTGAACCAATCTTGTCGCAGCAACTCCCGGTTTTGAGTTGGACGTTTCCTCAGATCGTGCTACGGCGACGACTTGTCACATGTCAGGATCCATTCAATCACGGGACATTGTGGACGCGTCGCGGTGACACTTCCAAGTGTCACGGCAAGTCGCGTCCATACCCAAACACACTAAAATCGACACGGCTAGATCCGTGAACCGAGCCATGTGGGGAACGACTGGCATGCCTGGGGCCATACAGCTTCTTGGGGCGCCCACGTTGGTCTCACTTGCCAAGACATACCCGTTGGCCAATCCAGCCCGTCGTATTCCAAAAGTATGACGCGGTGGGTTGACCCACATCAAAAGTATCATATGGGCTATGGGGCGGGGTCCTGATCACTCAGGACCTGTCCGATCGTTCAACTTTTTGATTACCCTAAAAGGCAACCGATCTTAGATAGCGTAGCTACTATGCAGTTGTACAGGACTTTACTAAGCATTGTCGTAGACAGTATAAGTAGCACGTCGTTTCTTTGTATTAGGAAGCTTTCCCGCAAACTGTGAATCACTCTCATTTCAGATTGTTTTGTACAATTTGCGTGCCGCGTGATTCCACCCTAAGAAGTTCTGCTACCCCTGCCCGGTCGCGACGAGTTGCTCCCTGAGCACTTGTAGCTACTGTGATTTGAGTTTGAGTTTTGAGACATCAGAAAGTCGGATTCGCCGCATCTGTTTAGTCGCGGCATTCAGTGTCGTTGCCCTCAGGCTTTGTTGAGATCGTTTTCCACACCTCTAGCTTGGCAGTGCGTCGACTGGTTGTGCTCGGGTTGTTTTGGTCAGTTGGCAGTGCGTCGACTTGAGAACTTTGGTTCCACACTTCTTGCTTGGCAGTGCGTCGACAAGTTGTGCTCGGGTTTTGGACATTGGATATTGGCTGTTAGTTGGCAGTGCGTCGACGCGGCATCTTGGTTTACTAGTTGGCAGTGCGTTGACTCAGTACTTTTGGTTTACTAGTTGGCAGTGCGTCGACTCAGTACTTTTGGTTGTGTCAGTTGGCAGTGCGTCGACTTGACATTTGGGTTCTACTAGTTGACAGTGCGTCGACTCAGTATATTGGTTGTATCGGTTGACAGTGCGTCGACTTGATATTTGGGCTTTGCGTCGCCATCTGGACACTGTCGCTACAAGGGATCTTAATACTTCGTATTAAGTTCTGACTTGTTATATTGTTGGTTGTGATTGGACTAGTGTTGGTTGTGTTCGTATAGAAGATATTGGTTGAGACACCATTGTTGACTATATATAAATTCTTGTCGTCGACGTTGTCTTCCGCGACTATTGATCTGTGTCTATTGAGAGTTGTGATACTGGTGCTCTGTCCACCCCGGAGCCCTTGCATCTTTCACACACTGAGAAGCTGATTACGAGGAGTGTGAACGTGTTTATATTTGGGTTTACTTTCATAGTAGATTCACTTGTGAGCGCGCCCTCAGCATTTCACCGACAAGGAAGCCAAGCAAGCAGCAGACCCCGCAACGCCCAACAACGGCGATACATACCTACAACAAGCTCTGCACGGCACGCTCCCTCACAGCAAATCCGCGACACTACAACATTTCCACGAAGGACTAAAAGCTTGGACCCAGGAGGAATGGGACGAATCACCAAGATACCCCCCTGTCTGCGCGCACTCCTGGCATAACCACTAGCGGGGATATGGCTGAAGCACATTGCAGCACTACCCAGAGCACATCCATCCATCCTATTTCAACTACACACAGGCCACCTCCCACTCGCGTGACACTTACACATCATCAACCGAGCTGTAACGCCAGTCTGCCCCTGCTGTCACAGGGAGGACAAATCGGTCCGCCACTACCTCCTACATTGTCCAGCACACGCGAACGCCTGAGGGAACTTACTACGACGGGCAGGCCAACACACGCAGGATTTGGAGAAGCTGCTATCACAACCTGATCTCACGTGTCACCTCCTACGCTTCATCGCCCAAACCGGACGCTTCGGGACCACCCTTGGCAAAGTGGAAGACCCACTAGAAACGACCCCACAACAACACGCACCCACCCAGACGGCCCCCACCTGACCGAGACGCAACACCTGCTGCATGATCAGATGTTAGGCACAACGAGGGAGAACTGGTATTGTAATTATATTCCATTTCTGCTAATCATACCATAGCACGGCCGCGGCCAGCAGCGCATGACCAGCTGCACCCATCACCGGATGGACAAAGCTTTGCGAAAGGAAACCCACGAGCGGCCAGCCCAATCATATAAGTAGTGTAGGAAGAATCCCCACCATATCCTTAGGGACAAAAGGGAATAAAAGAGGAATTTAATAATAAAAAGCCCTGGTCATGGGGTCCTGGTTCATGAACATGTGACGAAACTCATTGCTCAATAGATCACCAATCAATGATCAAACTCACTGCTTACAGGGGAGAAGTCCTTGCCCATCAGCATGCTGTTGCGGGCCTCCATAGTAGAGCCTACCTGGGAGTGCAGCGTTTCTTGAAGAAGACCAGATGCTTGATGCACAAGGAATCAATTTGTTGATTAATTTTTTTTCCCTTGGTGTGGTGGTTCAAACCAGTTTAAACCTGTGAACCAGAACATCTGAGCCCACACCACAGTGCGGGGTCAGGGTCCAAAAAATCGGCGGAACCAAACAAAATCGTGAGACCATCACTCCCCTCGAGTCGATTCCTTCAGTTTCACCCTATCTTTTTTCTCATTCAAAACATTCAAACCTCATCAATCTCAGTAAATTGAGTAACCATCGCAAGTCCTGACCACAAACTTTGTTCCATTGTTAGGTAGATACAATTAGACAAGAGGCCCATTTTACGGTCCTTGGAAGCTCAGAAGAGTCTGCTACATACCGTCTGGGCATCCCAGGAGGTCTAGGATACACTCTCCTCGTAGACTCCGCAGACTCCGGCTCCTCATCGGACTGCTTTGAGCTTAAACAGTAACCAAATTGTATGTATATATTCCGGTCTTAGGTGGACTTAGAAATCTTGCACAGCCGCCGATAGAAATAAAGGTGCACGTGCCAAACTCTTACTGGCTCTGCTCCCGTCTTCCGCACATATAGACGCCTATTTCGAAGGTGATCGGAAGGCTCACAATAGGTCATTTTCAATGACAAATGAAATCCGCAGCATGGAAAATCGGCCACCAGGTCGGTCATCATTTCTTATTTGGCGGGCCGTTGAGATTTGCAACGAGTGCCCAGGGTGCAGGTCTAGAAAGTATATAAGTGAGTCTTTCTCGGCCGCATTTCAAAACAATTTTCCGCCTCCTGAAACCGTTAACGATGGGAAACACTATAGCACTCCCGATTATCTGCACTATCTCCGCCTATGGCGTTCTCTTCTTGTCTAGGGCGTTCTATCGGACCTGGACGTCCCCTCTCCGATTTATCGATGGCCCGGAATCATTCAACTTTGTCGTCGGGCATTCCATTGTATTTTCGGTACGCATTCTTATGTCTCTTCCCATTTGCGGCCCCTGAATCACTCTCCAGGATGTACCAGAGCAGGGGGATCAATGGCGCAAACGTTACGGCGAGACTTTCATGGCCAAGGGACTTTTCTGGGTAAGTAACTTTCAGAGAATCTTGGAGGATTTTGATGATTGTTTACTCACGCGCATTTGCAGGTCAATGATCTGCACACGACTGACCTCAAGGCTGTTTCCCATGTCCTCTCCCACGCATCGCTGTACTCGAGGACGCCCGAGTTTGTTGCAAGCCTAAGCCGTATCCTCGGCGAAGGGCTTTTATCCGTCAGCCTGGATCCACATAGACGTCAGGTTTGCCTCCACCGTCGAACGAAATCTCAGTAGTTGACCCCGACTTTTACAGCGCAAAATTCTTGTAAGTCCGCAGATTGTGCATGTGACGCGTCTGAGGCTTGTCCTAGAACCCTGCATTTAACCTGCAGCGAATCCGTTTGATGAACGAGATATTTTTCGACAATGCGATTCTCGTGGGTTTTTTCGATTTCTGTCTTGTCTGGAAACCACTAAGTCCGGCAGTTGCGAGACTTGTTGTCGGCAGATGTTGAAAAAGCGGGTGGCACCGCAACCATCAATCTTGCCGAGATGTTCCGTCGAGTCACGTTGGATATCATGGGTCAGGCCGGTGTGTCCTGCTTGTCTCGAGTTCCAGAAATCCACCTCGAGCGATTTGATCAGGTTTTGGATACAAATTCAACTCGCTCGAGTCCGGCGGCCAGAACGAAGGCGATCTCGGCAAGGCCTTCCACATGCTGTTTCGCGGGCCGAACGCCAACTTGAACATTGCTGTGCAGCTCGCCCAGAGCTTGGTCCCAATTCTCCAGTATCTTGTACGTGTCCAGCGGAGATCATGACTTGTCGTTGACGATTCGAACCGGAAGCCGCTGCCCGGCTGGCGCAATACTCAGTCTGGGATAAAAACTCTGCGTTCCGTGGGAGCGGAGCTTCTGCACAAGGCCAAAGCCGAGGCTCGGGTGCTCGGAGAGAAAGATCTGGGGTCAGGGCGTGATCTCCTCTCCATCCTCGTAAAGGCGAACATGTCGGCGGACATCCAGGACAGCCAACGTTTAAGTGATGATGAGGTCATAGCCCGTACGTTTGACCGTTGAGTGGAACTCGAACCTATATTTACTCACGATAAAATCTCAGAAATCCCGACATTCCTCCTTGCTGGCCATGATACCAGCAGCATTGCGCTGGGCTGGGCCCTGCATGCGTTGTCGCACCATCCCGAGATCCAAGACAAGCTGCGCCGGGAGCTCCTTTCGATTGATACCGACACACCGACCATGGATGAGCTGAACGGGTTGCCATTTTTCGAGAACGTGGTGAAGGAGGCTATGAGGCTGTATTCTCCTGTGCCCTTTGTTCAGCGCACAGCCTTGCAAGATGATGTGCTGCCACTTGGCAAGCCGTACGTGGACCGGTGGGGCGTGTCGCACGAGTTTCTTCCGTGAGTTCCTTCCGCTCTTCATAATTCTCAACGTATCGGATGACTGACGCACGCAAGGATTACGAAAGGGCAATGCATTACCATCCCGATCCAGGCCATCAATATCGACAAGGAGACTTGGGGTGACGATGCTCTGGAGTTCAAGTGCGAGTCCTCTTTAACCTAGATCGCGGTTTGATCCCTTCTACTCTTTCTTTTCATTCAGACCCGAACGGTGGGATAACTTGCCTGAGGCCGTGCACTCCGTTCCCGGAGTGTGGGGTAATCAATTGACTTTCGTCGCCGGCGCTCACAGCTGTATCGGCTTTCAATTTTCAGTGGCCGAGTAAGTCCGGTTCACTTCTCCACCCATCTGAAGCATTTGAATGGACGCTTTCCTGCAGACAAAAGGTGATCTTGTTCAGTCTCCTCCGGGCTTTCGAGTTCCTGCCGGGTACAGAGCCAGTCAGCCCGGTGATCTCAGGGCAGCTCGCCCGACCGAACTCTTTTGTTTCGGATGGGAAGGGTGGACGGGTGTCGTCGGGTGGGCTGTCCATCGTGCTCAAAGCCTATAAAGGGTCTTCTTTGTGATCCGTAGTGGTTATTCTATTCCGATTCGGAATTTCTCAGTGCAATCGAGTCCTCCTGATGCCATAACTCACAGTGTGAAAGAAGAATCAGGTCACAAATGCTCATACAACTAGATTGCAATCAACAACTCAAGCCATCGATGGAGGTTCAATGCAGCGAATGTGGAGGCTCCTCCGACTAGGAAACTAGCGACAACAGATGATGCATCCTGTGGAAGCGACTGTTGCATGGCAGTGCCCGCCGTCATTCCAATCGTTACATGCACCTTCTCGCCGGTCCTGCCCATTACTTGAGGCTTCGCAAGACGGAAGACTGGAGACGACGAACGAGCGAGGGTCGACTTCGCACGAAGCATAGCAGCTGGCGATCGGGCTAAGTGCGTCGAGAACTTATGGGATGTCAAGTGAGAGCCATGAGAGTTCTCAGTCTCGAAGCTGGTCCACTAAAAGGTGGAGTGGATAAATGAAGAGGAAGTCCGGAGAACTGCGCACGATTCGCTCTCTCAAGATTTTCCCAGTCGCTCGCGAAATGACTTCCGTACGTTTGCATCTTGCCAGCCATCCAGCACTCCAACCTCTTCCAGTGACGGACGTCACAAGATTTGCTGGATATCCACACGCAATTCCTCTGGACTGTAGGGTTTATCCCCAACGGCATAATGTGGGCCAAAGAGGCACTGGAGTGGGTGGGGAGTGGAGAGCACTCAACATGCCCTGGATCTCACATTCGGATCCACAGCATTGCATCAAGGCGGGTAAGCCGCTCGATGACGTCTTGTACAGCCCTTTAGTCTACGGAGGAGGTGACGAGACGTGTATCGGGTACCTCGATCATGCTGAGGCCACGTATTAGGTCGCCGGTCGTTGCGTTGCCGGTGTAAAAAGACAACTACACGGAAAATCGGCACTCGTGCGGCAGCAATAACGCGGAGGGGGGACCACCATTCGGCATTCCTCCTGACAATTCTTCTGCTCTAAGCGCGTGGACGTGCACACGTATCATGCTTACCACTGACACATATTCTGTGGGATTCCTCTGCCACTCCGGGGAGCCGAGGTTAGTTTGGGGCGGCGAAGGCCGGAGCTCCGGGCCCGAGAGTCATAGCACACGTTTCCGGGCGGTCAAAGCGCCCGACGGATAGGCAGGCTGGGTGGGCTTTCAAGATTCCAGTCATAGACTTTCACGGAGATACTCCAAATGGCGGCTGATCATTCTCAGAACATCATTAAACACTGTTCCGGGTGGTACAGGGTAGAGCCGTCTCATGGAGCAAAGCTTGCTCTGCTTGCCTCTGTGCTATGATGCCCTGTAGCAAGCAAGCTAAATAAGTTTGCGACTTTTTTAATATTATCAGCAACTATTCTAATGCCATGTCTACCAATGACTGGGGATTGATGGGCCAAAACACGCCGTCAAATCCTCAACGCCCGGGCATGTCAAAGAGGCTCGACTCCGGGCCCAGGATCCACGAGAGCCTGAGCCTAGGAGAGCCGGCCCGGGCCCGAACGGCACACCACGCGTATCCCCCTATGTTCGTCCCTGTTTCTGCCGCTTTAGTCAGCTTTGCGTCCGTTATTCCGCCCGAAGTGCCGGCCATCAACCGGTGGAAGGACTGGATCCAACAACTTGGCCCGCGCCTATTCACAATTCCGCTTGGTCAATTATTCATTGCACGGAATTGGACCGCGGTTTCCGCCCGTCAGGCTTCAGCACACAGTGGGTTGGCCGGTGACACCGGGAAATCGCCTTGATTGGTTCGCTGGATAGATGCACTATAAGTAGCAGTGAGTGAGTGGGGGTGGGTCTAAGAAATCGACATGGCTATATCAAGCATTCCTCCGTCGACTGCCAAACTGTTTACGCCGGTGACGCTGGGGTGCGTGACGATGCCGACCAGGATATGTGATCATCAGTCCTTTGATTTCCCGAGTAGCCCGATTGACACTCTGAACCAGTCATGGCGCCCATGGCGCGCAACCGGACGACGGACACGGTCCCCAACGACATCATGCGAGACTATTACGTGCAGCGCGTACGTGGCGGTGCGGGGCTGATCGTGACCGAGGCAAGCCTCGTCAGCGAGCAAGGGTGCGTTCGAGACCCTTCTGTCTAGCCTTCCTACAGAATCCGCCTGAATCGCCGCGATGATCTAGAACGGAGTGGGCTAACTCCCCCGGGATGTGGAGTCGCGAGCAGACAGAGGGCTGGAAGAAGGTCGTCGACGCGGTGCACAAGGAGGGGGGACGGATCTTCTGCCAGATTGTGCACAGTGAGTTTTCTCTCGATGTTCACGCCGCGCCTTGAGGGGCTTATGAATGCAGCTGGACGTGTATGTCACCCTGATGCACCGCATCAAATTGCCTCAGGAGAGGTGAGTGCACTTATCCAATAAGCGGAAGCTCTTCATGATTCGGAACACAGCCTGTCTGGGCCCCATCTGCCGTCCGCGCCGCAGGTGGCAAGTTCCGATTCCTGCCGGGTATTCCCGGTTATGTGACTGTGAGCTGATGCTCCGCCATTCACACAGCGTCCTAACTGATTCCGTCACGCAGCCGACCGAGATCCCCGACCCAATGAAGATCGTAGAGCTGTTCAGGATTGCCGCACTCAATGCCAAGGAAGCTGGGTTTGACGGTCTGGAGAGTGCGTCGACTCTGCCTATGCTCACGATCCGCGCCGTGACTTATCCTAACGTTCGGTCCCCAGTCCACGGTGCCACCGGCTACCTGATCCATCAATTCATCGATCCTAGCGTGAATCTGCGCACTGACAAGTGGGGCGGCAGCGTAGAGAACCGCACGCGGTTCCCACTCGAGATCCTCAAGGTCGTCCGCCCCATTTGGGGCCCGAACGTGGCCTTCAAGTTCAACCCAGGTATGTCTTCATTTGCCTGCATCAGCACCTCGATGTCAGAAACACGATCCAGGCGCGGGATACAACGACATGGGTTTCCCGCTCGACGAAACCATCGAGACCTACGGCTACCTGCTCACCGAAATCGACAAGCTGGGACTGGCGTACGTCTGCCTCCTGCAGTACCTCGATTCTCTCGACCCCACGAAACGCGGGACACCGCACGATGTGTGGGAGACCTACAAGCCGTTCCTCAAGAACACGCCGCTCATCCCCAACGGCGGGATTACGCCCGAGCAGGCGCTCGAGTGGGTCGAGAGCGGGAAGTACCCCGCTGTGCTCATTGGCATCCCGTGGATCTCGCACCCGGATTTGGGACGCCGCATCAAGGCGGGCAAGCCGCTCGATAATGTGCTCGACGGTCCGCACGTGTATGGAGGAGATTACGAGCCGTCAATCGGGTTCCTGGACTATCCCGAGGCGATATATGACTAGAACTCGAGGTTTTCTTTCGAATATTTGACCTGTATGACGGCCCCTGTGCGCAAATAATCATCGATCTAGAAGAGATGTATAAACAGCCTGAACAGCAGCTCTGTGCACGACTCATCTCTCAGCTTCGTGGTTTTCTCGCTCGCTCGCGTCTTGTTCAGGTGCGTATGGATCGTAAGTGCGCTCCAAAGTGATCTTGACGAATATTTTATTTTCACATGCTGTCAGTCTGCGGAGTACTCTTGATATGAGGAAACTCGAATTTGATGTTCCGCGTGAGATTGACAACGTGATCTTGATGCACACTCTGCTCACGTGCATGCTGTGTGCTTTGAGTTTTCTCAGACGCTGCCAGCGTCAGGGCTCTCAGTCTGACTCACCCACACGTCTCAAGAGGCCACTCTCCGTCGATGTTCCCTCCGTTGAGTCTGGATCTAGTGCGGATCCGCCGTCGGCTCGGCCTTTAAGCGAGGCGCATATTGAGTTTCACTCTCGACGTAAGTCGGATCGCCTTATTCAATCGATGCGCGTATAAAACGAGAGAGAACAAAGTTAATCTCACAACCCGGACACTCCAATGCAATCCACCTTCGTCCTCCCGCCGGCCTCGCTGACGCCGGCTTCCATACGGCGCGCCATCCCACCCCACCTGTTCCTGCGCTCGACGCTGAAGAGCACGGCGTACATCGCGCGGCATATCCTCATCGGGGTGCTCTTCTACGCTCTGGCCTGCCGTATCCCAGTCGGATGGAGTCTGAGTGTCAGAGTGATGCTGTGGACGATGTACGGCGCGTGGCAGGGGTTCGTCTTCGCTGGGATCTGGTGTCTTGGTGCGTTTACAGTTGTCGCTCCCAGGCGATAAACCGACCGTTGGAGGGTAACAGGACACGAAGCAGGTCATGATGCGCTGTCACCTCACCGGCTTGTGAACACCGTGCTCGGGCTCAGTCTGCACACGTTCGTGCTCACGCCGTATTTTGCGTGGCGAGCAACGCATCGGGCGCACCATGTATGTTGTGGTTCTTGGCCCAATATCCGACATGTGCTGACTATTCGCTGCTCTGCAGAAGGGCACAAATCATCTGGATCGCGACGAGACGTATCTACGTGGGTCCCCCGACCAGTCCTGTTGCCCCGACGTTTGCACACCAGATTCCAGCTCCATACCGAGGGGACCTGGGCTTGCCCCCGGCTTCGACTGCGCGTCTAGAAGACTACACGGACGTATTAGACGATACCCCAGCATACACGCTGTTCAAGCTCGTCGTGAGGCAGTTCCTGTGAGTGTTCCGTAGTTTGAGGTAGGAAACTGGTAGACTCATCCGCATCCCCAAGAGGATTCCAGCTTTACTTACTGTGCGCTCATTCTGGCACTTCTCTCTCCGCATCCATTGACCGACACACGCAGCCATAATCGGAAAGGAAATCGCAAATATCCTCCCTGCACCAGTGTCTGTCCATCATTCGCTGATGCATGAGTCGGGCTACTGACATGGAAGTCCTATACAGCATTACAATCCCAGCTCGGGACTGTTCCGCTCCTCTCAACGTATGTGCATGCCATCAAACAAGGTTCAACGGGACGATTAACCTCGCCAGGCCTGTCGATCCTCGTGTCCGATGCCGCGGTGCTCGTTATGCTCGGTCTTCTTTGCCTTTTCGCGTGCCGGGCAGGGATTGGTGCCCTGGTAAAACTATACATCCTTCCGTGGCTGGTGAGCTCATCCGACTACGAAATTCCGCGGCGATCAACCTGATTCGTAGTTTGCGCATAATTGGTGTGTCGCCTCGAATTTTCGATGATGAAGACGGAGTGAACGAGTTATGGATGGGCAGGATCGTCACTGTGACATATCTGCAGCACGCTTCGCCCGCTGTGCCGTACTACCGCTCGCCGGCATGGACATTCACGCGCGGGTCGCTCGCGACTGTGGATCGGCCACTGTTCGGCTGGGTCGGCCGGTTCTTTCTGCACCATGTGCGCGGAGCCTCACGCACCCACCCGCCCTGAGCTAACTGCGCAGTAGATCGGCTCAGACCACGTGGCACACCATTTTTTCAGTGGAATACCATTCTGTACGTTTTTCTCTATGGATGTCCACCCGCTTAATTGCGGCGCAGATAACCTCCCTGAGGTGACACGTGCAATCCGTCCTGTTCTCGGCGAGCATTATCGATATGACGAAACGGTTGGCGTTGTTCATGTTTCACGTCAGTCGCTTCTCGAGGGCTCACGAAACTTGTAGCCAGCGTTGATTGCACTGTGGACAACCTTCACACAATGCAAATTCGTTGAGGACGAGGGCGATGTATTATTCTTCAAAAACGCCGAGGGAAGGAATGCAGTTGAGGAAATCATGCAGTGAAACCAGACTAGCCGCTCCCGAGTCTATGTAAATATGCGCACTGTCAGGGGTATAAGTACCTGTTTGGGGCGCTTAGTCTCATATAAAATATTCCAACCTCTATCCTGAATCTCAGTGCGTTCGATTGAAGGAGGCTCCTCGGAAGCCATGTTCCTCACTACTCGGTTTCTTATATGTGTAATGAAGCCGGTAGCCAAATGACATGTTTCATGCAACCTTGTTCGAGTTCAGTCTTGAAGACGCTGTGAAGTTCAGGATATGGGACACCTCTCAATGAACGTCAAGTAGACTTTGCGTTGTAATGTTGTATGATCACTGGGAATGTTTGATCGCTCTCACGACAAGACGGTTTCTCGTGCCTTCTGTGTTGACAAAGACAAAGATCTGAGGAAGTAGATATCCGAGGGTGCCAAATTGCGAGATGTGAGGTATCATAATCATACAAATCATCTACCTCGCAGAATGCCGATACATAATGAGCGAGATGTTAGACCGTCAATCGGCAACCGGGCCGGATGTTGCCGGACGATGATCTCATCTTATCTTTGATAATTGCCATTTGCATCAATCGATCACTACAGCACGAGGCAGACGTGTCACCCACTTTTGTGTCTTTGTTCCCTCGGACACCCATCCACGCGCACTGCCACCCCTCGACGCGTCTGCGCAGCCCAGGGCACACCCCACACCCCCCGCCTCGAGACGACGACGATGAGCGTGAGATACGTGCACATGCGCCCGCCCTCGCTGACGGACTCCCCGACGCACCTCCCCGCGCTCCTCCCGCTCGCGACGTCCAGCCCACCCAACAGCGCGTCGTCCTCCCTCTCCTCCTCCGCCGAATCGGAGTTCGCGCGCTTCTCCCCGAAGACGCTGTGCCTCATCGATGGCGCGGATCCGGTGACGATCGGGCGCGCGAGCGCGAAGCGCGGGAGCGGGCGCACGGACGAGCTGGATAACGGGTTCCTCACTGTTCCGAGAGGCAAGACGGCGCTTGGGAGCCAGCATGCGATGGTGTGTGTGCGGAACGGTGTGGTAAGTGTCTTATCGGCGTGCGCGAATGCGTGGCGATTCTGATTGTGCTCATGGGTGAAGCTATACATCGCGATGAAGGAGCGCGACGGGCTGATCCTGAACGATGCGGGCGAAGGGCATGCACGACTGCTGAATCCGTTCTCCGAGTTTTACCCGCTCGAGTCGAATTCGCGTGTAGTGGGTCCTCTTGGTCCTTGGTGTGGGCCCTACCAATCCCATATATAGCGACTAGGCGTCAATGGAGCCACCTCCGTCCCATTTCTGGTCGACATCATTTTCGAGATCGATGAATCGGATGTCTGGAGCGGTGTTTCCAAGAAAAGATTCATCCGTCCGCTGCCAACATCGCCTGGGCCGTAGCCCAATCCATTGACCGACCCGTCCATCTCAACCTGACCTTCTAATCTAGCACATACCATACCTATCGGAACTACAGACATCTTGCGCAATGCACTTCCATACTACCAATTCTACGTTCACTTCTCCGGGTCCTATACCAAATTATAACACGGACGAAAAAGTCACCAACCTACAGTACTAATTTAACTACTGCTCGGCTTAGTTTCCAAACGACTGTATCCATCGTAGATTGCAAAGTTCAGATCAACTGCGAGGTTGTAGCTGCAAAGAGAAGTATCGAAAGTTTAGGGCTGGCAGCGATGCAGCAGTCCCGGACTGGTGGCGAGAGAGGTCTGAGGATCTATGAACGAACCGGGCGTCTTGAAAACTTCCTCGGCGCTGGATCACCACGGCTCAAGCCCCCTCAACACTCAAAACCAGGGCAACACTTTCGTGTCCACGGCTCAGGGCTTTATCGCATAGAAATGTGCTGTCTCCCATTTTCGTCAATCTAATATTAATCATACGTGGCTTCAGGGTAGTCCAAGTACCCAATCGACGGCTCAAAATTTCCGCCATGAGTATGCGGACCGTCTAAGGGATTGTCGAGCGGCTTTCCAGCTTTGACGCGGCGGGTCAAATCTGGGTGCGAGATCCACGGGATGCCGATGAAAACCGCGGGATATTTCCCGCTCTCGACCCACTCGAGCGCCTGCTCTGGGGTGACCCCGCCGTTGGGGATCACCGGCGTGTTCTTGAGGAACGGCGCGTACGTCTCCCACACGTCGTGCGGCGTCCCGCGCTTGGCGGTATCGAAGTAATCGAGGTACTGCAGGATGCAGACGTAGGCAAGGCCCATCTTGTCAACCTCGTTGAGAAGATAGCCGAACGACGCGATGGTCTCGTCGAGTGGAAAGCCCATGTCGTTGTATCCGCCCCCTGGCGAGAGTGATTAAGATGGAGGATCTCTGACTTGCATGAAAACATACCAGGGTTTATCTTGAGTCCAACGTTCGGACCCCAGATCTCGCATACGACTTTCAAGATCTCCAGAAGGAACCGGGCACGGTTCTCCGGACTGCCACCCCACTTATCGGTACGCTGGTTTGCGCTGGGATCCATAAATTGATGGATCAGGTAGCCGTTAGCACCATGGACTGTGGTAGTGAAGTTGCAGTCAGGCATCCGGCCGAGCGCGGTTACAGACGCAACTCACTCTCGACACCATCAAATCCGGCGTCTTTCGCGTGCAATGCAGCAATCCTGAACAACTCTACGATCTTCATTGGGTCTGGGATCTCCGTCGGCTTCAAAAGTCGGTTAGCAGCTGCGCGTTTTCAGAGTGCCGCTACGGCAAGATACTGACCATCTGATAGCCCGGTACACCTGGCAGGAATCGGAACTTCCCTCCTGCGGCGCGAATCGCGGAAGGCCCCCAGATAGGCTTCAATGTAGATTAGGCAAAACAAATATTCGCAGTTTAAGGCGGCGCTCACCTCTCCAGATGCAATTTGGTGAGGCGCTTCGGGGTGCGATACACGTCCAGCTGCATCCGTGAGCTGCGCCCGCAGCCCCAAAGGAGCAAACACTCACTGTGAAAAAGCTGGCAATACATGCGCCCGCCCTCCTTGTGCACAGCGTCGACGATCCTCTTCCACCCAGCTGCTTGCGCGCTGTTCCAGATGCCGGGCGAGTTTGGCCACTCCGTGCTGACATGATGTCGTAAGCGACACAGCGACGCACTCCGGATCAGAACCGGGGGGCCAGACGCACCCTTGCTGGCTGACGAGATTCGCCTCACTGACGATCAACCCTGCACCGCCTCGTACACGCTGCATATAATACTCGAGCATGATATCGTTTGGAATTGTTTCCGTCGAGCGGCTCCGCGCCAGGGCCGCCATGACTGCCGCTGAGTGTCAGCTGCTCTGCGGGGCGAACGAAAAAACGGCTGCTCACAGATTCGGTTGGGCATTGTCACACTCCCGATCTTCACCGGAGAGAACAGTTTAGCATCGGCACTTGGTTTGGTGGGCATGTTGGCGGTGTTGGATAGTCTGTCTGCATGCTTCCTCGACGTTTATGTAGGTACCATGCATGCCGTTCGAGCTTTCGTGGCGCCGCAACTCGCCTGGAATAACGGACGCAAAACTGACAAAACCACGGCCCGACCAGGAAACAATTTTTCCACGGGTAATTCGTGCCACTTGTTGAACACGGACTTGGTTGATGAACAAGTCGATGGTGAGCAACAGGAACACCGCCAGCGATCATCGCTGCTGAGTCAGAACTTCGCTTGTCACACTTCGTCTTCAATGTGCGGTGTGGTCCGGAAGTTTTTCAAGTCACCTTCATCCACTGATATCCGACTCCGACCACTTCTGGAGTATCCTGAATGTCAAGACTATCGCCGCACCATCTCACATGCACCGCACATGCATTACAGGACAATGATCGACTTTGAAAGTGGTTCCTTGATTAAGATAATGAGACTTGTTTTCATGGAACCTCGATGTGTAGATGATCTATCGACATTTACACTTTAGTTGGGTTGGAAGGACCCTGTAGATCGGACTCTTCCGGAAAATCATCCTGATCATCCATATATCATCAATGCACTGTTTGCCATGACAACTTTTCCTAATAAGCAGATGGGGCTTTGAGCAGAGTCTAGATCTAGGTGTGAGCGAGACGGTCACTACGCAATGAAAAGACTCACTCCGCCGTCAATCAAGACCGTTTCTCCATTCACAAACCAGTTCGCGACGAGAAACAGCGCCAAACTTCCCATGTCGCGCGGTGAACCTACTCCCGACTCGGTGGGGACCTCAAAACCGGCGGGAAAGTTTTCCGGAAGTACGGACATTCCGTTTTCATCGGCAGCGAGAGTCGTCATCTGTCAGAGCGCATAGGAAACACTCAGTCCCCAAGATCCAACTGAAAAGTAAACGACCACTGACTTTGGTAGCAAAAAAACCGGGTGCGATTCCATTGACTCGGATACCCAGCGGCAGCAGCTCGTTTGCAAGACTCGCCGTCGCATGCCCAAGCGCACTCTTCGAGAACAAGTACGGGTAGCTCAGACCCCCTGTGGCTGCATCCTTGGTCCACCCGTTCATGGAGCTAGTCATGACGATCTGGGGCACGAATCTACCGCGCTTGTACCCGTCTTGTTGCTTCCACGCCTCGAGCAGCGGGAGAAACGCGAACGTAAGCCAGTATGGACCGACAGCGTTGGTCTGCAGCGAGTCGTCAAAGTCCTGCTGCGAGACTGCGTCAAAGGCCGCTGCGACGTAGTCCGCCGCGGTCGAGCCGGGCGGCGGACGTGCGATCCGGCCGGTGTGGACCCCCGCGTTGTTGAAGAGCACCGTCACGTGGGATTCGCGCTGGGCGATCGCGGCGGCCAGCCGCGTGGCTTCGCTCTGGGGAGAGATCGGTTTCGCATGGAGTGATAACGGAGGAACGAAGGGAAAGGACGCACCTTGTGCCGGACATCCCCTTCAATCCCATGCATCCTCCCGCGCGAGGGCACATTCTCGCTCGCCGCGTTGTAGTTCGCACAGACTCTGCTGCCTCGTCAATACTGATATCCGTATGCCGCCAATGCATGGCCGCACCGATCCAGTTCGGCTTGGTTGGGTCCAATGATGTACACCGTGGCGCCATTCGCAACGAGCGTGGAAGAGATCATCATCCCAATACCCTGCTCAGCCTCGCATGAAGACGTTCACATATAACCCAGGCGTCCGCCACGCACCGTTCCTCCGCCCGTGACGACGGCCACAACGCCGGTGAGATCGAAGATCGCGCTGGCGGTGAGGGATTTAAGAATTGCGTCGGCCATGGGAGAGTGGGGCAAGAGTTATCGTCGTGCGAAGGATGCTGGAGCTGCAGTGCGCTTGTCCTTGATTGGCAATCGCCTCGTGCATCGATTGTGGATGCCTTGATGGCTGTCTGACGCGGTGGCCCATGAGATGAGGAAGGCTCGCAATGCGAGTTGATCCTATTCAAGAAAACGCGCGGTGCATTTTTTTTGGTCAGCGCGGGCGATGAAGCAAGTCAAGGAGAAGGACGTCAGCGTGATTGACCAGGTCTTTGACAAGCAGACATTGATCGCATCACGGGAGATTTTCTGGGTCGATGCGTGATCTTGTGATGAGGAGAAGGTGATGGCGACTTTGGACCTTACCCAAGACCGTCACCCAAAGCACCTGCTGGAGTCAAACCTCTGCTCGGATCCGTGAATCTATCTCATGCCCTTCTTAGATAAAACTGCCTCTTCCCTCGTGCGCACCAAGCTCTCCGCGGCCCTATCATGTTTTGGGCTACCGACCGTAGGAATGTCATCGAAGTAAAATCGAAACCGAAATCAATACCTCATGTCTCACGAAAAGCTCGTTAATCAAAATAATTGACATCCTTTGCTCACTGGTGAGGAACGGATCGCACATGGCAATCGTGCCATTCCCGTGCAAAGCGGTTCAGGTTGGAGCCAAATTCCCGGAAATCAGGAGCCGTGAGGACCCAGTGTCCCGGCTGCTCACCCTGGGTCTCTCATCCTCACACAGAGAACGAGCGAGGACTTCGAGATAGTCTACCCGCTCGGGCTCTCCGCGGCGCGACACAAGATGGGCTCATCATCCATTTATAGAATCGTTATTTCCCCCATTTCTTCATCACATCCTTGGGACAGGTCGGCTCGAGAAAGCAAGACGCGACATGGATATATCACCCAGTGGGACGTGTATCTTAACCTTCAATGCGAGGTCGCATCAATATAGAACTCGGCTTGGTGCCCGAGTTGAGTCGAGTTGGACATCAAGTTCATGCGAGTTCTTTGATGATGCATTTGCCATCCTGTTATGATGCTGGACGCGTCGCTGACGTTACATTCGGGTATCTCAATATGTCAGTTTAACGCCGCCGTGTGTGCGGTGATTAGACCGGCAGAATACATCTCTCATCCTCTATTGGGTCTCTCGTTCTGTTTGGAGCACTTGTCCCACGCTTCTCTATAGTTAGCGAATCGTTTGATTGCACGTCCAAATATATTTACCTTCGGTTCTTTTCACGGGAAATCTATCTGACTAGGCTCATTTCACGAGCTGGTCCTTTCTGACCAAACCAATATTTGACAAGCTTAAATATCTGACCAAGCTTGCATTTGACTAGCTGACATCTGACCCAGCTCTTTCTCACGAGCTTGTGCTGTCCATGTGGCCGATATCTTTCCCTACTGATGTCTACAAATGTGACCACTGGGACCGATGCTAGTCCTGGCGGCCATCGGGCCCATACCGGAACCTGGAGATGCCCTGCGCTGAAACCAGAGACTCGCCATCCGCCTCAGTCGAGCATCGGTGTGGCTCCGTCAGCCGGAAATCCACGCTCACGATCTTTTCGTGGTGAACATCTCCACGAAATGAGTGTATCAGAGCTGGAAGTTCGCATATTGGCGGCACTCACCGATACTGCACTCAGTACCAGTCCGTGCTGCACCCTGATCCGTAGAGCTCATGACGACCGAGCTATCGTCGACGGATATCTGCCACTGGGTGCGCAGGTTATACAGCACCGTGAGCGTATAAATCCGCCCGAAACAGAACCCGAAGACAAACGGGATGCCCGAGTCGCGGTCGGTGAGAAACGATATCAGCGCAATCGACGCCCCAATCGAAGTGATTATGCCCGTTCGTAGCGCGTTGAGAATGAGTCGACGGATGATACTGGGATCAGTGATCATCAGCCTCGGGAAATGTGGCTGGACTATGATATATGAAGCACGACGCGCCTTTTTGTGCCGTTGAAATCTGACGCGGAGTGTATGTTAACGAGCTGAACGATTAGCTATGTGTACATCAGAGCACCAGGCACTACGCCATGCGGGAGGCACTCACACAGACCGCAATGCCAATGTCAGTCACTGTGGCCGAGACGAGAGACAATCTACAGCTCACAGCTGAATAGATGCCTGACAAAGTGGTCCGGCACTCACACTATGCGCGTCAGGAAATTCCCCGCCGTTGTGGGATCGCCAGATTCCACTAACAGCGCAAAGGTACTGAGTGTCGCTGCAAACTGTATGGTGTGATATCAACACTGATAACTTCGGATCCCACCCCGGGCCAAAAGAGAGTGACGAACTGTCAGAAGCGACAAAAGCCACAAGAGTATCGATATCGACCACATTCGCGTGCTGACAGAGATCGTAGATAGGTGAGGCACGGAACGGGAAGCTACCTTGGGAAAAACTCACGCTCTCCAGCATCGGAAGATAAGCAGATTCTGGCCGACGAGCACGTTGATGGCGTTCGTGAAAGCGTTCATTTGCACGGGCCAGTGCTGCAGTGCACGCAAGATAAGAACCAAGCGCAGTAGATCCATGAGCCGGCGCTACGTACTTGACCAGCGAGGTACGAGATGTCTCCTGCAGCGATCAAATGTTAGCCCAGACACGGATTCTGCCAGTGCGGAACTTTCTGACCCCAGTGCGAGACACAGTACTAGCACATCCTGATCAGCGTGTATCCAAAAGAAGCAGAAAGCGGCTCACCAAGTACACCGCCGCATGCGTCGCTACTAACGCTGCCGTATCCACCACAACACATACCCCAATGCTCCCTTGGATCCACCATCTGTTCGTCGGCGCAGTCCCTTCTCCTCGAGTGCGCGAGAAGTACGCCACAGCGGAAACGATCTCGATGACGTAGAGCACATTGTTGAGCCATGAGCCGACGAGGATCGCGCTGATGGTTGCGCAGGTGAGCGAGCGAGTGCATGAATGGAGAGTAGGGCTGTATCGCACCCGAAAAATTGTGAGAGCTCCATCCGGCGTGAGAATTGGATCAGAGGCGTAAGAGAAGGAGAAGAGAGATCGTGGAATGCGAGACTTACCCTGGCTGACTCGCGGCCAGTTCTCAGTCAGACATGATCGGTCTCACTTCGAGACCCCAATCCGCTGCCGGAACGGACGTGGAGAACTAAGAGGAATGTTCATCCGCATGAACTCCAGCGCACAGTAAATAGCGATGTGAAAGATTCATTTTTGCAACCAAGCGTATAGTGCGACCCTTAGGACTCAAGAGAGACCCGCACGGCGCTTCATACAAGAAAGAGAACGTGGGAGACCTGTGGCTGTGCAGTTACATCAGGCCATCAATGCCACGATGAAGTCTCGTTGAGTGGCTGCTACTTTCCGGCTGATAAGCGCTCAGCGCTCAACTCTAAGAGCCTATCATCCTCGTCAGGACGCATGAATTTTAGCTTTCAGAAAACTCCCGATCATCCCTGCAGCAAGGTTACCCGAACTGCCTCAGCCGCCGCACTGCTTGCCCGATGCCTTGACATTCAGGACGAACTCTTTCCCTCAGTGCTGAGACCCAAGCACAAGTTTGAGTATATGTGGAATCAATCTGGACGGTACGACAGTATATGCGTGCTATATTCGGATGAGTTTTGAGACAAGCGGCTCGATGTGCTTCGAATATATGAGACGCAAGGCTAGCTAGTGTAACGAGCTGTGTGCTTGTCGTTTTTCTACCCTGTCTTAGTCACCTGCACGTCTGCAACGCTATCCGCTCTCGATCTCCCTTTGCTGAGACTCGCCACAGAAGGAGCGAATACGGAATCCACCCGCTTTCTGCAGAAAAGTAGTTTTCTAGCTGCTGCCAGTATCTAGATGTGCCATCATATCTATCGGGACTCTACTCGGCAAAGAACGGGCTCTCTTCCTGGATCTGGGTACCACGATGAGTATCGAAAAATACCGGTACCACCAGACACGCACCCAAGGAACATCGTCTTTCACATAGCGCCTGGTCGGCCGCGCCCACGCAATAGCCTTGTTCTCCTCCGCCTCCGTCTCCAAGCGCATCACCACACCCAGCTCGTAGTTCATCACCTGAGAAGGATCATCAGCTCGAGCATCCCGCAGGCTAAACGCGCATGCGCATCACCTCAAGAACAGGATTGAAGCCACTGCCACTGAGCCTGCCCCAAGCGCTGGGGGTGAAGTTGTGCGATCCGACATACAGCCAGGACCGGGGCTTGCCTATAGGTCCGGTCTCGATCACCTCTATGTCGCTGTCTGTGTCACTCTCCGTCGCGGAATCGTCTGCCGGTGGCCCTTTCAACGTGCCCAGAATCATCTATCCAGTGTCAGCTCCTAACCGCGCCAGTAACCATGAATCAACGCCCGGCACACCTTTGTATGCATCGTTAATGGTCCACTTCTACTCCGCACGTCATGAATCTCCAGTCCAGATGCATCGCTAGCCATCCCGCTGATCTTCGTCCACTGGGCCCGCCGACAAAAGATCGTCCCTGCGCCCGGCTCGCCCATTTTCGTGCCTTTGATCGTCTCAAGAGTCGGATACAGGATGCGAGTTGGGCCTTGTCTCGGTGTCTAGCAAAGCATCCCAATCAGCCGGTGCTACAAGTTGGTGACGAGGATACGCACTTTCTTCCGTCCACGGTCTAGCCACGCTTGGATCGCACGCGAACGTCCACCAGCGCAGAGCCGGAATACGGCAATCCAAGGTGGAGTGTATGTGCCTATGGACGATGTCTGCACCAACCATCAGCACGATCCGAAACCGGCCCAAGCACACGTACCAGACAATCTAGCTCGATCTCCCAATCTCCCGTTTTCCGCTTTCCCTTCTCGGGGTCCAAACCACATCCAAGGTTCTGTATCGCGCGCAAGAGACGGGTCTGACCGTTCCTGAATCCCAATCAGCCCACGAGACATGGGATGCGAGCAGCGGTTGCGCACAAGAGCACCGCCCGATCCCCGGCCCAGCCTTCCCATCGTCCCGGAACACTAGGTACCAAGGCAGCGCGCACTCTCGACCAATCCCACTTGCTTTCCAGTGCCGAAATCTTGGGTTTGCCCCGAGCGACGGTCGACGGAATCAGTGTCGGTAGTGGCAGATCCGTGTGCTGGGTGGGGATGAGCGGGGCAGGTTGACCGGTGAAAACATGACGAGCTTACACCCTGCTGCTCCATGATAGCCAGCGCTGCTTCGAAACCCGTAGCCCGCAAAACCCCGGCCAGCACCGACGGGAACGCTTCCCCAGGTTTCTCACCCGTGCGCAGACGCACAAAATCGGCCGCTGGTCTGAGTCGTGGCACATCCTGAACGAATACGTACTACAGTGTGGAAGCGTAAGCGGGAGAGTCAGCTGAATAGACAAACGCACATTCTCCACGTCGCGCCAATCATGTGGCACAAGATTCGCACTGCTGATCACGACGCGCAGCGCTCCAGTCTTCTTGAAAAACAGCATGTACTTCATGTGCATACACCCTCGGTTGCCGAGGGGCGGGCATACTCGAACCCAATTCGGGAAGATGTTCTTGAGCGTAGGTCTGGGAAGAGCAATCAGCGGAGGGGACGAGAGGAAGAGCAGTTTCGGATGCACCTGCTGGAAGATGATTCGGCCATTGTGGTATTCGAGTCCGCAACAAGAATGACTGGCGTCGTTGGATCGAAGAACGAGTAGATCCACGATGGATCGATGACGAAAGCCGAGAGAATCGCGAACGCCAGCTCGTCTTTGGGCCCGATGAGCTCGCTCAACCGGACTCCAGGCGCCAATCCAGTTTCCCCTGGCCCCGCCTCAGCGTACTTTGTCTCCACTCTCCGTAGCACCCCGTCGAGGAACGTCGGTGGCTGCGACGGACCGCCCCGAGATGCCGAGTCCCCAGCTGAGTTCAATCGCACGCGTTTCCGCGAGCTTCCTTCGCTGGCAGTCCACATATCCTCGTCTTCATCCTCCTCATCATCATCAAGGTCTTCCTCTCCGCTTGAAACCGGGGGTGGTGCGGGCGGGGAAGGCCCGCGGAGCCGTTTCTGACGTGCCAAGCGCTCGCGTTCCATCTGCGCTCGGTCCCCGAGCAGTGAAAGAAGTCCAGCGCCAGCAGGCAGATTGGCAGTGGGCGGCGTCGGCTCGGTAAGTGGTGTAGGTTGCGGTGGTGTAAACTGCGCTGGTGGTGGCATGGCGACGGGTGCCTTCGAAGATGATGCCATGGGTTGAACGGATGGTAGATTCTTGGGAACGTCTGATCTGTTATCCTTTCCTCGCTCCTGGGATTTCCGGCCTTGTGCCTCTTCTTCATCTTCGTCGTCGCTGATCACCACCACCTCAGCCGGAATCGACCTTGTTTTCGCTTTGCCCTTCGCAGGATGGCGGGTGCGACCGTTCGAGAGGTTACCATCGTGTGCCTCTTCGAGACTGAGCGCGATGGCGCGTGCAAGATCATCGTCTTCGTCCGAGTTCATCGTCGGGCAGCAGTAGAGAGGAAGCCGTGACAGATCACAGGTCACGTTGACCGCTGAGTCACTGATGCCGATAAGATGAGATGAGGCTTTCGGGATCGCCCCCGATACGCCGGGAGCACAGGGCAGGTCTCTCGACTCGGGAATGGTTTCGCAAGTGAGAAAACATGAATCCGATATGGTTTCTCTGGTTAACCTGGGCACAAAACATTTTTCGCTTTCAATTTGCTGGGGCACAAATAACACCTCATCCTAGTATATCTTATGGCCTAGGCTTCTGAAGGAATGAGAGCTCTGAAGCCTTTGAGGCATCTCCCAATTCAATCAGGTACTCTGAAGTTAATGTGGCAGCCGCTGGCGTGTGCGAGGCTTGTAAACCCACTGGGGATTTCCATTAAACAGTCTATCATGGCAAGAGTAGCTACTAAGAGCCATGAGAGATCTGCCCGACTGCCGAATTGCCTGAAATGGCAGCGAGTTGCTGACGAATCCAAAAGATGGTGGGGCGAGACGCCGGGTTTCGCGCCCAGCAGTCGACCAGGATATTCCAGATCTGGTCAGGAACTTGGGGGTAATCACAACGCCGGGGCTCGCGCTTCTTCAAGTCATCCTGGTCGGTAATGTAGAATTGGCCGCGGCGTGACCTGTTTTCTAATTTCCTTCCGATCAAGATCTAAGCAGGGTGGTGAGTTCGGCATGCATATCGCAGAAAGGACGCGCAGATCTTGCCTCCAGTGCCATGATCCCAAATGAGTAAACGTCCGACGCCTGGGTCACCTTCATTTCAGAGATTCCGTGGCCGTGAATGTCCAAGAACAAAAGCTCGGGAGCCATGTGCGGAAACGAGCCGAGAGCTGTCGGGGTCGTGAAAAGATGCTCAGCGGGGTTGTGAGATATCCCCATGTCGCAGATGCACGCGCGATGATGTTTGTCTACCAGGACGTTTGACTGGATCCCGATGAGTTTCAATGCTCTCAAATGAGATGGACCACTCACCGGTTTCAAATCTGCATGCACAATGTTATGACTGTGCAGATAAGCTAGCCCGGATGCAACGTCCAGGATCTGTGGATCGTGTACTGAGTGCATCGGATGGAAACAAGCCGTTGGGGCTCACCAGGGACAGACCAGACACTTTGTGATGGTTGCCGGATAGATATCTCCAAATATCTCCGAACTTCATGAACGGTGTAATGAGCACCGGGTGGCCATCGAGTCTACATGAACCGATCAAAGGAAGGATGTTTTCATGCTTGAGGCCAATCGAAATTTCGAGTTCCCTCCGCATGTACTGCAAGTCCGCTCAAGAAGAGCACACTGAGTGGATGCAAAGAACAAGCTCACCCGTGACATGTCGCACGTAGGACTCCACATCCATTTGATAGCAACCTATGCAGGTCAATTTGCAGTTTCGGTCGAAAGCGCAACCTACTCACACTAAATCGACCGTCAAGCTTCCCTCGATATACTTGGCCGTATCCCCCCGCACCAATGGGGAATCTCCCCACGCAGTCGATCCGGCCAGCGAGATCAGTGCCGAGGGAGGCTATGAGCAGTTGATCCTGCAGTCACCTAGAGTATCGACAAGAGGGTTCAAACGAGTCTGAATTCACGTACAGAAGAGTCCAACTCCTCGCCTATGTCCGACATCTGCCCAGGTGTCACATCACCGCCAGCTGGCAAAGAATTACTTGCCAGTGCACATAAATCATGAAGAGGTCTGTGGAGGAGTTTCAGCGTACAAGCAAGATCAGTGAGGGGCACTGACACTGAGGGAGAGAACGGAGAATATACTGGTGATCCTGGACGTTTCCCGAGAGGTGAGCCGGGCCGATCCTTAAACGGGGAGCTGGGACGACAGTTTGGAGCGATCGCAGGGCATGGCCTCTTTTTCCCTGCTGGAGTCAAAGCTGCCCAAACATTCGACCTTCTCTTCAGACGAGGACTGAGACCAGCCGGTGGGCTACCACCGGCGCAGTCGTCTGACGAAAGGCCCGAAGGGGAGGGTGGTCCAGATCTTGTATGATCAATAACAAGTTTCGCGAGGGGCTGTCGCGAGGATGCTGGGCGCGGCACGGTCAACACGTGTGGTGGCTCATGGGTGACATCCCCCATCCTGTGCGAGATGGGATCGGTGCTGCCAGCAGGCTGTCAGCCGTGGAAAGACTAAGCACAGCTATACGCCACAGCGAACAGGAGGTTTACGCACGGAGACCGGGGTCGAAAGCGGACGTTGGGGGACAGAGACTGCATCCATTCCAGGTGTGCGTGGCAACACCGAGGCGGGGCGACGAGCGAGGTCCTTGAAAATCTATTCGGAGGCTTGAGAGGATAGCCAGAGTGCGGCTTGAGCATCCGAACCGGAAATATGTAATCATCATCGTCATGAGCAGGCATTCTTCGATGATCGTGAGGGTTCCTAGTGGACGCAGGGTGACCAGAGATTGTAGGCAGGTCTAATGAGGTAGGGAGCGAGCACTTGAGCAGCGGAGGGGAAGAGGAAGGTGGGAGGAGGTCGAGTAGGTGAAGGGGAGAGGGGAAAAGGCAAGATTGCAAGCCAAACGAGGAACACAGAAGCCCCGCATCGTTATATCGTGGAAATCGAACGAGCGTGGCCACCACACCCTGAGTTACAACACGATCTGTGCAATCGGCGCGCTGCGGGAACCATGCGGACTGAGGCAAGGAGCAGCGAGGTTTTTCCTTCGAGTACTCGATGCTGTGACGGCCTGATTGTCCAGGCGGTCCAGGTTACCCAGAGTCCGTGCCGGACAAGCGAAGTATGTAGTGATCGCCATCGCACAGGAGATCTCATTGGATCAGGCGGTTTTTGATCGAGCAGGGCAGTGTGTCTGTGTATTCACGTGTTTGGTCGTGAGTCGTGAGTGAGATTCGTGATGTCAGGCTCTGTCGTTCAGCGTGGGATTAAAAATGCTTTGCCCACCGGGCCAAACAAGCCATTCAGTCTTTGAATTTTTTTTTGCGGTGACTTGAGACTGATATTGAGGCTGCGTGAGTAAAATGGACACTCCATTGCAGTGGATCATTCCATCATATCCTCCATTAGGCAATCACGAAAACAAAAAACAAGGACCCTAGGGGATCAAAAACCGCGCAATCAATTGATACCATCGGCGATCGGCGACGATCAGCACTTGGCACCTCGTCCAATCCGCATGGTCTGACTCAACCAGCGACATGAATTTCCGCGCAAGCAACGCGGTTTACGCGTGGACCCAGCCTTTGGGACTGATAATGGAGCACCATCCGCTACTTCGTGTTACACTCTCATCCCCATTCCTCTGAACAGCTCACATTCATGTGCACTCAAGAGAACGACGAAACGATTTTGGACGCAAGCTACAGCTCTCGAGCCACTCCGATGCAGGATCTCAGGCAGCTTTCTGATAGGTCTTCGGAGAACACGAAGAAGTCATTTTGGACGACCTTTATCCAAATCGGGAGACGAGAAAGAGAAAATCAAGTATCTCTGAGAGGCGAAGATGGAGCCTGCCGTATTTCATGATCACAAGTCCAGAACTCGCTCACCGCTCGTGCGCGTCCACTCCCGTGTCTACGACCGGAAGCGAGCGGTTTTCCTCGAGCGCTGAAGAGGCCTGTGATGATGTACGCTGGTTTCATTGACCTGACTAGCTCAATACAGTCCTGAAAGTGTCGGTTTTTCACAGGCCAAATCTTTCCCCTTCATCCTGGGCAGCGCGCTTGAAGTGACGCTCCGCACCCCATTCCCGATTTCGTCGATCGGCAATTCCACCATTTTCGCTGGTCGACTGAAGGCCGAAGGCAAGGCCCCAGTCAGAGTGCGTGCGTCAACTGGAAGCGCCAGGGACTTAACCAAACGTCAACGCTAGGTGGCGCTCAAGCTGATTCGTATCATAGATGAACCCCACGACTCTGCCGCATTGAACAGTCTATTTCAGGTATTCGGCGCTTTCTTCTTCAAGGACATTCTTCGTTGACTCATTCCGACATGATAGAAACTACGCACTGAAGCCCGGGTGTGGAAAGGTCTCGTCCACAAAAACATCCTCCCATTCATGGGCCTATCCGAAGAGCTTGCGCCGAGCCCCATCCTTGTCTATCCATTCTGTCGATTCGGGAACATCGCAAGATATCTATCTGGAAGTCAAAACGTCGATCGGCTGAACCTGGTCAGTCCAGCCCGCTGTCAGAGTTTGAATGAACGCTGGCTGACATGGGCTTCAGATCCGAGGAGTAGCAGCCGGCGTGAATTACCTCCACCGTTGCGGGATCGTGCACGGTGATCTGCGACCGGTATGTCCGCATTCGGATGGGGTAGAGGGTGCTCGATCTCATGTTGCCCATGCCAGTCAAATGTGCTTGTCGACAGCACAGGCAAGCCATGCGTGTGTGACTTTGGAGTCAGCCGTTTGATCTCTGAGGCGGGATTCATCCCGAGAAAGCGTACGATCAACTACACAGCACCCGAGCTCCTCGCGATGGAAACGCCAGAAGGCGAGCCGGCTGTACCCACGGCCGCCTCGGACGTCTACTCCTTTGGTATCCTTGGGCTATTTGTGAGAAGAGGCTCCAGCCGCGCATCAACTTCTGACCAGACCCTTAGATTCAGTCCTCGAAGACACCGCGCCGCAGAACGAATAAAGTGGTTGTCGACCGCAAAGCGCTCGAGGAGCTTGCACCACAAAGAGAAGCATACCAGACTCTGGTTTGTGACGAGCTGTGGCGCGTCCTGGAGATGTGCTGGACGTTCGACGCGCCGTTGCGGCCGAACATGGACCTCGTCCAGGAAAAGATTCGATTGATGCGTTAGATTCGGAGAAACTCACGGGGCATCCACTAGATAAATACTTTCGAAGACTCAGGTATACCCAATACTGCAACTGTTTGTTTAATATCTCGAGGGTGTCATCCATCGTCTGCTTTCAATCCAAAAAATGTGACTGAGCACTCGACACGCCGGCGCAGGAAACCATTGATTCATGCATGTACACATTCACACCGCGACCATGCGACACTTTCGCGTGCCGGATATTTGCCCCCAGATGATTTGTAAGGGAATCCGACGTAATCAACGATCAACTTATCCTTCCGGACCGCTCAAATTGTCATTTCGACCCTTCCCATCCTCTTCGTTGAGATTTCCTCCGCCCTTTGCCCTCAATCAATTTGGCTTTTCTCAGTGCCCATAGGCAACAATAACCGAGCCTTCAACCGCGAGGCCCTGCTGTCGTCTTTCGCGTGCTTGTGACATATCAAAAGTGACCTAGCGGAGGAATTTGTGGGGTATTCCTTCGAGCGTATTGCTGCTGACGAGATGGATCAAACGCGTGCGGGTTGCTGTCCGACGGTGTGAGAACGAATTGAGCAAAAATCGGGCCTCGATCAGATGGAGACTTGGGCCCGAATTTGAAACTGTAGTCAGCAGAGCTTACTATGAATGCAGGAACACCATCGGAGTCTCCGGTGTGCGCTCCAGTAAATGAAGCACATGTCAAACTGGCTAGGAATCATCGGTGTCGTAGAAACCAGGGCATCAACTCCAGAAGCATGAGAGTAGACGCAAAGGCTCTCCATCGGGAAATTTCTACAATCCCTCAAAGCGCGCGAGTCTCAGTGACGAAGCTGTGAACTCGTTCGATTCTCTGCGACGCGGCTCTGTCTCGGAAGTCACGGTTTTTACTTGGCTGATCGAAGTCAGAGCGTGATCGGACACGTAAGCGGCGTTGCCGCGCGCAGGCCTGCTCCGCCTCACTGTGTACACATTTGACTCCCCGCCAAGTCAGCCACGTCTTTATATAACCGCCTCACTGCAGCGACCATGGGGCGTGCCCGAACCCTTCTGTCCCCGCCATGAGCAACGCCAGCTTCGATTACGCTGCGTGGACCTCCGCCTCTTTTTCGTCGGCCTCTTCGTCGGCCGCTGCATCGAGTTCCATGCATCCTGCATCGCTTGTGGACCCGACATCTCACTCTTCCGCAATGATACAGCTGATCGACATGGATATCTCTCTGTCGCTCATCGGTAATTCTCGACTCATTCACGCTTCGGTCTGAATCCGTTTCTCACTTGAATTCGCAGAATACCTCGCCGAATGCATCTCAGAAACGGTCCAATACGCACTCGTTCGCGATGCACCACGTGGCCGCAGCCCTGCACGCACGCTCCACACGCGCAAGTTCACAGCCTTCGTCGAGATGGTCCTCCGACGCGCCGAAGTCAGGCCCGCCGCCGTGCTCGTCGCTCTAGTCTATGTCGCGCGCGCACGTCCGCATCTCAGCATCGCGCTCGAAGAATGGGCCCTGGAGCGCGTATTCCTCGGCGCGCTGATCGTCGCGAGCAAGTACACGCAGGACAGCACGCTGAAGAACGTCCACTGGGGCCTCGTGAGCGGGGTGTTTGGCCCGCGGGACATCGGGCGCATCGAGCGAGAGTTCCTGGAGGTGTTGGACTGGCAGCTTACCGTGCGGGAGGACGAGATCCTCGCGCACTGGGATGGGATCATGGGTGTGGGTGGAGCCCGGCTGCGGCAATTTGGCAAAGAGGAGGGCCGGCGGCATGTCCGCGTGTCCGCGTTCTTGCGTCCGCATTTGCGCGCACCTCAGGATCCCCTCCCGCTGCAGATGCCTGATCTTGCGGCGAGCCCGACGAGTACTTGCGTCAGCTTGTCACCACGCACACCACTGCATTCCGGAACCGGAGCGCCTACTCACTCGCTACCCAATTCCCCCCCACCGTCAAAACCTGAGGATGCGATGGACGTCGACTCCCCTCCACTCCCTTCGAAAGCAAGGCGTTTCTTCCCAACTACTGCCCAAACTCGGCCTATCATGGTCTCATAAGACCATTCTCCGCTCCAGACATGCTTGCATGCGCTTGGTCCTTCCTTTCCGTATCTTATCTTACATTATGCATGCCTCTACGTCTCATCCTCTGACTCCGGACATCAATCTAGCTACCCTTACTGCCTTGATAATCCCTACAACCCGACTTATCACCATTCGATATGGGAAACCCGCACATGTTACCTTCCAAAGCATTCATCGCTGCGCAGTGCGCAAGTCAGTCCGAATTCGCGATTCCCGGCTTAGTTCTTTTGTGTCTCTGACCCCGGCCTTCTGATTAGTGGGTTCAACGACCCTGGCGAGTTCCATCCTCCTGCTTATTGAAGCTCTTGCAGGTCGGGCCAACATGATTAATGTCAGATCCGCCCCAGTCTCTGATGCAATCAGTGGGTGGTGGTGGTGGTTCGAGAGGCTAGTGTCCATGCGACTGGTCAGGCCGGTCAGGACTCATGCTTGGATCAACCCTTGCATGTGATTCATTGTCCAAATGGAGAGATCAAGCCCTGCTAGCCAGGTGCCATTCCGCTTTTCACTAGTCTATAAGTCAATCCTACCTGTGCGGTTCGGCGTTAGTCACCTGTAGTATTGTGGGTCAAGGCCTGAAAGTCCGGATACCTCGGGATTTTAAAGCCCGGCATGGCCTGACTGATAGGCCGGAGGCTCGGGCTCGGGTCTCCGTAAGTCAAAGCCCTGGCCCAAAGCCTGAGCCCCGAGCTTTGAATATCAAGGAGATGTATGTAGAAACACACATCAACATCTCCCGGCTCGGACTCAGGCTCGGGCTCGGGTCACACGGTCTCAATTTTTTATTCGGCTATACACCGACTGCTCGGGGTACACGTTTGAGAAATATATAAGTATAGGTTGACATCTCGCAGACTCATTTCAAAGCAAATCATCACCTTGTGCAATAGTGCAAGATGGGCAACACAATCGCGCTCCCAGTCATCTATGCCGTCTCCGCCTACTCCATCATCCTGTTGGCTCGGACGCTCTACCGGACCTGCACATCCTCACTTCGATTCATCGATGGCCCGGCGTCCGCGAACGTCGTCTTTGGTCATTCCATTTTGCTTTCGGTGAAAATTGCTTTTGCATCTCTTCCTATTTGCGGCCCCTAAATGCCTATCCAGGATGTGCCAGAGCAGGGGGACGAATGGCGGAAACGTTACGGCGCGACCTTCATGGCGAAGGGCCTTTTCTTGGTGTGTGCATTTTGGAGCGTGCCGGAAAATATCTGACGAATTGAAACCTACCCGCCGGTGCAGGCAAATGACTTGCATACGACTGACCTCAAGGCCGTGGCCCATATCCTCGGCCACGCCTCGCTGTACTCGAGAACGCCCGCGTTTCTCGGAAGCTTGGGCCGTATTCTCGGCGAAGGACTTTTATCCGTTAGCCTGGATCCACATAGACGTCAGGTTCGCGTCCCCCATTGAACGAAATCTCACTGGCTGACTCCCGGGTCTTTATAGCGCAAAATTCTTGTAAGTCCTCAGATCGTGTATAAAACTTTTCTAAGGCTTGCCCTAGAATCCTGCATTCAATCTGCAGAGAATTCGATTGATGAACGAGATCTTTTTGGACAACGCGATTCTCGTGAGTCGACATTCGATAGCTGTGCTGTGCAGAGACGACTGACGCCGGCAGATGCGGGACTTATTGTCGGCGGATGTTGAAAAAGCTGGTGGCACCGCGACTATCAACCTTGCTGAGATGTTCCGTCAAGTCACGTTGGATATCATGGGCCAGGCCGGTGTGTCCTGCTCGTCCCGAGTCCCAGAAAATCCTTTCGAGCCATCTAATCAGGTTTTGGATACAAGTTCAACTCGCTCGAGTCAGCCGGCAAGAACGAAGGGGATCTGGGCAAAGCCTTTCACATGCTGTTTCGCGGGCCAGATGCAAACCTCAACGTCGCGATGCAGCGTGCTCAGGGCTTGTTCCCAGCTCTCCAATATCTGGTACGTGTGAATCGGAGAACAAGGCTTGTCGTTGACGATCCTACCTGGCAGCCGCTGCCCGGCTGGCGAAATACCCAGTCTGGAATAAAAACACTGCGTTCCGTGGGAGCGGAACTTCTGCACAAGGCCAAAGCCGAGGCTCGGGTGCTCGGAGAGAAAGATCTGGGGTCAGGGCGTGATCTCCTCTCCATCCTCGTCAAGGCAAACATGTCGGCGGACATCCAGGACAACCAACGTTTGAGCGATGATGAGGTCATAGCCCGTAAGTTCGACCACTGAGAAAAACTCGATTGATATTTGCTCATGGTGCAATCACAGAGATTCCAACGTTCCTCCTCGCCGGCCACGATACCAGCAGCGTCGCGCTGGGCTGGGCCCTTCATGCGTTGTCGCACCATCTCGAGATTCAAGAAAAACTCCGCCAGGAGTTCCTTTCAATTCACACGGACACGCCGACCATGGATGAGCTGAACGGGTTGGCCTATCTCGATTCCGTGCTGAAAGAGGCTATGAGGCTCTATTCACCCGTGCCCTTCGTCCAGCGCACCGCGTTACAAGATGATGTGCTGCCACTCAGCAAGCCATACGTGGACCGGTGGGGTGCGTCTCACGAGAATCTCCCGTGCGTTCATTCAACTTTTTGGAAATTCATCGCACAACTCACGAATGACAGCATCACCAAAGGACAAATGATCACTATTCCGATTCTGGGTGTCAATACCGACACGCAGACTTGGGGTGACGATGCTCTCGAGTTCAAGTGCGTCGTTTCCTCTTGGCGCTCGATCACGGTTTGATCCTTTCCGCTGCTACGTTTTCAGACCCGAACGGTGGGACAATTTGCCTGACGCAGTGCATTCCATTCCCGGAGTGTGGGGAAACCAATTGACCTTCGCCGCCGGCGTTCACAGCTGTATCGGCTTTCAATTTTCAGTGTCCGAGTATGTCAAATCCGTTCCCCGCACATATGCCGCGTTTGATCGAACCCGTCCCTGCAGACAAAAGGCGATCTTGTTTAGTCTCATCCGGGCATTCGAGTTCCTGCCAGATACAAAGCCCGTCCGCCCAGTAATATCTGCGCAGCTCGCACGACCTGAATCGTTTGTTTCGGATGGCAAGGGTGGATGGGTGCCGTCTGGTGGGCTGTCTATCGTACTCAGCGCCTATAAGGGATCTTCTCCCTGATTTCAAGTCCTCATCCTGTTACAATTTGAAATAGCATGGTCCAATCGAGTCATCTTGGTGTTGTAAACTCACAATCAGAAAAGTAAAAATGGAGTACCAGTGGTTGCTGACACATGACAGATCGAGGTCAATCATCTGACTCTCTCAACCTCACAAGTTGAGGTCGCATCCTGAAATTATGATGGAAAAATCGACCAAGTTATCGCGCGGGTAATGAACTCCACTCGTGACTTGTATCCTTCGGCCAGATACTTCCCTGAACCCTCAGACAAGGAACTGATAACAGGAGTACTTGACTTGAGGAGAAGAAATGAACACCCTGCTTTTCATGTAGATTTGGACTTGTTCCCTCTAAACCTGTTTGATACGATTCTATCACTCCAGTGCTGATCGCCTGCTATCTGCAATGTTGAGTCACCGCCGATGACTATGAAGCCACGGTGGAGAGGCAGCGGCGCACTTCGCTTCATAATCCAAGCCTCACGCATTGAGCCGATATCAGGTATAATGAGAAGCGCGCAAAAGGAAATGACAGACATATCGGACCGAGCAAACATATCATTAACCAATCATAGTACGAATCTCAAATACGGTGTGATACGCACTCGTCTATGATGGCCCACGTGACCGCGCACGAGCACCCACGCTCACACGTGCAAATCCACAGCCTTCGCCGAGTTGCTGCTCCACCACTTCGAAGTCCAGTCCGCTTCTGTGCTCGTTGCCTCTATCTTCAGCGCCCACTACCGTCAGCGTCTAAGCATTACGCCGACAGAAAATGGACCCTGAAGCGCGTGCTGCTCGGCGCAGTGATCTTCACCAGCAAGTACTACATGCTGAAGAACGTCCACTGGCATCGAGTGGGAGTTCATGAAGCTGCGGGATTGGCAATTGAGCGTGCATGAGTACGAGATCTTCGCGCGTAGGGATGGGAATGTGGGGTTGGATGGTGCCAGGCATCGGCAAGCTGACGACGAGGAGAGCCGACGTGTACACGTATCCCCTATGTTACATCCGCAACTACGCATGCCTCGGGATCTTCTTCACCTTCAGATGGCTTGAGGAGGACCCGCGAGCAGTTGTTCTACCTTTTCGCCTTGGCACACCACCGCCTTCCGGAACCGTAACTCACACCCATTCGCTACTTCAGTCGCCACCAGCGTCAAGGCCTGACCATGTGATGGACGTCGACTCCCCTCCACTCTCTTCGAAAGCAGGCTTTTCTCTCCCCACAAAGCCAAACCCCGACCTTTCATGGTCCAGACTGCAGGGTCTTCTAACACGACCCTTGGCTCTCGCTCCCTTCCAGCACATGCTTGCAGGCGCATGATCCTTCCCTCCCGTATCTTATCTTACATTATGCATGCCTCTACATCTCACCCTTTGACTCCGGACATCAATCTAGTTACCCTTACTGCCTCGATGATTCCTACAACCCGAGCTATCGCCATTCGATATGGGAAACCCGCACACGGTAGCTTCCATAGCATGCATCGGTCCGCAATGTGCACTAGTCAGTCGGACTTCGCGATTCCCGGCTCAGTTCTTTTGTCTCTGTCTCCGATCTTCCGATTGGTGGGTCTAACGACGCGGTGAGTTCCATCCGCGTGCTTATTGAGGTTCCCGCCCGGGCCAACCGGAGTGAATCCGGCCCGGTCTCTGATCGAATGACCTGCGCTGGGTGGCGGTGCCATCACAATCGCGGGACCTGTGCGCATGCGACGAAGTTCGGGATTTGCTCTTGGTCGTGATTTATCGACTGAGTGCAAAGTCGAACCTTGGAAGCGAGAAGCCCAGCAAATATTGAAAACTTTTTAATTCTACCCGTGAACAAGAGTTTGACTGCCCAGATAAAACATAATTTTTGTCTGTGATGAGCATAATTGCTAGTTGAGCGGGCGAAGGTCCTTATGTGCATGTTGTCGATGGCAGTATCTCTCCGATGCCATGGGCAATATAAAGTTCCGTTTTAGAGTCCCGACAACCCGAAGCTCACGAGCAGGTCTCTGTATTAGTGTATCCCACTTCATGAGACAGTGATGTGCGACCTCTGTGGCACGCCTTCCAGCAAGCTCGTGGAGGCTCTCAAATCAAGCAACCAACCCAAAACATACTCAACCCAGCTGGTTAGCTCTCTCGACTGACTCCAGGATTTCCTTGAAGCATAGCGTGATCTGTAAGGTGGTGCGCACTCAATCCTCAGTCAAGAATCTCATACACTGCTTTATTACTGATACCCGCGAATGTGTACAAGTCTATCCCACTTACAGCTCCGCCTTTCTCTCTTCGCCCTGCGGCTCGCTCTTGAAGCACCCGAGTCTTTCTTTCGAACAGTAGCATATGAAATTGTCCACACTGCAAGTTTTTAGGCTGGACTGATCTTATCAAATCACGTGCACAAGCTCCAGCAGCAGCGGACACTCCTTCCCTCCGACTGATGTACCCGCTCCGCACGAAGTACATGTCAATACCGAGTCACTCGCGTTCTTGGTATCAGCGTCGTCCCCGCGCCGATCACGGATGAGCTGGCTCGAGGCACCGCCTTGCGGCTGACAGGGCGTCGTCTTCTGGTGCGTAGTGTGTATTTACGCGCTGGCGCTGCGACCTCATGACGGACATCTTTCCTCGGGCTGATGCAAGCTCTACTCGTATGATCTTGGCGGCGATATTCGGACGCGTGTTTTGTGGGATCGATTCTGGGCAATGGTCACAAGGTCAGCCTTGCTGAGTGCTTGCGCGTCCATCCCCCTTGGCTTTTTACGTCGGTCTGCCTTCTGTCTGTAGCAACACGTTCATGCGCTGACCTCACCCTATTCTACTCTCTCACGTCTCCTGCTGCCAAATGACACGGTCTTTGTTGATTCACTCCCGCCTTGATCGTGCTCCGATGTTATCGGCGACCCACCCGCGAACCGATCCTGACCCGAGCCTGTGTGACCGCGTCCCGACATCCTTCCTGATAGATACATAAACCCCGGCTTCTGCGCCCGTGTGGTGGGCAAATCTGTCCGTGTGGCCTAATCACCCCGATTGGGAAACAGCGGAGGTCTTCCGCGCCTGCGCGCATACATCCACCCCAGGGCCGTGCGGCAGGTCATCTGCTCGCCGCGCCAGTGTCGTACGGTGGCACAGCATCAGCACCTGCCCCGCGCTGCTGCGGCGTGAGACGAATCAGCCGCAGCGCCGTGCAGTGAGTGACGTAGCCTAGTTGTCTCCTTTCATCATCATAGGCCAACTGCGGGTCAGAAAGCGCGTCAGAGCGTCGCGCCAAGCGCCGCAATGGACATCGAGCCGCTGAGCCTTTGAGGGTAGCGGCTTGCGCTTTTCGCGACCGAGACAAGATGCGTCTGCCTGTCCGTTCCGAGCTTGTTCGACACCCGAGGATTCTCGTTCATTCAATCCATGTATCTACTTACCTACGTACCACCTCGGCATTAGTTTCTGGGCGAATGAAGATGGCGACATGGAATCAGCAATTCTGGCCGGGCACCACGAATTGGATGGACTGTCAACGATCACTTGGAAGACCTGACTTCAAGTCGCATCAGAATCTGGGGTCCTCAATTCATTCTATCGCTCCTGATTTTCAGCAGCCCTTCCGTGAATTCTAAAGCTTAGCATCCCACTTGTCACATGGAGCGCCGATGCATTCGAGCTCGATGAGGTTCCGAATCGGCGCGCATGCAGAGTTCGCACAAGCCCCTGACCGACGCGAGCGCACCATGCACCAGTACTGTAATGTATTGTGTGCACCCGAGCTCCTCCTTCTCTTCTCCCTCCTAAGAATCCAGCGAGGACTCCGCCGCGGATCGTCCGCGCAGCCCCAACTTACACCCAACCCCTAACAAGCCTCAGCGGGCCGCGCTCAAGTAATGCGCTCGTTTGTTTTTCTCTGGTTTACCTTCCATGCCCGGACCGGACGTCGTGTGCTCGCGATCGGGTTTGGTTTGACACGAATACATAGAATAGCCAAAAAAAATGGGAGTGGATTCAGGTCGGGGAGAGCGGATCGGACGCGTGACGTCATACGACCTCGTATACTTTTTTTTTCTCTGCGTCGCCGCGAATCGGATGATGGCTGACAGCGGGAGCCCGACCTCCACTCACACGCGCTCCGGAGGAGCGAGCATACGTATACTCTGCCATGGAGCGGCAGCGACTCCACCGCCACTCGCTGCTTATTCGATCCCGTCGGACGACTCCAAATTGAATGTGCAGTATTGGATTGGATTGCATCAGGCATCGAGCCCGCAAGTCTACATTGGTTGGTTATGGCTATGGGTAAAGTGTACAATGTGGGATGCAGCGGCTGGAAGTAGTACATATGTGGTGAATGTCGTGCGGACAGCGTACAATGCGACGCGTCCAAAAGCGGACGGGCGTCATAAAGAGAAGAGGCTACATGGAGGAGTGCATACAAGAAGGGGTTCCGCGGGGGGACGATAACAAGATGGGTGCGAATGCGAATGCGAATGCAAATGGATGTGTGGTATACATAGCAGATGGAATGCGTGAGACGGCGAACAGAGAGTGCAATGCGAGCGATATATGCGTGGATGGCCGGCTAGGTGGTACGGCGCGAAAGAAGCGAGCTCACAAGCTCAGCACTCGGTCCCGCATTCTCCGCTTCGCGCGAAAGACGCCGAATCGCACCCGCAAGCTGAGCGCTGCCCAGTGGCGGCGCAGAGAGGACGGAGAGTGGCTCGAGGGGGAAACGTTCTCCTTGTCCGCGACCACAGTCGGTTCCTCGTCCCCCGTAACGTCGTCTTCCTCCTCGTCGACTCGCGGCTGGTATGTCGGATACAGGTAGGCAGGTCTGGGCGAGTCAAAGGACGAGCGGGCAGGCGCGAGCTCTTCGCGGACGGGTTTCGGCTCGTCGAGACTGCGTCGCCGGGCAGACTTGCGAATCTTCGCATTTGGCGCGTGGCAGAACGGAGACAGGGGGTGGTGCGTATGCTCTTTCTCGGAGGCAGCGGCGGAGAGGGCACTCGTGTCGGAGTCGGCGCTTCCAGGCATCCAAGATTGGTACGCAGGAGGATAGGGCGAGAAGCCAGTGTAGTAGGAGGGAGTTGTGGGTGATGGTGGGCGGACCCACTGGTTGCCCGTGCGGGGCAGGGTGGTGTAGGGCTCGGGTGGGTTTGAGGGGATGCGGGGGTAGCCATACGCATCGTAATCCATCTCCTCATCCTCCTCCTCCAGATACCGCACAGGCGAGGCTGTTTCCCATCGAGGCCGCACTGGCGAGCGTGGGCGAGTTCGGCGCGAGGAGGCAGAGTGGGTTGAGGAGGATGAAGAAGACGCGGAGGATGGGAAGTCGTAGGATAGCTGTCGGCGCGTCGGAGACGACATTGTGGGCGAGTACAGATGGCTCAGCTCAAGGGTGACTGCGGGGTGAGTCGGGGTGATTCGAGAGCCGATTGTCAACGTTCTTATATAGGCCAAGCGGTAGACGGCCCAATGCGGCAAGACCCGATTTGGAATGTGAGCTGGCTCGGTTGGCCCTCTGAGTCAGTCTCGGAACTTCGACAGCGGCTCGTGTAGATTGTGTGCCCGCGGTTATCGCAAAGGCGCAGTGTGTGTTGTCCCCCTCCTCATGGCTCAGCCACACACGCCCAGAAGACCAAGCGCGCTGGAAAACTAGCTTTCCGCGCCGTTTCTGTGCTGTCTCGCCCGCGGGCAGAGAGTCTGTCTGCAGATGAGTTTCCGTCTGCAGACTAGTCTCACTCAGCACGTCTCAATCATCATCCTAGTGCGGGCTCAGTAATCCGTCGGTAAGGCTGCGTCATCTCTCCCGCCATCGGATGATCTCGCTCGGGTCAAGTCTGAAACACCGGGACCTCCGCAGTTCTCCCTCGCGCGTTAGTCATCCGCGGTCTGTCAGCGCTTCTTTGGGGCGAACGGAGAAAAACGGGATGTTTTTTCTTTTCAAATCCAGCGGACGAGCCGGGAGATGCAAGATCCACCCCCACGGGAAGGTCAGATTTTCGGATGAACCATGGAGGAAGTTCCATGCAGGATGGCGCTCTCGGCGCCTCCTTCCCTTTCTTCCTTCCATGCCGGGAACTTGATTCCGAATTCCCAGCACAGCTGACACTTCCAAACGTTCATGATCCATTATCTTGAACGAATCCCAGGCAACGATGCGATTATCGATCCATCCATCTCCCGGCCCAGGATGAGTCGGCCCGCGACCTTCTCTGTAATCTAATCCGGTCCATCCAGTGGGATCGGAGCTAAGCCCACGGTCGAAGATGCAGATGATATGATCAGCCAGTCCTGTACAGCCAATCCGGCCCGTTTTGCCAGGCGACGAGGTTTCTCCGGGTGCCTATTGGTTCCTGAACAAGCTTGTGATTATCATGTGGGAGTGGACAGGACGCGGGGTAGATAATCGTCGGATGATTAGATAAGATTCATCCCATCATTGATCCCTTTCATTTCGCGCTCGTTTGATCCCCGTGGGCAAACACAAAGGGAGATGGCTCGCCACGACCCCCGCCTTGTGCCTCTCGCTTGCTGCGCTTCGAGCTCTATCGCTGCACGAGTTCGCTTTGGCCTTTGTCTGATCGCACGGTGGTTCCTTTGACAGCAAGCGCGAACCAGCTCGTACACGTGCTGGCCAAAGGGCCCTCTCTCTCTCTTTCTCCGGCACGCAGAGCCGCCCGAGCCGTAGTCGTGTTTGTCGAAATGAATCATTCAGCGTCTAGGGAATCCAGAATAGACACCGCACCGCCTTCCTTTTGCAGCCGCGTGGCGGTGAACGTGTTCTGGCACTCGGTTCCCAGCACTCCAAAGTGACTCTCCTGAAGCGTCTTAGTACAGTCTCCGGTGCCTCGACTCTCGAACAGTCCCAGAACGACTTGAGGTCGCCAGCAAGCAATGCTAAGCTAATTCTGGGGCGGCCGCATTGTATGCAACGCGCAAACGGTGCGTCCAGAGGCGGACCGCAAAGCGTACGCCTATCAGCTTCTCTCGAAACGGTCTGCAGAGTTACCCTCTTAAGAACCAGACCGCGTAGATTTTGGGGCATCGTGCGACTCTGGATTTCGCACTAGTAAACAAGCCGCAAGGCTGCCCACGCTGCATGTGACCTGCGCATGTTCTCTGATTCTGGCTTCCGGGGACAAATTCGTCCGCCTTGCGCTCGCCTGCGCAGTCTTCCTAATCCCGTAAGCTCGCCTCGTTTGATACGCGCTCCCGCCGCACCACGGAACCTCCGCCTCGAGGCCGGTTCGGTTGCTGCTTCTTCCTAATCAAGCCGCTCGTCGCGCCGAGGGGCGCTGATTAGCCTTATCGGGACACGTGTGATGGAGGATCATCTGTGACAGCTTGTGACGGTAGCGTCACTCCTTTCGCAGCGACGCAGCTGCTGCTGCGCGCATGCGCATCCTCGTCCTATTGCATTGAACGCATGCCCCAGTCAAGAGACCGCATCTCCCGGATATCAACCTCTCGCACGGCGTCAATCCAAAACTTTGGCGTATACCAAGCCCCGACTCTGACTCTTCCCACCAGCTGAGGGTGGAGCGTGATAGAATCAGCTGTCCGTCTCGCAGGCGTGTCCAGTCCCAGCGTGGGCAGTTCCTCCTTCCGGCTCCCCGGCGTCCACAAACGCCATGTTTCCCCGCACGCGCTGTGTGCTCTCGCGCACCTGCACCGGCCTTCTCGCCCACACGACCAGCTGGGGATACCCCGGATCCGGCACAGCTTGTGCGCCGAGCCGGCTCGCCATCTTGCATCGCATCGTTCCGGGCCTGTGCGCTACGCCCACAAAGAACGTGTTCGCGCACAGGCATCCCTGATCGATGGGGATCAGCTGACGGGCAGTGCCATGCTATTGTGTGGTTATTTTGGTGCGGTGGGACAAAAATGGCTGGTCCACCGTGCGTGCCAGATCAAGCGCTTGTCTCGAACGAAACTCGCGCGTCAACGCCGATCCAAGCACGCTGCTCGGCGTCCTCGGCTGTCGTGAATCGTGATAAGCAGATCGAGTGGGTGAGACATCGCTTTGTGTGCGCGCTCGTTGATTCATTATTGTGATGACAAGAGGGTTTAGGCTTTCGCAGGTGTGGTTTCTCCGAGGCGTTGCCAGAACACACAAGCTCAGAAACCTCAGCTCTCGAGACAAACGGGACATTGATCGCCCCGGTCATTGCCGGCTCGAAAACCGTCCAGGCAACGGCTGTTCCCCGGAAGCCAGGGTCTGCAGATCCTCATCGCGACTGGTTGCATTCTTCAAGCGCAGCCCGCGAGACCTTCCCAATCGCAGCCCACCGCCGTCTCCCTGCATCCAGGCAGGGCGCGTGACCCGCCACCAAGCTTCCTTGGCGCCTAGTGCTGCGGCGATATCACCCTGCCTGTGCGTGCACTTGCCAGGGCTGATTTGGTCGGTCCTCCTTCGATAAGCTCCGCTGACTCGGAGCTCACGCCACTGATGGCGAGCCACCGCCCAGCGCGTTCGTTCCTTCAAAGCTCCCAGTGGCTCGGCGAAACCTGTCATTGCACCTCTGCAAGGCGTCTGTTGCTGCTCGTGCGGGGTTCTCGTGATCTCGAGGCCTGGGAACGTCAGTGCGTGTCCGGGTGTACTGCGGTGTTGATCCGTGCGGACGCGTTGTTGCCGGCAATTTCTCGTCTGAATCACTTGCAGGATGCGAGATCGCGGGTGTGAATCGTGCGCAGAGATGCGTGTATGCTCGCTCGCTGCTTTTCCAGTCTAAATATGTACAGTGCTATTTCCATTCTCTGCGCAGCGTGATCGCCCCTCGATTTGGGTTGGTCTCACGCTGATGGGACGTTCCGCGACCCGGGCATCTGTGTTGCCTCTGGATCCAGAAGCCCAAAAGCTACCTCGCTCGCTCCCCGGTTCAACTGCATTGCAAACCAGCAAAGCGCAGATCCTGACGTCGTCACCTACCCAGTCGCAAGCCATGACGTCAATCCGGTGCAACTGGTTTGATACCGCTTGTCAGGTCTGGTTCAAGGTTGAGGAGTGCATCGCCACTGATCGGATCTTGCTAGGCTCAGGTACCGGGCCGGACTCCGCTCTTGGCACTTGTCCGGAACTAAACACGGGCACGTGCCACGAGGTGAGTGTGTCCACGACACAAGCGCAACCCAACCGGTGGTTGAAACCCATTTGGTGGTTTCAAAGGTCGAATTACTCATCACTCTTGAAAATGCATTGTGACATGCTCCGCCCTTGGCGCTTATCCGGAACTAAACACGGCACGTGCCAGAAACCAAGTTTCTCTTGACCTGCAAGCGCCATGCAGTTCGTAGTTGATTTGTCGTCAAATTTATAATTACTCATCATTCGCGGAAACGCACCGCGCTTTCGGATTCGAGGGCAGGCAGTGAGTTCGGACATTTCGCAGCCCTGTATCCTGATCTATGTGAAGATGTGAATGAATCAATTAATTGCCCTAGCCCAATTCTAACAGTATTCCCGCTAATTTATCGTCATGCTCTCTTCTTGCCCCCATTGCGCTTCCACAATCCGGGCCAGTCGTGTGCGCCCCCTGAAGACTATCATGTCATCATTATTTGTCGGCACCGGATCACAACACAGCGACCAGTGAGTTCCTTGCTAAATTTAAAGCGGGACAAGTTGTTCCCCCGATGTTCCTCTGTTGCCGGGCGGTACGGGATCCTCGCCTGCGCATTCGCGGATAAAATTGGACAGAGGTCCGTGATGGACGGTCCTTCTCTTGCATCTCGTCTTGTCCTCCAATAGCAATCATCCCGACGGAAAATCAGCGAGTCAATTCCACGTACGCAACCCCGCCTACCTCCTGTAAGCCTCTGCCGTTGATACCCGTAGGATCTTCATCAGGATTTAGCAGGCGCCCGTGGGTCATACCACCCTTGGTACATCCCGGTAACGCGAATGCTCAGCCTACCGTCCATTTGCCACGACACTATTGGTACTGTGTCATGATGAGTTCCTGATATTTTGCAGGTCTTGCCCGGATCTTGAATTTGGTTCTTTTCACACTTGACTGTCGCCGCTGGGCACCATCTGAGTCTGCGCTATGACAAGTTCTGCCTGACTCAGTGCGCGGGCCGGTCGGCCCACCCAGCTCCTACGGCCTGCCGGTAGAACTCGGGCAACGGTTATTGAAAAAAACGTCAGGTCTATTCTTCATAGATCAATCTCGCTGTCCATTCATGACGCGAATTACACCAGTCAAGCTACGATTCCTGAAGCTTACTACTGCATGCGGAAGACCGACGCTCCAATGAGATCACCGGCGGCCTTGGATGGGAGAATACCACGCGGTTCGTTGGGGGAGGTGAACTGTCCAGACCGGGGATAGACAGAGAGACGAACTGCCGCGGGCGATATGCACGGGTGTCGGTTTCCAGATGGGATCTGCGCCAGGGCACCTGAGAGCGCACGGATGGAGAAACGGGGCCAGTCCTTGGCGAGTCCTTGATGGAGGAGCACGAATGCGTAATGTCTCTGGGTCGATGGTCGATTCGGGGTGGCATGCAGTCCAGAGACTAGGGTTCGACTGGCAAAGACATGCGAGCCGGGTCGGCGTCCGTCTCAGAGTCGTGCTTCGACGTCGGTGACACATGAGGCTGTGGCGGGGTCCCAGACTGGAACGGTGTGCGCGGCGAAAGGCTTACGCAGGTACTCGTCGGGCTCGCCACCAGGTCGGGCACTTGCTGCACTTGCTGCTGCTGAGGGAGCCGAACCAGGCGCACATGACTCTGCAGTACCGGAGACAGCTGCACAGCCAGATTCTCCCTCAAATCCCGCCGCTCGCGTTGGCGGGCGCTTTCACCAAGAATCCCAGCCCAGTGCACGACGACCTCCTCCTCCCGCACACCCAGCTCCCAGTCCAGCACCTCGAGAAACTCGCGCTCGATGCGCCCGACGTCGTGCACGTCAAACAAGCCGCTCACGCGCGCCCAGTGGGCGTTCTTCAGCGTGCTGTCCTGCGTGTACTTGCTCGCGGCGACCAGCGCGCCGAGGAACACGCGCTCGAGCGCCCACTCTTCGTGCGCGATGCTGAGGTGCGGGTGTGCGCGCGCGACGTAGACGAGCGTCACGAGCGCCGCGGCAGGCCGGACCTTTGCGTGGGCGAGGACGCGCTGCACGAATGCGGTGAACTTGCGGTGGGTGTGGCGCGTGCGGGCGTGTGTGCGGCCGCGCGGCGCATCGTAACCCAGTGCGTATTGGACGGTATCTGAAATGCATTCGACGACATATTCTGGAGTGCGAGGTCAGAGCCTGTGCTGTAGCGTGTGAGAAGAGAGGAGCTGAACTGATGAAATGCCGCGAGATATCCGTGTTGATGAGCTGCATGATTGCGGCCGAGTGGGCGGTCGCGTCCACGAGTGATGCGGGATGGACGGGACTCGACGAAGACGGTGAGGTTAACGAGGACGAGGCGGGGGACCAGGAAGCGTAATCGAAGCTGGCGGTGCTCATGGCAGGTACTGGGAATTAGACAGATAGCCCATCTTGGTGACGAGGTATTTTATAGAGCGCATATAGCTGACTCGGCCTGCACTCTGGACTCAGAGGTGTACACCGTAATGCGGAACGAGAAAGCACACGAAAGCGCCTGGCAACCGACGGCAACCGTTGCTCGGCCCATCAACTTCATTTTCCCGGCCAGCCGTTCTTCCGGCGTTCTTCCGGCACGTGACCGCATTGCAAGCCGGGCCGCGGAGAGTGGGCGAGACGCACAAGTAAGCCAGCCCGTCCGGGAAAGCCTCATCAGATTCCAACACTTGCGTCAGCGTATGGGTGTAAATGGGCCTTACCATCCCGCCGGAAGGAAAATCTGGGGTTTGCAATTCCCCCGCACTCCCACCAGTGTCCGTTCGGATTCGCGAAAATCGGGTCCGATGACGCTTCCGCATCACACTAATCGCTGCTTATTACTTTCTCGGAATCGAATTCTTCGAAGATCTCGACTGCGGAAGCCTAGCTCGTTTTGTTTTCACGCCGAGGAAGAGCGGCGGTAGCAGCGCAGTATTCCAGCCGACTTGCTGGCGTCTCAGAAGGCGCCCCACAAAACTTCCCCGCCATCGTGCATCTCAGCCGTCGTTAGGAAGGGCGACCGTGGGTGTGCAATTTTCCGGCGACTATTCCCCAGCAGCGATGCTCGGATTTCTTGCGCCCCGCCGCGGCGAGAATATGATCGAAAGGGTTGATGTAAGTCTCGAATTGTTTGACCTGTGCGCGAGGCGTACTCCGTGCGTGTAAGCAGTGTTCTGATCAGCTGATCGTGTTCTGATGTGGCTGTACTCTCGTCCCCATCTCTTCATCAGACGCCGTGATCCGGGACCTTGGACCTGGAGTAAGCCATGGATAATAAGCAATCTGATACAGCTTCACGCAGAACCTGTTCCAGGAGCGTCGTCCACGCCAGAAAACGCAACACCAGGGACACCCTCCTTACCAGCGGCGAATAACCCCCCGCTCGATTCTCTTCTCCCACTCGACGCTGCACTCTACTCAGGATGCCCTCAATAACGTCGTGCGACCACACCGGGATCACAGTCACCGATCTCGAGCGATCGCTGGCCTTCTGGCGTGCGTCCACCCTCACTTCCCCGAATGACCAACCGACCGACCGCATCCCATTCACGCGACCCGTGCAGAGGACGTGATGGGCTGCACCCTCGCGCACCGGTTCGACGCGGAGGGCGAGATGGCCGCGAAGATCACGGGCGTCGCCGGCGCGGCTCTGCGGATCGCGATGCTCGATGCGCCCGGGGGCTATCGTATCGAGTGAGTCTCCCGGCCTACGTCTCTCTCTTAATACCCACGCGCTCGCACCGCAAGACTGCTACAATACACCTCCCCGGCTGACAGAATGCACCTGCGCCCGCGTCCGTGCGACGTGGGCAGCGTGCACATCGCGTTCACGGTGGACGATATCCACGGCATGAAGCAGAAGCTCGTCGATGCGGGGTGCGTAGTCCGCGGGGAGCCGTTTGGGCCGCCGGGGATGGAGCTGGTCTATATGCACGATCCGGACGGCACGTAAGATCATCATCTTGCAATATGGGGTGAACTGTTCTCAAAAAAGGTCGAGTAGGACAATCGAGCTTATGGCGCAGCCGAAAAGAATGCAGTAGATGCTTGGAGCTAATACGCACATGGCTGCTATGTCTCCTTCCACACGAGAGCGGGATTCAATCGAGTCATTTTCACCGCTACTGCTCCTGAGCATTCCTCTCTGAATCTCCACTGAGTGCTTCTTTGGCCTCGGACATTGACGGGTTCAGCGCCGACGCCCTCAAGCGGACCAATTCTCACTGCAACATACTTCGGGATGCCTATGCCAGGAGGCAGACCAGCCGATAAATCTTAACATCTGCCAGACACTACCAGCCAACGAATCTCATATCTGCCAAACACTGCTTAATCACCAACGCTCGTGACATCAAGGAGCAGAAACCTGGTCTGACTGAAATTTCCTGCTCTTGCTGAGGTTCCTCTCGTGTCAGTCCATTCTTTTCAAATGCTACTTACTGAGTACGGGTGAACACAAATGGCAAAAAACGGCCCCGTCTGAACGCATGGGACAGTTTCCACATTTTCATACAACTGACAGCATGTCATTCTGCCACTGCTAGAATGGCATTGACGAGATCACACCAAAGGGGCTTACTCCAACAAAGGAATCCGTCTAATGGTCTAAGGAGGATATCACATGTGCCGAACTATCCCTCTGAAAGGACAATCTGAGTGTACGTCATCACAACCGCGCCATCTTGAAGGACTGGAGTTTCGACCGGGGCGGGGCGTTGAGAATATTGTAGATCCTCTCGGCGAGTTTGGAAGGATGACTTTGAGCGATCTGACCGGTCCGATAAAGAGTCAGATGCCGCTGCAATATATATCTGATGCAGCGATGAACTTACGAGATGTCCCGCTCCCGGAACGAACACCACCGAGCCCAGGTTGCGAGGACCTCCAGCTCGGGCAATCAGACTGTTCTTCAGCTCTTGGGATCTGCAACGGAATGTCAAAGGCGGTGTGTGGCGCCTGGAAGGGTTGGTTTCACATACAAGACATCATTCACCGCGCCGTAGATAAGATGGGTGGGGCATTGTTCGGCTACAGCTCGGATCGATTCACAAATCTTCAAGGCGCCGTCCACGTCTCTGCTGGTGGACTATGGTTGCAGTAAAAAAACACTCAGCACGAGAACCAACGCCACGACTGGCAGTCTTACCTCTTCCTCGTCAACGGTGCAGGTCAGGGTCACGCCGTTCGCCCCGCCGTGAGGATATTTGAGCGTCGGGAGGGACCTCAGCCCATGCGCCTGACAGGTTTCAGATAACCGAATCTTAGAGCCGATCTGAGTAGTAAGCGTGCACGAAAAACTCACAAGGAAGATCTCGACAACACGGGGATCCCACTTCGCCCACATCTTCCCCCGCTTGACAAACAGCGCCGCTTCTTCACGGGATCCCCACACGTCCTGGCGAGCAGCACATCCCCGTGCCAATGCGGACCTGATCGCGCTCAGCAGCTCCGGATCGCCTGAAACCAGCTCCGCGGCGACCAAACACTCTGGGCGGAGGTGATGCTGCAAGATGAGATATGAGCCACGCTGTGCACGTAAGATGAATGCCCGACGGCGCATACATGGCCATGGCCCCCATCGAGTGCCCCACGAGCACTAATCGCCGCTTCGAGAAGTCGACATCGATGCCCGCGTTGGGAAGCGTCAGGAACGCGTGCAGCGCGCGGCCGTATTCCCGCGCACCATCTGTCCGAAGGAAGGTGAGCCGGGGGTGCAGGGAGCAGAGACAGACACCACGCCACGCCACGCCACGCACCGTCCATTCTGCCTTGCCGATGGAATGCCTCCTCGTTCAGGATCGCCGCCTCGCCGTGCGACGGGTGGTCGACCGCCCAGATGTCGTCGATACGCGGCGCGGCGCGGGATGTCGCAGACGAGACTGCAATAAGCCGGTGCAGGTCCTCGATGACGGGCTCGTAGTGCTCTTTGTGGAATCCCGACCCGTGCGCGAGCACCAGCGTCACGCCACGCTCGCCCTGGCGCTGGCGGGGATCAGAATTACCAGGCGGGGAGGCGTAGCTTGGCGCGCGGTATCGCTTAGCGGTGAGGAGATGTGGGTACCGCGGCCGCGCGTCGAAGATGTGCGAAGTGCTCTGCAGCGCGATGGAGTGGGACGACAGAGAGGACGAGCTCATTGCTGGTGCGATGGGCTACTTGAGAGCGGGAGGGAGGGATAAAACGACCGCAGTGTCAATTAAAGAAACGGCGATGCCACATCCGGGTTTGATTCGTGCGCCACCCCAGGGACCTCCAATTATTACGTAAAATGGCTTCGAGGCCCCCTCCGGAGGCCATCAAACCACCCCCTACCCCCCCTGATCGGAGGCCATCCTGGAGGCGCCTTCCTAATTGGGACGCTGCCTGGCCATTTGTCCACCGCTTGCATGGTATGCTAGGGATCGGCCTGAGTGCTGATATATGCTGTAGTAGTCATTATAAAGCCTCAGACAATGTCTGACCTCTCAAAAGCATGTATTTCTTGCTTGCAAATGGCAGACCACTGGGTGCACACAATTTGGGATCTGAGTACGTGAGCACTCCTCAGGTGCATAGAGCAACAGTCTATGTATTAATTCGAGATTGAGCATGAGGTAGCTGTGCCCACACGCAAAAATGAGATGTTGCTGAAGGGATGGTTTATGGCCTCCACGACCTCCCAGGTGCAGAAAAAAAGGTGTTGGGTAGCCCACAGGCCCTTGAATTCCACTTCAATAGAACAATTTGATGCTTATGCTTTGTCAAAACAACAGCTCAGCGTATAAATTGGATGTTGGAGCAGTGACAGAACAAGCCTCCACCGCCTCCAGGGCTGGGGATCAAAAGCGGTTACTGTAGATTCAGCCACACAAACTGTGTTCATGACATTATTTATCTTCATTGAGATGCACAGGATCCTTTAGAGCGATAGCTCAACATGTGAATTGGATGCTAGAGCAGATTACAGAAAAGCTCTCCACAGCCTCCACAGCCGGGGACTAAAAGCAGTTTCTTTGGATTTAGCGGCAGAAACTATGTGTTCAATGTCAGGTGTCTTATTTGAATGCCAAGGGTCCTCTATGGAGACAGCTCAGCATATGAATCAGATGCTGGAGCAAATGGCAGAACTGGCCTCCACCGCCTCCACAGGTTATTACTTGAAGAGTTGGGATGAGATGACAATGTAACAGACAGATATTCTCCTCGCTGACCACATTCTGTCATTTCCACCTCTAAATGCAAGTTGAATTGCTGCAGAATGTTAAAATGAGAGAACGGGGGACCCTGGAGGCGCTGGAGGCACATGCAAGATCCAATCATTATCATCAATATCATCAATGCCATCAATAGCATCAATAGCATCACCAATCATTGGTAGATTGATCAGCCAATCAGATGATGAATAAACATCGAACATCTAGTATATTCATTCCTGAGAGACACAGACTATCTGTATGCTCATACTGAAAGTGGATTAGTGGTCCCAGGACATGCCCCAATGACATATTACATCCTTGTCTCAAGAACATATGATTAAAAATCGGATTTGGCAAATGAGCTGAAAGTACTCCACTGTACCACTCATCTTCAGTTGACTTTCAGTTCATTTGCAAACTCCGAATTTCAATGATATGTTCTTGAGACAAGGATGTAATATGTCATTGGGGCATGTCCTGGGACCACTAATCCACTTTCAGTATGAGCATACAGATAGTCTGTGTCTCTCAGGAATGAATATACTAGATGTTCGATGTTTATTCATCATCTGATTGGCTGATCAATCTACCAATGATTGGTGATGCTATTGATGCTATTGATGGCATTGATGATATTGATGATAATGATTGGATCTTGCATGTGCCTCCAGCGCCTCCAGGGTCCCCCGTTCTCTCATTTTAACATTCTGCAGCAATTCAACTTGCATTTAGAGGTGGAAATGACAGAATGTGGTCAGCGAGGAGAATATCTGTCTGTTACATTGTCATCTCATCCCAACTCTTCAAGTAATAACCTGTGGAGGCGGTGGAGGCCAGTTCTGCCATTTGCTCCAGCATCTGATTCATATGCTGAGCTGTCTCCATAGAGGACCCTTGGCATTCAAATAAGACACCTGACATTGAACACATAGTTTCTGCCGCTAAATCCAAAGAAACTGCTTTTAGTCCCCGGCTGTGGAGGCTGTGGAGAGCTTTTCTGTAATCTGCTCTAGCATCCAATTCACATGTTGAGCTATCGCTCTAAAGGATCCTGTGCATCTCAATGAAGATAAATAATGTCATGAACACAGTTTGTGTGGCTGAATCTACAGTAACCGCTTTTGATCCCCAGCCCTGGAGGCGGTGGAGGCTTGTTCTGTCACTGCTCCAACATCCAATTTATACGCTGAGCTGTTGTTTTGACAAAGCATAAGCATCAAATTGTTCTATTGAAGTGGAATTCAAGGGCCTGTGGGCTACCCAACACCTTTTTTTCTGCACCTGGGAGGTCGTGGAGGCCATAAACCATCCCTTCAGCAACATCTCATTTTTGCGTGTGGGCACAGCTACCTCATGCTCAATCTCGAATTAATACATAGACTGTTGCTCTATGCACCTGAGGAGTGCTCACGTACTCAGATCCCAAATTGTGTGCACCCAGTGGTCTGCCATTTGCAAGCAAGAAATACATGCTTTTGAGAGGTCAGACATTGTCTGAGGCTTTATAATGACTACTACAGCATATATCAGCACTCAGGCCGATCCCTAGCATACCATGCAAGCGGTGGACAAATGGCCAGGCAGCGTCCCAATTAGGAAGGCGCCTCCAGGATGGCCTCCGATCAGGGGGGGTAGGGGGTGGTTTGATGGCCTCCGGAGGGGGCCTCGAAGCCATTTTACGTAATAATTGGAGGTCCCTGGGGTGGCGCTTTCAGGAATACGGGTGCCCTCCGTGAAAGATCTACTCGAAGCAGTTAGCCTGTGATCCTCCGCGGCGCAGTCAAATTTTGAAGCGGCGAGGAAGCTTCGAACGTCAATGCGCAAGAGAAGCTCATGTCGGAGGTAACTTCAAGCCGGATGCAGGCAAGGGGGCTAGGAGTCACGTGAAGATGCCCTGACGGGCTCAGGCGGCGCCACGGGTCAGATGCGGGATCAAACCCGCCCTGATGCGCCTTTCCCTCATGTCATCGCGCTTACTGACGATTGTCGCCGGAGCCGATCGGTGACGTATCCCTGTGTATGTACTTTCCGATCGACGAGACACGCGTGAAGTTGACCGGTTCTGCCGACTCGGCGCGCATCTTGACTCAGCACGGGGACGACGGATGACTTTTCCCGGTCAAGGCGGGCAGATGCGATTATAAATGCAAACCAATCAGGTTCCTACGTGAGCTCTGTCCAGTCAGCTCTCCGTCTTCCCTCCAGAACTCCCACCCGTCCCGCAAGCCAACCAAGATGATGTCGCTCATCCTGCACCACGAGGCCCAGGCCCCATCCCCGGAACGGAGCAGCATCCCTGTGACTCGAGCTTCCCCATCCTATCCACCCTCCTTTTCATCCTCTTCATCCGCCGAATCCGAACGTGACAATACGTCCGCCGGGGAATGGAGCTGGTGGCGGCGTTCCCGGCCTAACCTCATGCAACCCAAACACCACAACTCCGACTTTGCTATGCCGCTCACCCCAGTCGCAGCAAAAGAGTTTTTCGGAACACCGGAAACGGCGGAGCCACATCAGTTGACGGCAATCCCGGATTTGACCGAGGAGCAGGAGGAGGAGGCGGAAGAGCAGCAGCGCGACAAAGAAACAGCGGACGACCAGGAGGAGGATGGGTACACTTATTACCCGCAGCCACCGCCTGAGCGAACCGGGTTCCAGTTCATGCGGAGTTTCTCGCTTTGGCGGAAGACGACGCAGATCGATTCGGTTTCTGAGCTCAAGTCCTACGCCTCTGTCGCCTGAGGAGCTGCAGTCTACCACCGTGTAATCGTGCAATCCCGCACGCGCGTAACAACATCCACATTCCCTAGCCCCAACTGTAGCCACACATTCCTTTACTGCATCCACTTTGAGTACTTACCATCTGCTGTGACCGTAATCTGTTCGAATGTTTCCTAGAACGATCCTTGACTGTGCTCCTACACCCTCCGCAGCAATGAGACTTAGTACAACCAGTCTTTGACCGGGACAATAAGCCGATATCGGACGAGGGAAACACACCTGGATCTGCAGAATATAGTACCACGCACACCCTTACGCTATTCTCACTCTTTTGAGAATCGCCGTTGCCCAAACTTCGGCGCTGTCGACGTGTGAGCTTCATGATAAACTTGAAAACACACTCCCACTCCAGCGCACGGACTTGTCCGCACACCCTTATGTTACGAAAGGTTTCCCGGTACGTCCCACAGTGCGAGATGGGTCCCGAGGAAGTGGAGCGGACCCTAGCACAGCGTCTGCGCTTGTCCTTTTCCGGTCTTCATCGATCATATGTCCAAACTATCAATGAGCACAAAAGGAAAGGCGAATCTGAGTCGATGCAAAAGGGTTGTCAGACGCGTGAGAGATTGGCCAATGCGGCATGGACTGGTGCATGAGCCGACCCGATGATGTTTCCGTAAGGTTCCTCCAGCTCAGAGCATTCGCTCCAGAATGGAGCGAATGCGGTCCTCAGCACCGGAGACGGACGTTCGGAGGGCTTTATCCGCAGGATTGAGGGATTTCACCACGGCAGCGATGCCAGTCTCCGCGGCTTCATTCTAGGAGCTATTGCGCAAACGCAGGAGGAGAAATCAGCGGGATGAATGACGATGACGAACGGGAACAGGCTGTCGATCATCGATCACAGCGGAGTTGTAACAGTCGCTCTTCACTGTGACGTCAGTATCCGCCCCTTGGACCCCACACGCAGCGTCAGTCAATTAAAAGCCTGCGGGTCCCCTGCATCACCTTCTTTCCCTCAACCACTACCAACACCAAAACCATGAACAACCACGAAACGATATCCATTTCTCGCGCCACCTCCATCTCCCGCGCTAGCAAACAGGGCTCGACCCTCTCGCGCAACCAGTCGCTCATCAAGAAGAACACGGCCCCGCACGACCTGCGTCCGTCCGATATCCTCATTGAGCGCTTCGTCGCGTGGAAGGCCATCGTCAAGCAGCTCATAGCCTACTTCGAGGGCGTCGCGGATGTGCACAACGCCAGTGCGAAGGAGTTGACGAAGCTCGGGGCTGTGATCCAGGTCCCGTTCAGGGCGGGGAACCAGTTCTTGGGCGAGGGCGGACTGCAGGTGTGTATCTACGGCTGCGGTACAGCGAGAGCCTGAAGCTGATGTGGACTTGCCAGGACATCTACTACGACATCCGAGACAAGACGCGCGCAGTTGCAGACCAGCACGCGAACCTCGGTCGTACAATCGACAGTTCGATCGTGCAGCACTTGCAGAAGCTGCGGACGGAGATCAAGGCGCATATCAAGGTGCGTTGGGGCTTTTTCATCCTTCTCTCTCTCTCGCTCACTTGGTTGGTTGCAGAACGTTCAGAACGATACGGGCAAATTAGCTACCAACGTCGCTAAGGAACGCGAGCTGTCTGAGCGTCTCATCTCTGAGCTCTCCTCTGGAATCTCTTCGTTCAAGAACACCCCTATGTCTGTAACCAACCGAACCGACCCGTGAGTAGAGATTCTCGAGGGCGCACGCTATCGAATGACCGCCTACTTCCAGATATGTCATCAACACTGCCGTCCAGCGTCAACTCACGAAACAAGTCCATGAAGAGAACCTCCTGCAGAAGTCGATCATCATTATGCAGCAGAATAGCGCGCACTTCGAAGAAGGCATCGTGAGGGCTATCCAATCCGCATGGCAGACATACGATGAGTGGCAGGCCCGCATGAGCCAGACCGTCTCCACCATCCACACAGAGCTCACGACCCACATGTCATCCCTCGCCCCCGACCGTGAATGGCTCGCATTCAGCGGCCGCTCAGACCACCTCCTCGACCCGGACACTCCGCTGCGGAACCCGCTCACGATCAACTACCCAAGCAAGGAGGACCCAAGCGTGCAAGCCGTGCACACCGGAATGCTCGAGCGCAAGAAGCGTTTCACCAGAACGTACCGCGAGCACTATTTCGTGCTTACGCCTGCCGGATTCCTACACGAATACGCCAGCGCAGACCCGCTTGTCGCGCGCGAGCCGGTGTTCAGCCTGTTCCTGCCCATGTGCACGCTCGGGCCGCCGAGCAACGCCAGCGCCAAATCGCACAAGTTCCATATCGAGGGCAGGAAGGACGGCAGCGGGACGACGAAGAGCGGGAGCGTGCGCCGGTCGCTGAGTATCACTCGGCTGTCGGGCGGCGACCATGCATGGAGTTTCCGTTCGAGAAGCCGCGAGGATATGATGGAATGGTGGAACGACATCCGAATGCTCTGTGCGCGGTACCTCGTCGCGAGCGAGCAGATGGAGCGGAGCGGGCCGGTTGCGGCTGCTGTGCGGTCGGCTGGGTACATCAGCGATGAGGAAGATTCTGAGGAAGGAAGCAGCATCGACGAGGAAGACGACGACGACGAGTTGGAGTATGTCGACGTGCACGAAGAGATGGGTCCGCCGAGTTACTCTAACGGACCGCATGCGTTGGAGATGGGCGCAAATGGGTACCCGGTAAGCTTCGTTGTCTTCCTTTCGCCGGACACACGCCGAATGATGATCTTACAGGTCGACAAGAAGGGTCATTCGCGCAATCCATCCGCTGCGGATGGCGGTGCCAATGTCTCCCGCCGACCGAGCAAGCGGCAGCAGGAAAAGGCACCGGAAGGCCGGCCCCCGCACGCAGCCGAGGAGCCAACCGCTGTGCCGGAGCCGCCAGTCGATGACGCTGCCGCTGCGCCTCCCGTGGAGAGTCGGTTCCATGAAGACGTCTAGATCCAGCGCCATGTTCCCGGACGTTTACTTCTACTGTATTTGTACGACCTCTGTTCTTAGGATTGGTTCTGAATGATTGATTCATCATGGATATCTGCATTGACGGGAAATACGATGTTACAGACTTCTCCAACGCTTGACAACGACTTGTTGAATGCAGGGACCTGTTTGGATCGAGCCAACAGTTCTTCCTACGAATAGACCTGGGTGATCAAGATAGTAAGACGAAGTAAATGATGCGCGCAGCAGCAAGCAACAAATGAGAGTTATCTTCCCATCAGAATGAGTTGGTCACTAATACCTCCCCGTGGTGATCAGAGATGAGTGTTGCCCGTGCCTCGAGGGCAACCCATTGCGAGAGGCTGCGCCTAGTCCCACATGGTGGGGCGCATGAGTGCAATAAAGCGCATACATGTGTGCCGGCGACGCGCCAGCACTAACTTCTCGATCGCTCCTGAATGGGTTGGAGAGCCTGTGCTTACGGGTACAGCGGAGAGCGTGATAGATGGCAGGGACACAGCGGATTGGACCCAGACTTGGCTAGACGAGGGGCACAAGGACGGGGTCGAACTGGTCGGCACTCGTGTGCTGTAATGACAGTGGGCACATGGCTGGTAATCCAGCCTGGGGGATGCCATTCGCGACGTTCTGAGCGAGCTGCATGGTAAGCCGGCCCCAATCCAGTTCTACAAGTGACGTGGACATCGTTCCATAGGTTGGGCCTGGCGTATGGTATGATTCTCGAAACATGACACTCGGCGGATATGGAGCACGGTATGGGTCAGACACGTGGAAAGGAGGCACAGCAGAGGGGGAATGAGCGGCTCTAGTAGCTCGTCTCTCATTGCCTCGTTTTGGCTCTCCCGTGCCAAGACCTGTTCAGCGTAGTGACCCGTGAAGCGGAGACCGTGCGGGTATATCTGCGCCTGAAATAAGCCTCAATCGTGCGGGCTTCCCGGTTGATCTGATCTTGGAACACGTCCAACAACTCCTTGCGTGCGATTACTAGATTCCATGTCGTGGACTGGGCCAGCGTTGCTGTAATGCTTTCGCCATTATTGATTTCGCACGCTCAACGGAGAAGAAGAGATACCAACGTGACCGTCACAATCGCCGCCAGTCTCCCATCACGTCAAATTATACGTCAGAACACCCTTCTTCTGCTTCCTATCAAGCGGGGAACTTGCTGTGGACCTCATATCTTTACTGAAGACAGATTGCTGGGGGCCAGCTACTCAGTTATCTATGTACGTAGAGTCAGTTTGCATCCGCACCAACTCTCAACGGTCGTAGAGCGCACGGGATCCAGCCGGGAAGTGACAATCATCGCTGCTTCTTAGATATCGGCCCTTGGTCGGGCCCATCCTGCCCTGGTGCTCGAATCAAAGAATCCGTCACCGGACGTGTGGTGACTAGTGCAACCGGAGCTTCTCTGGGGCATAAGACCGCCTGACACACACACCAGCTCTCGCCTTTCTTCTGCCCGCCCAGCTCGCCCATTTTTCGCTGTGAACGTCCGAAGCGTCTCCACCCCGGAATCCGATTCACTATGGCGATCGATCTGAGTCATACGGTCAACGCTGACCAGTCGACGTTCCTGGGCTTTGGGCTGGAGGGGATATTTTACGGTACGTAGGTCTGGCACAATTCTCCGTTGTTGTCGCTGAGGACGGATGGGTGTGTGGGGCAGGTGTCCACCTCTTGCTCCTGGGCACCGCGCTGGTCCTCTTCGTTCGCCGCAAGTCCCTCAAGAACAGCTCCGTCGCGCCCATCCTTGCGGCGACCCTCATCCTCTTCTGCCTCTGCACACTGCATTTCGCCCTCAACTTTAACAACGTGTATGTCTCCTTGGTGCGATAAGGATTTCGAATGGAGCGGGGCCTGGTTCTAATCTGAGCGCACAGATGGTCCATGTCCGACCGCACATTGCCGGCGAGACGCCTTTGCTTCTTGGTACGTGATCGACGTCTGCGCGAGTCTGAGGTAGTCTGACGGTCGATACAGCGGCGGACACGTCGTTCCTCCTCGCCGATTTCTTCGGACAGCTCGTGCTAGTGCGTACGTCATAGGATTGTGAGGGTCGCCGTCCGACGTCTTGCTGCAGATTTACCGCTGCTATCTGGTCTGGGGCCGCAACGTTTGGGCCGTCATTCTGCCTATCCTGCTTGCGCTGGGGTCCGTATGTGAGTTCTGCCTGAACCTACTTCCGCTGCCTTGACGACCCTGATCACGCCTAGCATGCGGCATGGCGGTGACCGGGATCGTACAACAAACCAGCCCGACGAGCAACCAGGTCCCAGTGGCGCTCATCCCCATGGGCGACGCGACTTTCTCGCTCTCGATCATCTGCAACTTCATCACCACGGGCCTCATCGTCGGCCGGCTGTGGATCCTCTCGCGGGGGATGGATGCTGCGCTGATTAACGGCAAGGCGCAGTCGCTCGCTCAGAAGGCCATCGGCATCATCATCGAGTCGGGTCTGCTCTTCTTCCTCACGCAGTTTGTGTTCATCGTGCTGTTCGCACTGGCGCATCCCGCGCAGGCGATCATCGAGCCCATCGCGTGTCAGGTTTACGTGCGTCCGTCCTGGCTTCGCAGTGGGCTTTCATACTGAATGACACGCAGGCGATATCACCTCTGCTCATCTTGGTGCGCGTCGGCATGGGCATGTCGTACGAGCAGTCCACCTTCGAGACGACGGACCACGGCCGTGCCACGCACTCGCATACAAACACACACTCGACGAGTCTCCATTTCTCCGGCGCGAGGATGGGGGGCAGCGCATCCAAGATGGATGGGAGCACGGCGGATTACGAAATGGGTGCGTACGAGGAGCAGTCGAAGGAGATTCCGTCTGTGGTGGAGGTTTGAGCTGTACTTATATCATCAAAATCTATCGGAACAAGATACCACTGTGTTATAGCGATCCATTCTTTTCTTCTGGATTGCCTGCGCTCTGGTTTTCAAATAGCAACGTCGGCCAAGGCGGCTGTTCACTGCCCCTCCAATTCAGGCTTATTGCCTTTTTGGGGAGGAGACCCTGATGACATTCACCCGGAGACCAGGGTCAGCTGTTTTGTGCGTCCAGCGGCACGGGCGGCAAACACTCGTACATCTGAGCTTCACCCTCACTCTCGCTTTGCCACTGTTTCTGTCGTCCACAAGATGACGCAGCGTCCAAGGACATCTGCAGACCTGGCCCCTGTGCTCTACCACCACCGATACATAATATTGACGCGCTCGTCCTAATTTCTATGCGCAGTACAACGATACACGAATCAGAATGCTCATGCGAATAGACGCGGATGTTAGGATGTGGACTGCGGGTGCAACTGCTTCAAGTAACGCTTTCCTCTGCGTCTCCGACACTGGATCGACGGGGAACGTTGATTCCCCGGCCGCGACAACTGGCTGGCGACTGGCTTCAGGACACTATATGTCCCGACGATCTTCCCCGGGTCTCCACTGACGGCTGGACTCCCTCTCTCACTCAGTTTTGTCTGGCTTTGGGTGTTCCCGCGTGGTTATCACTCATTAATCCTGTATGCATGGGACTCAAAGCAAATCGGATTTTTCTTCTGCATGATATATTTGAGAGCTCTGCTGGGCGGGCTTGCTTATATCAGACATAGATGAACCACGTCGTTCACTCTGATTTGTCTTGAGGTGGGTTTGGACGTGCCCCTTCGTCTCTGAAGTCCTCACAAGAAGTCCTTACAAGCCCTCGACATCGTATTCCGCCCTCAGACACCCAAACCGTTCATTCTAGACCCAGTGCTTACACGATCCGAATGAGTGATCCGGGAATCCCAGCGGTATTTGGGTGAATGCCCCTGGATGCTCACCGACGTCTCCGCTGATCGGCCCGAATGTCCGACGCTGGATCACATGGGGATTCTCGTCACCTGGATGACCATTCACAAGGGAACTGCCGGTGCTAGGACGATCTTGAGCTAAGCAACTCCAACATATCGCTGCGGAGCAAACGAAGTATAACATTCTCCGCTGTTGCTCCAGTAGCCAACGTGTTGAGGCTGGCCTTCGGCCTGCTCCGAATGATGGAGACCCGACGTTTTCAAACAAGCAAATTAGAGCAGGGGTCCACCCGGGAAGCGCCATTCGATACGAGCCTATCTCCTTTATGCGATTGATTCGTGAACAAGTCGAATAAAGTTTGAGCTTCTTTTGCTGGGGCGCGGGTATCATCCACGGCTGCGTTTTCATGTTCTTGAGCTGCTCAGTGCTTCGACAAGAGAAGTTTCATTCGTTGCCTATGAGTCGAAACCGGAAAATTAAGACAAGTAACTCCATTGCTGATGTTGGAATACGGAGTTGAGTCATGAATGCCCGCAGCATGATTATTCTCACACCCACGGTTCGATCGAACACCACGTTGTCGCCAATGGCTGCTTCGACTGCTCGCGCGTCTGACTCGACCCCTGAGTGCCAGTTATAGACGCAAGACTTCCGAAGAGGAAAAGAAGAAATCACACGAGCCACCGATCTCCACTCGTCAGACGGAGAACACTCGATCTATCCCACACCGCGTCTGATTCGATTGTCAGCGGCTCCGATGAGCATCGACGTAAAAGCCGCATCGAATTAACAAACCGAAAGTCTTGTAACCCACGAAACAATACGCGTCGTTGCAGCCCTCCCCTCGCTCTTTGTACTGCGCCCATGCCTGACTTGTCCTCGTTCAAGACGAGGCGCTCCGCTCGCAAACTCGGACGCCTTTCGCCCTCTCGCAGTGCAGGCATTTTCGAAGAGAGGGACCAGCCCCTCCCAAAGACACGGATCCGCAACTCGTTCGCCAAGACGGACTACTCGCGCACGACGCGCGACGAGATCCATTCGCCCATCTCCCACATCGAGGCGAGTGTCTGCTGCTTCGTTCTAGGATCCGCATGGCTGATACACGCGCGTCCCAGTCCCAAGATCTGTACGCGCGCAGCTTCTACCAGGAACACAGACTCAGCGTGGCGAGCGAACGTGACGACGCAGACAGTCAGCACGCCGGCACCGGCGCGATCTGCATCCGCTTCCGCGTCGAGTCGGGCCAGGATTCTGTGTCGCTGCGACAAGGATTATGGGTACGTCCTGTATTGTCGTTGGATGGTCGCAAGCTGACGGGCGTGACGCGTGCAGCAACGCGTCGTGTCGGTGTTGCACCTTTGCACGCGTGCGTCATCCGGGTCGGGGCACGGCGACGAGATAGCGAATAACGTCTGGGTGCACAAGGAAGCGTAGTTGCGAGGCGAGGCGAGGCGAGGCGTGCGAACGATGCCAGTGGAAAACTAGCGAGTGAGGGAGGAGAGAACGGGTGAATTGGACGATGTACTGCGTATCCGTGTAACTGTAGAATAAGTACGAGCATAATAGTCAAAGCAGCTGGATGAAAAACGTCTGCAGTAAACTGAAGTCCAGCCACGCCCAACATGGGGGACGGCAACGCACCGAATCCTGCCCCTGACAACAAATGCGTCTGCCGCGCCCACCATGTGGTAATGGGCCCCGAGTTTGTTTCTGGCTGTTCCCGTTTCCCGGGAAGAATCGAGAACAGGGAGAAGATCGAATAGAGACTTTGCTGGTGCACGAGCTGCAAGGGCATCGCGATGGGACGAGGAGAAATGCGAGAGTAGCGGTTGATGGGATCATCTCCCATCACGTCTCTGCGTACGTGCCGATTTTCCATCTGATCCGTCAACTCGCCGCTCTCAATGAAAGAAAAAGAACTTGTTGCACATGCGTGAACGTGCTAATGAACGATTCGGGGAATGAATAAATACGTCGAGACTTATACGCCCATTCGGAATAGCTGACTGCGCTGCACCACACGAGGATGATTTTGATCTACAGTAGCTGACCTGTCCTCCAGGCTCCCGCACACTAAGATCGGCCCTCGGATTAGTTAATAGAAATATTCCAATAACATATGTCTGTTCTTCACTAGTGCTAACGCAGATACAACTGCATCACACGAACGGGTCCGATGAATACGGGCCAAGCTGATAGGAAAACGGAGCTTTCGAGCCATCTGCAGCATCAGGGCTTGCCGGCTGTTGCGAATCCAGAGCCGCGTTCTCATAAGATTTTCCCAGCGCAATGCGGATCAGGATGAGCAAGGGCGAAATGGCCTGTGTGTCGAAAGGGAGGGACATCAGCCAGTCGATCCTCCAAAAGTCAAGTTCAAAAAAGTATACGCACGTAAACTTGAATGGCGATGGGCTCGACGATCGCTTGTGCCGGATGCGCGATCGCGAACAGGACGATGAACACGAACTGCGTCACAAAGAACAGCAGTCCCGACTCGACGAAGATCGCGGTGGCGCGCTGCGACGGCGACAGATTCCGACTCGTGTCACCCTCCGTGCGGCGGGACACCCACCAGAGGCGTGCGACGATGAGCCCGGTGGTGATGAAGTTGCAGATGATCGAGAGCGAGAAGGTGGCGTCGCCCATGGGCACAAGGGAGGCGGGAACTTGTTCCGCTGTCGGGCTGATTCGCTGGACGATTCCAGTGACGGCCATTCCGCATGCTGGGGAAGCGAGTTCAGTGGATGAAAGATGCGGACGGCTGAATTGAAAGACTAACAGACGGAAGCCAGGGCCAAAAGGGTCGGCAGCAAGATGATCAAGCCATTACAAGCCCAGATGAGGTAGCAGCGGTAGATCTTGGACGGTGTCAGGCTGTCAGATGTGTGCTTCTCGTCAGACTGACCAAAACCAATTGCCCTATGAAATCAGCCAGAATGAACGAAGTATCCGCCGCTAAAAAAGCAATTGAAAGCTCGTCTGGTGCGAAGAAGATAGACTATGAGACTAACCCACTAGCCGTGGCGTCTCGGCCGATATATGCGGGCGTACTTTGACCATCTGCGAGCAATGTCTAGTTAGCCTGCACGAGAATCCCACGACGTGCTCACCGTCGAGACATAAACGTTCTGGAAGTTCAGCGCGAAGTGCAGCGTGCACAACGCAAACAGGAGCAGGGTTGCGACGAGGATCGGACGTGCGGTAGGCTGCTTGAGCGTCTGGCGGGACACAAAGAGGACTACAGCAGCGCTGAAGAACACGATATGAATCCCTGAGAACCCTTCTAGTCTGGTCGTAAAGCCATGGGACTTGGCTCACCGTAGAAGATACCCTCGAGTCCAAACCCGAGGGAAGTGGCCTGGTCGGGGTTCACGGTGTGCGAGAGATCAATCGTCATCTGTTCAGCGAGTGGACTGCAAAGGAGGAGAAGGGGAAGGGGAAGGCCGTCAAGAGAAGATTCGGTCCAAGTGTTTCAAGTTTTGTTGACAGACCGGTCGGCGATTGGACGGCGAAGCTGGGCCCATGCCGGTACCTGAGCCGAGAGAGAAATTCTCATGGTCGGAAGTGCCTGAATATCAAGCTAAAAACTGCACGAAGATGGTGATGGATGAGGGGAAAGGCATGTGAAGGTAAATGCTGATACTCATCGCACATCGCTGTATAGCACGGACCTGATATCACCTGTCGAGCCCGCGCAAATCAAAACACGGGGAGAAGATCTAGCCTGACGAGGTTCGCTCGAGAAAAGAATCGACGTTCCAACCACACTTTTGCAATATGAGGGACGGAGTCACCACCAGTGATGTTTCAAGACCTGGGAGATCTGTCAAATCAGTCACGTGAAGATTATTTTTCCACGTGCTCAAGCATCCTTAGCCTGGTACTTGCCTCATTCTCCACGCCTGCCTACTTCTTCGCGGATACATATTCCCCGTAGCCGAATCCCACTGCAAACACCATCGATCACCGGGGACGAATGCCTCCGCCTGCGCCGATGGCATTCGGACGGACGGGCTGCGGAACTGCGCCGTCAGTGTCCGTCACTCACGGCTGTATGGATCAGAGTCTCTGATTCAGAGACGGTTCAGGAGTCCGAGTAGATGCCCAAGACATCGTTAAGCGCGGCTCATCGCGCTCAGGTTTTATCACATCTGTTGTTCGGGGAGGAGCCCTTGTGGGCTCATTTTCATCGAGGCTGCATTCAGAAAACCACCGCAGAGATTTGAAAACACGGTGTCAATTCAACCAGGCTCATGATCAGGCTGCAAAGAAGAGCCAAGTCAATTTGATCATCTCCGACCCATGTCTCAAAGGCTTGACTGGCTGCGCATACAGACGATCTTGCGCCACCAAATGAGTAAGCCCAGATCGGTTTCGGGGGTGCTATTCCCATATAAAAGACAGCGAGTCCTTAGCAGAGGAACCATAAACCGAAATGGCCTTCCTTTCCTTAACTTTTGTTCTCTCCCTCGCAGCGGCTTCCATGCCTGCAATCTATGCGCAAAGCGACAACTCTACCACTTTCGACTGGAACGCAGTGCGTCGTTTATTCCAACGGGTCCGGTGAACCTCACTGACGTCCTGTGAAGCTTGCAGCCACCCCAAATCTCACCTGGGTCGACTGCTACGGCTCCACGTTCCAGTGCACCCGCCTGCAAGTTCCATTCGACCACTCGAACCCCAGCGCCGGCACCGCGGGGATCGCCATTCTGCGACTCCCGGCGACCGTCGACACATCTTCGAAAGACTACCGCGGCCCGATCTTGTTCAACCCCGGCGGACCCGGAAGCGGTGGCGTGGACGCGGTGCGGGCCGTCGGGCCTAGTTTCCGCGCTCTGATTGGGGGAGAGTATGATTTCTATGGATTCGATCCGCGTGGTGCGTGTTTTTGAATGCGTCCCACGCGTTCTGCAACTGAAACTGCACAGGTGTCGGATTCTCGACTCCATCTGCCACATTTTTCGGCGCATCGGAGCGTGCGCAGTGGAATGCTGGGCTCTTTCCCACATCGCTCAACTCGTCCTCCGAGGCTGTCAAAAGCAAGTGGGGAGCAGCGCAGATCGTCGGGCAGCTTGCGGCTCAGCGCGACACGACGGGGATCTTCAAGTACCTCACGACGGACAACGTGGCGAGGGATATGCTGTACATTTCGCAGAAGGCGGGATACGAGAAGCTAAGCTACTACGGAATCTCGTGAGTCTAAGTTTTCATGTGAGGACCTTCTTTGACAACGCTCACAAGGTACGGGACGGTTCTCGGTGCCACCTTTGCTGCTATGTTTCCTGTGAGGTTTCTCGGTATTTTTCCAGCTGACGATCTCACCATACACACAGAACAAGATCAATCGCATGATCATCGACGGTGTCGTCGATGCTGAAGCCTGGTATCATGGTACAAGCATCCATCCACCTCATGTTTCCTACCCCGACTCATATCCTCTCCAGCCAACCTCACAATCGCAGCAACGGACACGGACAAAGCCCTGCAGTTTTTCTTCACGAGCTGCGTCTCAGCCGGTCCCAAAGTCTGCGCCTTTTACAAGTCCACACCCGAGGCCATCAGTGCCCGCCTAGAGAAGCTGACGAACGCAGTCCGAGCGGAGCCCGTCCCAGCGGTAACACCGGCTGGGTATGGTCTGGTCGACTACTCGCTCCTGCGCTCGGTCGTCTTCCAAGCGCTCTACACTCCATACGCCAGCTTCCCGGTCCTGGCGCAGGGCCTCGCCAATCTCGAGCACGGCGACGGATCGATCATCTTTGGCTTGTCCGACCTCGCTGCACCGCTGTTTCAGTGCACCCCGGCGGACGAGAACGCCGGGGACAACGGGTTGGATTCAGGGATTGGCATCGAGTGTGGGGATATGGCCGAGGTCACGGATTCCATCGATCAGTTGACAGCGAAGTGGCTGCAGGCGTCCAAGGTATCTCGGTTCGCCGAGTTTCCCGCTGGCTCGATGAGAGTTCAATGCTCGGGGTGGAAGCTCCACCGTAAGGGGCGCTTCCTCGGCCCTGTCTCAGCCCGGAACACCAGCTTCCCGCTGTTGATCGTCACGAACGTTGCTGGTACGTTGTCCATCCGATCATTGCGCGCCGCTAACCATCTTCGCAGACCCCGTCGCACCATCCATCGGGTTCGTTCCGTCCTGTATCACCCGAATGATCCTATCTCACACACCCCTCAGCGCACGAAACACGCAATCCCGGTTCCCAGGCTCGGTGTTGCTCACTCAGAACTCGCCCGGTCACACGACGCTGACCACCCCGTCTCTGTGCACCTACGCTCATTATCGCGCGTATCTTGTCAACGGGACCCTCCCCGCAGTCGGCACAGTCTGCGAGCCAGAGGCCAAGTTGTTTGCGCCCGCTGCAGGAAACTCGGCGCGTGCGGTCTCTGCGATTGGTGACCTGGAGCAGGTTGGGCAGCATATTGTTCGTGGGGTGATCCGCAAGGGATTGTTCTGAAGAACACAGGTACATGCCAGATGTCCGCGTGTCAATTAGACTACTTTTCTTGATAATCTAGGCGAATGTGCTGATATTCCATCACGAAAGCGGCGGCAGTAGCGGAGCTCGTACCGTAGTATTTAGAATAAAGTTTGTGGTTATAACCACAAGAAGTGATTACTTTCTAAGTGGTTGTAACCACGGCATTAGGCTAAGGTTCCCCCAGCCAAAATAAAGATTTCTGGGGAAATTGAACAGTTGATCTTCCAAAACCAACAAAGTTCCAGATCATTAGCACACTAAGCCAGACAGATAATGTAATCAAGATAATTTTCCCCCCCACTTAGGGAGACGGTAGCTTAAATTCTACTGCCAGGGTTGAGTAGCGGGAGTGAGGACATCGTTCAAAATCACTTCTCCACGAACTCGCTAGTCAAATGCAAGTCAAATTCATGAACACAGTAGACCATTCTCGAACTTGATTTCCTCGGGGGAAGCAAAACATAAAATTTTAACACCTGATATCGAGGGTAGGTGATACACCGTGCCTCCCAGGTCTCCTTAAATTACGAAGACGGAAAAGAAATAATCTTAATGATGCCAAATTTCCGGGTTCGAGTTGATGAAACCAATTTGCTCTGCAGAGATTGAACATTCTGATCTGAGTTCAAGTGAGAAAAGCACTTACCCTCGCGATAAGTATCGGGGATCATGGTCAGGTTGTTCCCGTTGAGTTGGATGAGATTCTGTCACAATCGAAATTATGAGCTTCTGGGTATGTTAATGGCTGAACGGTTTACCTTCGCTGAGGGGGTGAATTGTGTCCATTCAGGACGCTGGGAGCCAATCCCATCGTTCGGTGTCAGACTCGTGGCGAAAGAGATCCAGTAGTCCATCATGACACGGCTGAGCTGCACCGCCGAGGGCGTTGTATCGTTCAGCCCGCCCAAGACGTAGTTGACCTCAGCTCCGTGATCGACTGAGCAGCAGGGTCTGATTTTGAGCGCTGACGTCCACTTTAGAGAATATCAACACTCACTACCGAGTCGTGGAGCAAGTTGCGGCTGCGGCTGGGTGAAGAGGTAGCCGTAGGTGGGCACACTCGCATTGGCTGCGGCATTGATCCAGAACCGTCGCTGAGAGTGGAAATCTACATCTCCATCTGCAAAAGATCAGGACGGGACTTTGACGACATCTACTCAGCGGTCCGACATACCGATCGATGCATAGCGCTTGTACTGGCTACTCAAGCCGAAGGTCTCGTTCCCAGTTCCGAACGGCGATTCTGAAGTTGGAGGAGGAGATTGGCGTGCTGGACAGTCAACAAAGGAAGGAACTCACCGAGCGAAGGATCATCTGGATAGAGTTCGAGCATTCTCGCGATCGTAGCTTGAAGCTCTGCAGGAGAAGCCGCAGGAGAGCGCCCCGCGGTTATGGTAGCGTTAATCTCGGCGGAGGAATTCATCGTCGTGGAAGTGAACAACGTCCCTAAGTTCGGATGAGCGGACGCGGAGGATCAAGTGTTGTTATTTTAACCCACCCTCGTCCATGTTTGACCCAGCGATGAAAGGAATCTTGGCAAATTTCCCTTTCAGCAAAAGCTTCGAAGGAAGCTCGGGGACGAGACCGCCTGGACCGTCGATTGCCGGGTCCCAGGGGAAGGGCTCGCTCGCATGGGACATAGTGTAGAGGAAGGCATTCAGCATTTCCGTTGTGTTGGCGTTCCGGAGACACGAAAACGTCGAATTCGTGCCGGCGAGAGAAGCACAAGAAGGGACGGCCCCTACGAAGAGGCTCCAGACACTTTCTCGTCGAGCGGGCTCGAACAACCCTCCGCCTGACGACTGAGCTCCGGATTCGAAAATCTGCGACTCAATTAAGTCCTCTTTGAGACTTGCCGTAGAGAAGAAGTGCATACCGCTGCCCGAACGAGTTTCTCCATGCGGGGGTTCAAGAACTGCATCGAAGTGATCATGCTTCCGGCACTCTGACCAAACGCCAGGACCTTGCGCTTATCACCGCCGAACTTGCCGATGTTCTTCTGTACCCATTCGAGAGCAGCAAGTTGATCTCTGAGCGCGAGGTTCAGAGAGCCTTCATTCAGAGCTTCTGTCCCTTGAGGGAACCCGAGAGGCCCGAGTCGGTAGTTGAAATTGACGAGGATGATGGGAGTTCCCTGCGACACTCATTAAAAAAGGCCATCGATTTGAGTGGGATAGAATCACCCTTTCCACACTACGAGCAACAAGCGCACTGGCGTTATAAACCACAGAGGAGCCCACGAAAAATCCGCCACCGTATCTGAAAAGAGGTGACTTGTTGGCAACATTTTGATGATGCAATCACAGTGATCTTACGTCCAAAACATCTGCAGGTCCATCATCAGATCAATGTGGAACAGCACCGTGGATGCCTAGCGAGGATACATACCACAGGGAGCTTTGAGGTTGAATTGACCCCGATGGGACGAACAATGTTGATGGTCAAACAGTCCTCCGAAATTGCGCTGCCGACGGGAAGACTCTGGAGGCGGAACATCAACAGAAATTCAGCACCGACTGGTGTGCACTTACATGCGCAGTGCCGCCTGCCAGCGGTTGGAGGCATGCTGGCCCGAATTGAGTAGCATTGAACGAGGAGCCGTTCAAGGATGTTGTCAGAACCGTCGGCTTGAACCGAAGCTCTCCGATGGGCGGTTCGGCATACGGGATACCTATCATAATCATCTTGATTCACAGTAAAACTAGGCGTGATGGCGCCGCGCACCTGCGAAGAGCTCTTGTCCAAAAGTCGGCAGGGTCGTTCCGATGACCGTCGTTTTTCCTAGCTTGACTGACGGGGCACCAGAGGCGCCAAGCGCGAAGAGAAGTAGAGTTGAGAGCATAGACGGAATCATAGTAGCAGCGGGAAGAGCAGCGGTGCGCTGACTTCCTTGTTGGGGCTGCACGGTATGTTGCGTTATGCTTATATACTTTGCTCCAAGGCGTGGGACAATGCTGAGGTCCCGTTGCCACCACGAATCGGCACTGCGTTCAGAATAGCACTGCGTTCAAGAATTTCGTGACTTGACGTCGCATGATGGGGTATGATAGGCGAGGATCACCTAGTATATCCTAGACCGGATGCAACTAACCGGCCGCTTTCCTCGTGATTCCTCCGCCGCCGAAACCTCGGCCAGCTCCCCCACAATTTTTTGCAAATGAAATGAGCTTTAGGTCAACTGTGCTCCGGAGTGGAATACATCTCAATAGTCGGGGGCCGACCCGCGCGTCGTGACACATGTGAGCGACTTGTGCTTGGATACGAGAAGTTAGCAGGCGGGCGTCAGTCCGACGCTTGCATGTCACAATGCACGTGAACTTGGGAGCTGCTTCAATGTGTGCCGTGATTACAAAGTTAGGATAGCGCCAGCTCACTCAGATGGCATAGTTTTGGTTTAGGACCCAGGTGACAAGACGTGCGCTATTGGATCAGTCTACCCGATTCTTCCCCACGAGCTCCCCACGATCGAGCGTGCGGTTATCGGCTACCTGTCAATAGAACCTCCTTGCTGAACGTTTTGCCAGGGCAATCGTGTGACCCGACCCGTGCGCGACCCCATGCCTGGGAAAATCACATACGGAATCCAAAGCAGAACAACCAGTCAAGTGGACAATCCGTTTGCAGACGGACAGGTTCACGTGGAAATTTTAATGAGCCCCATCGCCCGCGTCTTCTTTTGTGAGACGGGCACGGACTCAAGGGCTCACGAGATCTCGCTTTCCAGTTCCGGGGTACAAATAGCACATGCTCCGCCACTCCCGATCGGGGATTCGATGCGGGTACAAAAACTGCTGAAGCGCAGCAACCGGACAAGGCCACAGAGCTTAAGAATTTGGGGAGAACGGAAGCCAACATAAAGACCGATGAACGCACCCTCAGTACCACAGATGAAAGAGCGTGATGCTTGAGCAGGCTGTGACGTCAAGCCAACGGTGATCGACTCGATTCGCGTTGCCATACCAACTTCGTGTTCCAAGGGAGATAATCGCGTAAAATGTCAGACAAAACAGGATGATGGGCCGACACAAAGGCCTGCCTTTTTTGAAAGCTTCGGCCATCCGCCGAGGATGATTAATCGAGTATTTCTGATGGCTTGGAGAGGCTACCGCGGCTTCAAGTCCACGGGGCTTGTGAAAACAAATTGAAGGACCAGCAGAAATGAGGTGTATTATTGAACGAAGATGTCAACCGAGGACGTCCATGTACTCAATATGACTTTGAAGAGCAAAAACTTTCAATCTACTCTGAGAAAATATTTATGTGGTATGTAGTACTTCCCAGCTCTATAAGATTTACGAAGGCAAAGGAGAAAATAACCTAATGATGCCAAATCTGGGGGTTCGAATTGATAAAGGCGATTTGCTCTGCAAAGGAGACTAAGCATCAACAGGTATCGAAGGAAGGCGAGCACTTTCCCTCGCGATAAGTGTCCGGAATCATGGTTAAATTGTTACCGTTGAGTTGAAGAATAGACTTCGTGAATTTAATCCATCTGATCAAGGTGCGGTAGTGGTTCAATGGTCTACCTTTGATGCGGGGGTGAATTGTTTCCATTCCGGACGCTCGGAGCCGATCCCATCGTTCGGTGTCAGACTCGTGGCGAAAGAAATCCAATAGTCCATCATGATTTGACTGAGCAACACGGACGAGGCTGATGTATCATTCAGCCCCCCCAAGATGTAATCGATCTCAGATCCATGTTCGACTAGCCAGAAGCCCTCGTGTTTAGGGTTGCGTTCATTTCAAGATAACTGTAACACTCACCGCCGAGTTGAGGGGCGAGTTGCGGCTGGGGCTGCGTGAACAGGTAGCCAAAGGTGGGTACACTCGCGTTGGCTGCTGCGTTGATCCAAAACCGCCGCTGAGAGTGGAAATCCACATCTCCCTCTGCGATAATCAGTAGGAAATCACACCCAGGTCTAGACAGCATTCCGACATACCGATCGCTGCGTAGCGCTTGTACTGACTACTCAAACCAAAGGTCTCGTTTCCAGTTCCCAACGGCGACCCTCAAGATGAATAGTCAGATTCGAGTTCTGCAAAGTGAGAAATTAATAGAACAGACCGAGCGAAGGATCGTCTGGATAGAGTTCGAGAATTCTGCAGATCGAAGCTTGAAGTTCTGCAGGGGAAGGGCCAGGAGAGCGCCCGGCGATCATGGTAGCGTTAATTTCGGCGGAAGAATTCATCAGTGTCGGCGTGAAAAACGTCCCTAGAGTCGGATGAGCGACCCTGGCAGAGTCGGATATCATCGTTTCCCCTACCTTCATCCAAGTTTGTCCCGGCGATAAAAGGAATCTTGGCAAATTTCTCTTTCAGGAGAAGTCTCGAAGGAAGTTCCGGTATCAGCCCACCCGGACCGTCAATCACCGGGTCCCAGTCTAAGGGAAAGTTCTCGATCGCACCAGACACAGTTGTCAGAAAAGCATTGAGCATTTCGTCTGTGGTGGCGTTTCGAAGACAGGAGAAAGTCGAATTGGTGCCGGCGAGAGAGGCGCAAGAAGGAACGGCCCCAACAAAGAGGCTCCATGTATTCTCTCGGTGAGCAGGTTAGAACATTCCCCCAGCTGACGATTGAGATCCGGATTCGAGTATCTGTGATTCATCTGAGTCCTCTTTGAGATATGGCGGAGAGAATGATTCTGTACCGCAGCCCGAAACAGTTTGTCCATTTGTGGGCTCAAGAACAGCATCGAAGTCATCATGCTTCCCGCGCTCTCTCCGAACGCGAGGACTTTGCGCTTGTCACCGCCAAACTTGCCGATGTTCTTTTGGACCCATTCGAGAGCAGCCACCTGGTCTCTGAGCCCAAGGTTCAAAGACCCTTCATTGGAAGCTTCTGACCCTTGCGGCCACCCCAGAGGACCAAGCCGGTAGTTGAAATTGACAAGAATGACGGGAGTCCCCTGTTGACAGGCATTAGAATATTTCGGTGTTTCGTATGGAACAATATCACTCTGGCCACACTATGGGCGACGAGAGCGCTGGCATTATAAACCTCAGATGACCCCACGAAGAAGCCACCACCGTAACTGTAGAAAAGTGAGTTGTTTGCACCGTGATGATCATGCGATCAGAGCCATGCTCACGTCCAGAACATCTGCAGAACCATCTTAGTTCAATGCGGAAGAACATGATGCATCCGCAGCCAAGGCACCTACCACGGGGAGTTTTGAGGTCGAGTTGATACCTATAGGACGAACAATGTTGATGGTTAAACAGTCCTCCGAGATTGTGGTGTCGGCGGGAACACTCTGGAGGCGGAATATCAACAAAAATTGAAGACCAAATGGTGTGCACTTACATGTGCGGTGCCTCCCAACAGCGGTTGGAGACATGCCGGCCCGAATTGAGTAGCATTGAACGAGGAGCCATTCAACGATGTCGTCAGAACCGTAGGTTTGAACCGAAGCTCTCCGATGGGCGGCTCAGCATACGGGATGCCTATCTTCGTCTTGAGTCGGAGTGAAGACAGGCGTGACTACACAGCGCACCTGCGAAAAGCTCCTGTCCAAAAGTCGGCAGGGTAGTTCCGACCACAGTCGTTTTCCCAAGCTTTACTGATGGAGCACCGTGGGCGCCGAGAGCGAAGAGGAGAATGGTTGAGAGTATCGGTGGAATCATTGTAGAAGCGGGCAGAGAAGCGATTCGCTCAATACCTTGGTGGTGCTCACGACCTGTTGAGCTCTGCTTATATACCCTGCTCCGAGGCGTGGGACAATATGTAGGTTTCCTTGCCACTACGCACCGGTGCAGCACATAGACTGTGCAAAAGCATTCCGTCACGTCGCATGATGATGGGTGTTTATCACAGTGAGGATTGCATGATATCAAGAGTCGGATGAATTTTACCTGGCCACTTTGGTCGAAACTCTTCTGTCGCCATGGACTTGACCAGGTTCTTCTTCGATTTTGGCAGGGAAAGTGAGCTCTGGCCCGACAAATAAGCTTTTGGCCAACATTATTCCGTAGTAGAATTCAGCTCAGTCTTCGGGAGCCGATCCGAGAGATATTACCCGTGTGCAAGGCCAGTGCTTGATTACGTGAGAACAGTGCGCCGAGTCCGACGGTTGAATGTCGCTCGGAAGCTGCGAAGACATGCCGTGATTCTTTGCATATCGGCGCTTGCGCCAGGGGAGTCTTCCGATTTCTCGGTTGAACATCCGAGTGACAAGAATAGCACGTACTGAAACAGACCACACCGTTCTCCCCACGAGTGAGCATTCGTCCCCCGGTTATCGGCCACCTGCCGATCGAATCTCTCTGCTGAAAGTTTTGCCAGGGCTCTCGTACGGCCAACTTGTGAATGAAGAAGATGGAATTGAGAGCAGGACAGAGGGATATCTGGACAATTCCTTTGGAAGCGGACAGCATCAAATGAACTTTCGACTGAACAACCTCGCTCGTGTGTGTGAGACCCGTAAGCAATCATCAAGTAATAAATTGGACATGAAATGTTCTGAAGCATAGAATTTCGAGAAGGCCGAACAGCACGGAAACTCTGGAAAAATAGGGGCCAACAGAGGGTCCGATGTCCGCGCATTCGATGCCATAAATGAAAGTGCGAGATTCTCAACAAGATTGTTACGTTAAAGCACCGGGAATGTACTCCTATCGTCATGGCGACTGAAGGGATGAGACCGCCTCCTAAGAGTACAAACCACAAAAAATACTAGACAGAATACAGTGTCCGCCATGAGTAGAGAGCCGACCAGTCCATCTGACAGCGAGATTTCTCACAATAGATGAATGGAACGTAGATTTGAGCACCGCATGTTCTAAATATCGGAACAAGCAGACAGTTTGTATCCGAAGTTTGCAAATTGGGGTTACGTGAATTTCCGGTTGCTGTACCGTCAGGTCGAATTGACAAAATCACGGTTCAAGCTGAGCACACTGTGGATTGGATCGGAAACCCTGCTCAATGAATCATTGCTCATTGCTGAACTCTGCACAGATCCCATCAGCACAAAGAATTGGCTCTTCGAGCATGACTATGTTGCAGACATGATTTGTTGTGCATTCAGTTGCAGGCTTGAGCCAACTGGTATACTGGTGCCATCACTACATTCCGTGAGTACCTAGACCCCGACGGGTCTAGATCGGGGGATCAATGTCCGAGACAAGTCCAACAAGAGCCGAGGCGCCTAGACCATCAGGGACTTCGGCGCTAGTCCCTGATTTGGGTCGCCGGCTACCGAGCTGTGCCTTTGTGAGTAGTCACCCATGTGTAGTCACTATTCCGGAACCGGTCGGCCCTGGGGCTACTGGTGCCTACCATAGATGTTGCCACCAGCCCACGCTTTCGACTCCTCTGTACCTTTCCTTTGGCCGCACTGTACTAGACGATAAATGAAGCTGTCGGGCCATCTCAAAACCTCTATTTTCGTCGGTCGTCAAGCTGGTGACAGTGTGAAGGGAACGTGTGTGTGTGTGCGAGTTCCATCTCAAAACAGGTAAGCATGTCGTTTTTAGCTTTTTCCGTCCCTGGTCCTCATACGCAGTGGGCGCTAGACATGTCGTTTCATCGTGGAAATTCGCACTACAACCTCTACCGTGACCACACTCATTCAGCTAACTACACAACGACGCGAGCGCTGGTCGGTGAGTCATCGTACTGCGCGCTCGAGGGTATGGTGCTAACCTCACTGTAGCTCATCTGGAACCTTACAGCGTTCTTTGGGATGGGTTCTAGACAGGGGTTGGGGAGAGGGCCTCCGCCGAGGTGCGTTTTACGTGCTACCCGGAGCTTTTAGGCTCTTGCTGATCAAGCTGCAGTCAATGGCGCCCCGGAGGGCTCGAACCCACACGCTCCTTCACCACGCCTGAATCGCTCCACCCGCCACCTCAATCGCGTATCCGGTGAAATGCTGAGGGCGTGCTCACAAGTGAATCTACTATAAAAGTAAACCCAAATATAAACACGTTCACACTCCTCGTAATCAGCTTCTCAGTGTGTGAAAGATGCGAGGGCTTCGGGGTGGACAGAACACCAGTATCACAACTCTCAATAGACGCAGATCCAATAGTCGCGGAAGACAAAGTCGACGACAAGGATATGTATATATAGTAAACAATGGTGTCTCAACCAATATCTTCTATACGAACACAACCAACACTAATCCAATCCACAACCAACAATATAACAAGTCAGAACTTAATACGAAGTATTAAGATCCCTTGTAGCGACAGCGTCCAGATGGTGACGCAAAGCCCAAATATCAAGTCGACGCACTGCCAACTGATACAACCAATATACTGAGTCGACGCACTGCCAACTAGTAAACCAAAATGTCGAGTCGACGCACTGCCAACTGACACAACCAAAAGTACTGAGTCGACGCACTGCCAACTAGTAAACCAAAATGCCGCGTTGACGCACTGCCAACTAACAGCCAATATCCAATGTCCAAAACCCGAGCACAACTTGTCGACGCACTGCCAAGCAAGAGGTGTGGAACCAAAGTTCTCAAGTCGACGCACTGCCAACTGACCAAAACAACCCGAGCACAACTAGTCAACGCACTGCCAAACTAGAGGTGTGGAACGATCTCAACAAAGCCCGAAGGCGACGACACTAAATGCCGCGACTAAACCAGATGCGGCGAATCCGACTTTCTGATGTCTCAACTCAAACTCAAATCACAGTAGCTACAAGTGCTCAGGGAGCAACTCGTCGCGACCGGGCAGGGGTAGCAGAACTTCTTAGGGTGGAATCACGCGGCACGCAAATTGTACAAAACAATCTGAAATGAGAGTGATTCACAGTCCGGGGGAAAGCTTTTTAATACAAAGAGACGACGTGCTACTTATACTGTCTACGACGCTGCTTAGTAAATTCCTGTACAACTGCATAGTAGCTACGCTATCTAAGATCGGTTGCCTTTTAGGGTAATTGAAAAGTTGAACGATCGGACAGGTCCTGAGTGATCAGGACCCCGCCCCATTGTCCATATGATACTTTTGATGTGGGCCAACTCACCGCGTCATACTTTTGGAATACGACGTGCTGGATTGGCCAACGGGTATATCTTGGCATGTGAGACCAACGTGGGCGCCCCAAGAAGCTGTATGGCTCTAGGCACGCCAGTCGTCTCCCACATGGCTCGGTTCATGGATCTAGCCGTGTCGATTTTAGTGTGTTTGGGTATGGACGCGACTCGCCGTGACACTTGGGAGTGTCACCGCGACGCGTCCACAATGTCCCGTGATCGAATGGATCCTGACATGTGACAAGTCGTCGTCGTGGCATGATCTGAGGGAACGTCCAACTCAAAACCGGGAGTTGCCGCGACAAGATGGTTTAAGTCTCGTAACGCCAAGTCCTGTCCAGTAATAGTTCTATTATTGAGAACGTCGCGCATTGCTCAGTCCTTCAGCCCAAGTTCCCATCTGCAGGGAATGACCCTTTTTGAGAAGTCGACGCAACGACAGATCCCTTTTGGGGAATGGTCGCGGTCCAAGCGTTCGTCACTAATGGCCCTGAGCCTGGTATAGACTCATAAGACCAGTTCCACAGTAGTGGTCTGACTGCCTTGCTATCGTCGACACTATCCACAGTCGTCGACTGGGCAGTAGACCCATAAGTCCTACTGAGCGCAACACTGTCAACCGCGACACGATACACCGAGTGGTTCAGGAGTAAACTCTGTAAAAAGCGCAAAAATACGCCCTTACAGAGCTGGTGCAGAGCGCGTCTGGTAGCCAGCCTATCACCGGACGCCAGTCACACAGTCTGAGTACAATCTCCCACCGTCAGGAACCTACTACAATGAACATGAGCATCACGGCAGCCACCGGTACCCCCTCTCCTTGGAAGAACGCTTCGAGCGGATGGAGCTGCGTCAGAGGGAGGCGGAATTGCACCAGCGGGAGTCGGAGAAAGAGATTCAGCAACTCCGTCAACGTAACCGGGAACTTGAGCAACAGCTCGCTCGCTCTGCGACTGTCAATCCAGCGCAAAGGGTGTATAGACATGGATCAGATGACGATGGGTACACGAGTCTCGATGCAGAATCGGTGCGCTAAGATTCAAGTTTACATTCAATTACCATGACTAATGTCCGTCTTGCGTACCAGGAGGTCTCCTCCTCATCTGAACCTATCGCTGGCAGTCAAGCTCCTGCATGGCAACCGGCGTTGCACGCTACAACGACTCCCGCAGCCTCGCTTCGACCGGAGCCTTCTGCCACGCATTTGATGTCTTCCGCACCCACTGCCGCCGTAACGCAATCCTCCGGGCCCACAAATGCTTCGGAGGCCCAGTCCACTGCTCTGGTGTCGTTGGGGCTGCCACACAACCAGCTCACAGACGATCAGAAGGAGGTACGAGGAAAGATCACGGTACGCAATGACGGTTCACATCCTGACTGGCTTCTCATTTCATTGCTTAGAGGCATGTCGGTGCGACGTTCCGGAACCTCTGTGGCATCACATCCAAGAATCCGTGGCCGGACCCGGATTCGCCTCCTCGGACGGATCCTAGCACGGGCGAGACTCTATTCATTCCAAACTTTCCAGGGGGATTGACAAACCGAACCAACACGAAGATCGTCAGTGCTGTTGCCGACACAATACTCAAGGAGTTCAAGGTACGGTTCTCTCTCTGTTGCGGCATCTATACCACTCTGACCCTTGATTGTTCTCAACAGGATCCCGCATGTCGTCCTGCCAAGTACGACACATGCGGGGGAACTATTGACCGTAACATATTGCAGGACTTTGCCAAGGAGTCGTTCAAAGGTTTCAAGAGGCAGTACATCGCTCAAGTGGATGAAGCTGCTCGACAGAAGCGAGAGAGCAACAACACCACTGACCGTTGCACTCAGCGTCGCCGAATGGTATGTACCGGCGGTCTCGATTCCTTCAACACCTTCTGAGTCCATTTAGAAGACCAAACAACGGCGCTCAGCCGTGCCCACATATGCGGCCAGACACAACCTTGATCCTGACAACGTTACTGCCACCGTGGATGTTGAGTATCAGTCGGACGAGCTTTCCATGCCCAACTCCTCGGATTCGGATACAGACCAAGTCAACTGGGCTGTTCGCATGGCGAAGGCATCCGGGAGGAAGGACGTGACTCGGAACTCTGTCAAGGGCATGCATTTCCTTGAGGTGTGCAAGCCTCCTTGGCAGACAGATCAGGTGCATTGCATAACTTCTTTTCGGGGCCAATTTTGACGTAGCTTGAAGGCTGCAAATATGAACATTGAGCTTAGCCAAATCTACGAACATTCCATGGCCGAGGCTGACAAGGACAAGCGCAAATATGTTCGAGTTTGTACCACGACTCGTATAGACAAGCGCGTGCCTGAAAAGGCTCCGTACAACTTCGCCATTCGCCCGGACTGGTTGGCGGAACAGATGATGGACCCCGACAGCGACAAGGCAAAGTATCTGGTCAGCACTGGCTGGGGTACATGGTCCGGTCCTCCTGGATTTGATTTGGAGCCAGTGAACGCAAGTACTAGTACCAATGATGATGTGGCAATCAATGCACAGGACAATTAGCTACATCAAGAAACAGTACATTTCTAGCTCAAGAGATACCCATACAGTCGTTCTATTAATCATTATCGTCCGTAAATCCTGCTGCGATAGCCGGGGTGATGAACTGTTGAGTGTTACTATTGTGTCAGAGCATGCAAGACGACTTGACATACACGGTCCATTGTAGTAGTAATCCAAAGATGAGGATCCGTATGAGTGACTTTGCACCGAGATACCTGACATTGAATATTCTTGAATGGGATAATCATAGGTGGAAGATTCGTGTCCAAATCAAAGAACTTGTTGAATTTCCAGGTTTCGATACCAAGCTCAGGACTAAACAGCTGGAATGTAAGCCAGCGTTGAATTCAGAAAGCTGCAAACTCACAACGAGCTCCACAAGTTGGTGTTGTCAAGCGGACTCCATTTTGATGGCACCATCCAATGGACGGCAGCAAAAATCTCATTGTGCGAGACATTGACACCTGGTTGTCGGTGGCTGAAAATATAGAGCACCTCACCCGCATAGGGGACATTATCAAATAATGCCTGGATCAGTGAGGACCCCACCGGATACCCATGCAGAGAGCAAGGAATAATCTTCCGACCGGAGAGAAAGGCATGCTGGTAAGTCCGAATGTACATGTGTAGAGTTTCTGTTCCTTCAATATCTTCTGAACCAAAATGGACATGTGGTTCCTCCCAATTATACAGCTGGAGCAAGGCTTTTTGCAGAGAGTTATTGACACGGTGGGCAGACTTTCCGATCGGGCCCAGTTGTACCTTCTCTGAAGCTTGAATATATGAGTCCTCAGAATGAAAGTGAATTTTGTAGCACGCACTACTGCCAGATTGAGCAGCATCCTGAATAGTTCCACGAGGTCCCTTGCTCATATTTCCAGAGAGAATCCGGACAAAATCTTTCTCCAGTACTGATTTGGTAGGTGAATTGATGGTTCTCTCCATCTGCAACAGAAAGGAATTGGGGGGTAAATTTGGTGAGGTGATGATGGCACACATACAACCGTCTCAAGCTGAACTCCTCTTTGGAACTCCCGCATCATCGAAACCTCGAGTTGACCACCAGCCCAGTTATTGCTATTCAGATTCTTGAGTGTCTTATTCAAACGCTCGGTCAAAAAGGCCCAAAAAGAATAGACATGTGACAATCAACAAGAAATAATGTCGAAAAGAGAAGTGAATTCGAAGACTGGAGAATACAACCAAAGTAGCTACAGTATTTATACCCAAGTCCAGTCTGAGTCATATCTACAACTAATGAGTCATAAGGCTATGTACCGCATGGAGCACTGGTCATGGGTTGCAGTAGAACCTTCCGGAGCATATGTCGCGCAGCCTTAGATCGATAAGGAGAATCCCTGGAACCCCTAATCCGGGCCGCCTGATGCCGTGATCCGTGATAAGATAACCCGTGCCGAGATAAGATAAGATCGTCGAAGATAAGATGAAAAAGTGGCCAAACTATGACATTACCCCCTCTCTAGGGTCGATGTCCTCATCGACTAGGCCAATGGGCGTGAAGACGTTCTCGTAAGGATCGAAGAGTTGTCGTTGGGGATATGGGAGCCGCTCGTCCCTGGGTTTATAGCAATGAATAAGATAGTCCCAGTGTCCGGCTTTGAGAGTCGGTAGGAGGCGAATGCGTGTGTCTGGGTTGGATTGTTTCCTCTGCCAATCTCTCAGGACCTTCTTTGCGTGGGTGAGGTGACGTGATGGTTCCCAGATGTTCTCGCTATGCGGCCATCCCTTCCATATGACCAAGTACTGTTTTCCTCGGCCGACGCTTCGCTCTTTCACGATTTCTTCGACTTCCCACTCCTCTGCTCCTCCGATCATCTTGGCTACGGGTCTCTTCTCTCGGCGATGGGGGGGTGGTTCGTGATAGGGTGTCAACAGTGATTCGTTGAACACGGGGTGTCTTCGGTCCGTATCCGGCAGATCCAGCTTCCATGCGGCCGCTCCAACCTTCTCCAGTATCTCGTATGGTCCCAATCTCTTGTCGCTCATCTTTTTTGATGGTCTGTCCGTCTCGATATTTTCCCCTTCTATGTACACCTTCATCCCAACCTTCAACTCCGGAATTTCTTTTCTTTGTTTATCGTAGTATTTTTTCATTTTTTCTTTTGCTTTTTCCAATGCTGCTTTTGCTTCGTCTTGTATTTCTTTGATTCTTTTTACAAATTCCTCCGCCGATTCGTTTCTCGATTCCATCCGCTGCTCTACTCCCTTCCATGGGTGATATCCGTGATTTGCGTAGAATGGTGATATTTTGGTAGACGTGTTCATTTTGTCGTTATACGCGAACTCCGCCATTCCCAGCCATTCCGACCAGTCCGTCTGATGATAGTTGACGTAGATGCGGAGATAGTGCTCGATCTCCTGGTTCATACGCTCCGTTTGCCCATCCGTGATCGGGTGATATGCGGTCCCCGGATTCATCTCTATGCCCAACATCCGATTCGTCTCCTTCATGAAGCCCTTGATGTACCGCGAATCCCTATCGGTGATGATCTTGCGAGGGATCCCATGGTAGCGAAAGACTCGGTCCCTAGTTAACCGTGCGACTCCTTCACTGCTGATGTCAGTACTAATTGGTTCGACATGGATCATTTTGGTGAAGGTGTCACACCACACATGAATTGCGTTATACCCATTACTGACCGGTAAGGGTCCGATTTGGTCCATCGAGATGATTTCCCACGGCGCATTTGGAACCGCATGCGGGTGCAGGGTCCCCGTTCTCGCCCTTCTGGTCTTGGTCCGTTGACACGCCTCGCACGTCTGGATGTATTTCCGAATTTGGTTTCCCATCCTTGGCCACCAGTAGTTCCTTTCTACCATTTCTTGCGTTCGATTGATCCCAGCATGTCCGACCAAGGGTGTGTCGTGGTGTAGTCCGATGATTTTGTCTCGCAGCTCCTCGTCCCTCGGTACATAGAGCTTCCCATGATACGTGATGAGTCCGTCTTCCTTCTTCCATCCCACGAGCGACTTCTCCAAGGCCGCTTTGACGCTCCCGTCAATCGATCGAAGGGCCTTGATTTCATCGATTAGCTGTTGATCTTGCCCTTCAAATGTGACTTCTTGTGATCGGAAGAACTCAGGCTTCAGTAACGTGACATCCTTGTTGTCGTTTTTGCCCTGATCGTGATCCGCTCGTCGAGATAGGAGATCCGCCTTGCGGTTGAGTGCGCCGGGCCGGTGTCGTAAGGTGAAATCAAACTCTGCTAACTCCGTGATCCATCGTGCTTGCCGTCGATTGAGTCTCTGCGGTTTTCGGAAGTACTCAAGATTCTGATGATCGGTAAAGATCTCGAACGTTTCCGTGGCTCCCAGCAGTAACTGCCTCCATTCGTCTAATGATAGCATGATGGCGAGCATTACTTGTCGTAGATCTCGTAATTTCGCTCGGTTTCGGTCAATGCGTGCGAAATAAATGCGATTGGGCGCCAAATGCCGTCTTGATTTTGGCTCAAAACGGAGCCTGTTGCCCCTTCCGAAGCATCGGCTTCCAGACGATATTGGCCGGTGTCGTTCGGCAGTGCTAGGACCGCATCCTCCGCGATTCTCTTCTTCAGCCCATCGAATGCTGCACGCTCATCCTGTCCCCATGACCATCCAGCCTTTCCTGTCAGCCATGTCAGCGGCTTGGCTACCTCCGCATATCCCCGAACGAAGCGGCGATAGAAGTTTGTGAATCCGAGGAAGGCTTGGACCTGTTTGACACTCTTTGGTTCAGGCCATTCCATCACACCCTTGATCTTGACTGGGTCCATTCGCATCGAATTGTGTCCAATAATTACACCCAAATATTCGATTTCTGTGCGTTCGAACTCGCACTTTTGGATGCATTGAGTGAGAGAAGGAGATCAATGCATCATCTTGTGAGGGAGAGAGCCGAAGAGCAGGGGGTGGCTGTGAGCTCACTCTCTCCTTCCACCCACCTGCCGGCGATCTCATCCTCAACAAATTCCCATTTCTGCGCTCTTATTACACACTCTTTAATGCTTCTATATGACTGACTATCATCCAGAACTCGAGACTATCTGCATAAATATCTGTACACCACGGATTCCATCTCAAGCTCGAATTTGGATGCTATTTAAGAGTGTCTCTGGGGTACACCCCAATTCCATCCATGAAGCTGAGTATCTCCCTCTCTTTTCACAGTTACAGCTCGACATATACACTGCTTGTTGACTCGATCCTGGCATTAGAACGACGCCATCTACATCCCCCAGCCTTCAAAACCCCCCCCTTTCTGCCCACTTCGAGCTGCCAAACCCCCCCTAATCTTCCAGACAGTCATCCCAGTCCATTCCTTCGATTTCTGGCCGCCCATTCGCTCCAAAATCCCCTGCCCCATACCCTGCAAGCTGCGAATGCCTCTTCGCTTCAGATGCACGCTTATTCGGGTTTCCCTCCCTCTCTCATTGGGCGCTCAAATCCTGCGATTTAATCGCACCCAGAGCGATATTATCGCATATTTTCGATCTTTGGGGCTCCTTCACTTGTCTGACTACGCTGCAGGGTTATTTCGCGGTCAGCCCACATTCTGGACGAGCAACAGTCTCCCCCCTGCAGCCTGCGGACTGGAGCCAGGTTTTTCGCTTGAATTCCGGCGCTTATTCGCTTTTCACTCCCATTCCTATTGGGTGCTCGTTGCCTGCGATTTAATCGCACCCAGTGCGAGATTATGGCATATTTTCGGTCTTTTGGGTTCCTTGCGTTGTCTGACAACGTTGCAGGGGTATTCCACGGCGACTCGTCATTCTGGATTGTGTTTTCCTGGGCCAGGCGCTGCTCGATTCGACATAGCGTCAATATTTATGCATATCGTGCATTTTTCGACTGTGCATAGCCTGCACTTGCGCATATCGTGCGCTGCGCATATTCTGCGCCTTTCCTGTAGTGCATATCATGCATTTTTCGACCGTGCATAGCCTGCACTTGCACATATTGTGCGCTGCGCATATTCTGCGTCCTTTCTGGCGTGCATATCGTGCATTTTTCAATCGTGCATAGCCTGCACTTACGCCTATCGTGCGCTGGGCATATCCTGCGCCTTTCCTTAGTGCATGTTGTGCATTTTCGACCGTGCATAGCCTGCACTGCGCATATTGTGTGCTGCGCATATCCTGCACCTTTCCTGCGGTGCATATCGTGCTTTTTTGACTGTGCATATTGTGCACTGCGTATATTCTGCGTATTTTCCACTGGCCATATTGTGCATTTTGATGGTGAATCCCCTGCACCTGCGCCTATCGTGCGCTGCGCATATTCTGCGTGTGTTTTACTGTGCATATCGCGCATTTTTGATGGTGCATATCGTGCGCTGCGCATATTCTGCGTATTTTGGGTGTGCATATCATGCATTTTGAGTGTGCATAGCCTGCACTGGCGCATATTGTGCGCTGCGCATATTCTGCAGATTTCCTGTAGTGCATATTGTGCACTTTTTGACCGTGCATAGCCTGCACCTGCGCCTATCCTGCATATTTTCTGGCATGCATATCATGCATTTTCGACTGTGCATAGCCTGCACTTGCGCATATCTTGTGCTGCGCAGAGTCTGTGTATTTTTGGGCATGCATATTGTGCACGTCGTGCATGTTGTGCATTTTTTGATGGTGCATATTGTGCGCTGCGCATAGTCTGCATATTCTGGGTGTGCATATCGTGCATTTTGAGTGTACATAGGCTGCACATGTGCATATCTTGTGCTGCGCATATTCTGCGTCCTTTCTCGCGTGCACAGACTTCACATACCGGCTTGCGTAAGTGGCTTGCCCCGCATGTCGGAGTTTGAATTTGGCTGATCGGGCTTGGCTTGCGTGGCTTGGGCGTGGGCTTGGCTTGTGCATCACTTTCGCTGACGGAAATATCATGCTCGTCCTTCGGCTCGCTTCCGCCGCTGCAGCTCACTTCGCATCCTCGCGCTCAATCAAAGTCAACTTTACTGGTGCCAGTGCTCAACGGCTGTCTCCTCAATCTCTTACACCACCCACAATGCTATCAATGACGTCGGGACTGACACGCTAGACCTCCCTTTATTATCGCGCATGGGCTGTAGTACGTAGTTATCATCTAAACCCTCTTTTTTCTTCCCGGAGTCACTCGAGCCTTCTTTTGAGGCGGCGCTGGGGTCTTGCTGGCCGGCGCAGCAGCCCTCTTGCGCTGCTGCCGCTTTGGTCGTTTCTGAGCGGGGAGATCCTCCTCTTGTTCTTCCTCGGCGCGTGAGCGTTTGCGGACGCTGGCCACAGTCACAATGTCTTTGCGTAGCTTCGGTCGCTCCGGGGCTGCGGGTTCTTGTTCTTCCTCGGCGCGTGAGCGTTTGCGGACGCTAGCCACAGTCGCAACCTTCTTGCGCGGCTTCGGCTTCGGTCGCTCCGGGGGTGCGGGCTCTTGTTCCTCCTCGCTACGCAGGTGCTCTGGAATCACTGCCACGACTGCATCTAGCGGCGCGGCACCACTAACCCGGCGATAGACCGGCCAAGTATGGTGCGCATCATATGTGCAATGATTTGCACGGAATTTTCTTCGCGCCTCCCCCAACTCATCCACCGTATTCCAGCGGACCCGCCAGATTTGGAACATCGCTGTTTCGACCGCATCCACGTGCTTTGGGGGACAAGCCAGAATGGATTCCGAGCGGAGATCGTCGAAAGAAGCACCGCCAGCGTCAAAGGGCTCTCCAAGCTCCCGCTGGACGAAGAGGAGGTGGAAGAGAACGCAACCGACGCTCTGCACGCGCTCATTGCGTTCATGGAAAGGTATGTCAGCCAACGTCGTATGGATCATCAGCCGGGACAGTGCATACCCGAGGGTCTGATCGAGTTCTTCAGTGAATATCAGACCCAGCTTCGACGCCCAAGAATCGGGGCCGAGGCGTTTCTTCTTTTTTCGTTGCTCCCTGCTGTAGCGAATCCAGGCTTTGATAACCACATGACGCTGGTCCCACAATCGGAGGACATTGCCAACGACCGGGATAGCAGCGGAAAACACTTGAGCAAGGTTCGAGTTCACATGGATCTCCGCCTTCGGATTGAGGTAGAATGGGACGCGATATGTCCCTATCTTTGTAAGCCATTTTTGATTAGTATTATTGGAATAATCCTATAAGCGGAAGATCCCTCTATTGACCCGAAAAGCATGAGGAACTGCAGTAATTTATTGCACGAGCAATGCAAGGGACATCAATTGCAAGCCATTCTGCCTGATGCGATCATTTGTCTACTCGCACTGCGGATCGGGATAGAATCCATGGGTTTTATTATGTCCAACAACCTCTCTGCACAGAATTTTCCACCAATCGATATTTAAAGCTCCTCTAAGGTTCTCGAGTGCCAAAAAACAAATTAGATCGGACATATTCAGAGTACTTTCCCATCTCTGTCCTACACACCATTGAGATTAATAGGGCTCACAACACTCTGTCTCCGAACGATATCTGCTAGAATCAGCGCATAAGCAAGTATATTTAATGTATAGAAGCTTGCGCGCTTTTTAGGGCTGCCTATAACATATATCTTCAGTAGGTTTTACAAAATTTCTTAATCCTAGGCCGAAATCAACTGAGGCGTACTTGCTAGACTGCGAGAGACAGGTGTCGTGAAGTCACCTTTGCACAATATAGCGCTCTCTTTGCGCGATTCCACTGGTTCGCAGCCTTGATTCATGCTGTAGAATGCAATGTCCATGAACTGCGTGCATTCATGGGCATAAACTGGATCTACTAAGAAGGACAGATGCTCGGCCGTGGTTCGGGGCTTGTAGATAGATTAATTGACGTTCGTAGCGGGAAAGGATCGATCTGTCTGCTCTTGAACGGTAAACAATCGAATTTTGTTCAACAAAACACTGACGCAAAAACTTAAACACGGTGTTGCGCACCGCTTCCGTGCATAATTCAGGGGCAGAAACAGTCTGTGACTTGGTCTCAGCGGAAAAGCCCACCGGCTTGCGGTCCTACAATGCCGTAGCGACCCAAGTTGAGACCAGGATCTTCAAAAGTGATCATTCACGAACTGTATGGCAAACCGTAGCTCATTCATGTTGTCATAGGCCTTACATGTCTTACGCGACCACCCGAAACACTTGTAGAGCCGCGAAAAGTTATAGAGTATAAAAATAATCATGTTTTATTTGGCCGGACACAAGCCAAAATGTTGGCTTGGCAAGCCGACATTTTGGCTTGCAAGCCTGATGGCATCACTCACAGGCCAAATCCCATCACAAGCCAAAAAAAGCCACTTGGCGCGGGCACAAGCCACTTCGGCAAGCCAAAAATGTCGGTGTCCTCGCGTGCATAGCGTGCATTTTTCAACCGTGCATAGCCTGCACATGCGCATATTGTGCACTGCGCATATTCTGTGTCCTTTCTGGCATGCATATTGTGTATTGTGCACTGCGCATATTCTGCATATTTTTGGGCGTGCATATCATGCATTTTTGACCGTGCATAGCCTGCACTTGCGCATATCGTGCGCTGCGCATATTCTGCGTCCTTTCTGGCGTGCATATTGTGCACTCTTTGATTGTGCATATTCTGCGTATTTCTTGGGCGTGCATATTGTGCATGTTGTGCATGTTGTACATTTTCGACTGTGCTTCGCCTGCACCTGCGCATATCCTGCATATTTTCTACTGTGCATATCATGCATTTTCTACTGTGCATAGCCTGCATTGCGTATATCCTGCCCTGCACATATCCTGCGCCTTTCCTGTGGTTCCTATCTTGCATTTTCGACTGTGCATAGCCTGCACTTGCGCACATTCTGTGTATTCTCTGGGATGCATATTGTGCATTCTTGATGGTGCATAGCCTGCACCTGCGCATAGCCTGCACTTGCGCACATTCTGCGTATTCTCTGGGATGCATATAGTGCATTCTTGATGGTGCATAGGCTGCACCTGCGCATACCTTGCACTGCGCATATCCTGCATATTTCTGGCACGGATATTGTGCATTTCGATGGTGCATAGCCTACACCTGCGCATATCCTGCATATTTCCTGCCGTGCATATCATGCTTTTCAATAGCCTGCACTTGCGCATATGGCACACTGTTTTTCTCCCGTGCATATCGTGCTTTTCACAGTGCATAGCCTGCACTTGCACATATCCTGTGTATTTTCTACTGTGCATGTCGTGTTTTTCGGCAGTGGATAGCATGCACCTACGCCTATTTGTTGCCTGCACCCACGCATATTGTGCACTGTGCACATCCTGCGCATTTTCTGGCGTGCATAGCCTGCACCCACACATATCGTGCGCCGTGCATAGCCTACACATTTCCGGCATGCATATCGTCCATATTTCGGCTGCATATCATCCATATTTGACCGTGCATTGCCTGCACATGCTCATTTCATGCACTTGGCGTAGCCTGCACATTTCCGGCTTGCATATTGTGCCTATTTCGACTTTGATTAGCCTAGAATTGCGCATATCCTGCGTTTTCCTGCGGTGTATATCATGCATTTTTGACAATGCATAGCCTGCATCTGTGCATTTTGTGCACTGTGCATATCCTGCACATTTTCCGGCGTGCATATTGTACATACTTTGACGTTCATTAGCCAAGAGCTGCGCATATCCTGCGTTGTTTCCTGGGTGCATATCGTGCATATCTCGACTGCATATCATGCATATTTTGACGGTGCATGACCTGCACATTTTCCGGCGTGCATATCATGGATAATTTGACTGCCTATCGTGCATTTTTGACGGTGCATAGCCTGCACATGCGCATATTGTGTACCGTGCATAGCCTGCACATTTTCCGGCGTGCATATCGTGCATACTTTACTGACACACAAGCTGTGCTGCTTCCTTTTGGGTGAGCCGGCGTTGTTCTGGCTGGGCAGCACATTTTGGGGTCATCCGCACCCCGCCGGCTTTGCGCCCTGGGCTCAGCTCCCACACCCAATCACACTACTGTTGTGCAACACAGTATTTTATTTGATGAAATTTCTGGCCAGCAAAGGCTCAACTGAAGAAGATGGATGCATTGAGTGAGAGAAGGAGATCAATGCATCATCTTGTGAGGGAGAGAGCCGAAGAGCAGGGGGTGGCTGTGAGCTCACTCTCTCCTTCCACCCACCTGCCGGCGATCTCATCCTCAACAAATTCCCATTTCTGCGCTCACCCACCCACCCACAGCCTGTTTGATTTTTGATTGCTGTACAGCAGTAGAGCAGAGTCTGCGGGGTCATCCGCACCCCGCCGGCTTTGCGCCCTGGGCTCAGCTCCCACACCCAATCACACTACTGTTGTGCAACACAGTATTTTATTTGATGAAATTTCTGGCCAGCAAAGGCTCAACTGAAGAAGATCGGGTTTCAGGTACAATTTGTGTTTTTGGAGTAATTCGAGTACTCGTTTCGTGATCCGCCGATGTTCGTCCAAGGTTTCTGTGAAGATCAGAATATCGTCGAGATAAACTACCACGTGACCCTCGTTGATCAGTCCTCGGAGTATGTCGTTCATCATGTTCTGGAAGGTTGCCGGAGAATTCGTGAGGCCAAAGAACATAACCAAGGGCTCATACAGCCCACGGTTTGTGCAGAATGCAGCCTTCCATTCGTCGCCCTCTTTGATCCGTACGTTGTTGTATCCCCATCGGATGTCAAGCTTTGTGAAGAACTTGGCGCCACATAGATTATGGACCAGTTCGGAGATCAGCGGCAGCGGGTATCGATTTCGGATCGTCATCTCGTTCAACTTCCGATAATCTTGGACGGGACGTAGCGAGCCATCCTTCTTCTTGACAAAGAAGAATGCTGACGCCATGGGTGATTTTGATGGCCTGATCCGTCCACTGGCCAGGTTCTCTTGCAAGAACTCGTCGAGTTTGACCTGCTCGTTCCGCGATAAGGGGTACACCTTGCAGTCCACCGCTTTGGAGCCCGGTTTGAGTTCAATCGCATGATCCCATGCTCGTCGATCCGGCAGCGAGTCGAACGATTCCTTGGCAAATACTTTGACAAATTCCCGATATTGATCCGGAATCTTCCCCTCGGTCATCCTCTCCTTCTCCTTTTCCGCTTCTTCTGCGAGTTTCTGCGCCGGCGTTTCCTTCAGCCGTAAGTCCACTTCCTTCCCAAAGTCGACCAACAGGATCGATTCTCCTTCCTCCAGGTCCGGTGCGTCCGCGCCCAGGTCAATTGCATCCATGTCGATCATTGCTTGGTGCTCCTCGTGACCCCTCATGTGACACCGCTCTGGGCATCGGCTGAATCTCATCGTCTGCTCTTGCCAATCCACCTCGGGGTTGTGTTCCGTCAGCCAATCAAGGCCAATGAAGATCCGGGCCTTCCCTAAGCACGTCAGAAGGAACGTGCGCGTCTCCACATGAGGACCGATTCTCATCCTTAGGTCGACATAATGCGTGATTCGACCGCTGATGTTCTTGGTGTTGTCGGCGTTACGAGCCACAATGGGTTGTGGAAGCTCCTGGATATCCAGCTTCTCTGCCCGTGCGTAGTCGGTATCGATGCAGCAGGTACTGCAGCCGCTATCGAGCAACGCCTTTACTCCGCGTGTCTTTCCCGAGTCCAGGCCCGTGATCTGGACATATACGTCCATCGAATGCCTCTTTCTTTCGGCCTGGTAACTGCGCAATTCCTGCGCCAATCTGCTGGGTTGGGGGCCCTTCTGTTTCTCGGCAGCCAGTTTTCTCTGGATGGCATCTGGCACCCTGGTGCGTTTGGGTGCTTCTGGAACCTTGATTTCGGCAGATTCCTTAGGCGCTTCCTCCTTTTTCAAGGATCGAGCCTCCAGAGCAGTGCTCCCCTTTTCGGTCTTTGTTGACGTGGTTTCTTCTCCACGAGCCATAAATACGTAGGAGTCCAAAAATAATTTATCCGCAGCCACTATCTTCTGATCCTTTTTATCTTGTAAATATTTTCTATTTAAAGCTATTTTTTCTTTACGTTCCTTTTCCATTTCGGCAACAAGAAAATCGTGAATATTTGTACGTAGTGAGTCGGGGAGCGTGTATGTATGATGAGGCATATCGTTCGTATCTTTAATCGAAACAAGTACAGAAAAACGTCCATAGTCCGGGCGCTCCACCTCCTTGGCTAGAGGAGTGGAGCGCTTCAAAAACCCTTCTCGCGCAGCTTCTCAGCGATCTCCTTGAGGAACTCGTTGTCCTTGTCCCCGTTCTCGATCTCTTCCAGCATTGTGGCCCGATTGAAGAATGTGCGCTTCTTCCTTGGCTCCGGACAGTTCCGCGCAATGTGCCCGGGCTGTTGACAGTTGTAGCAGATGACATTGCGGCTGCGGGCATGGGTGCGATCGATTTCCATCGGAACCGGTTCGTTGGCAGCGGGTCGGGCCGGAGCGGGTGCAGGCGTCGTTGGAGCAGCCTGAGGGCGGAATTGGGGGGGTGGTTGTTGCGTGGAGTGCCCATATGATGCTTTGCGCAACTGGTCGCGAAGAGCGTTTGCCTCGATGTTGACACACCAGTCCTTGAAGGCGCCATACACCTTGGGCAAGGGAACACCGGTGTTATAGAGACGACTGGCGATCTCGCTACTGAGTCCGCGCTCGAGGAACTCGATGAGGATATTATCTTGATCCCCCTTCTTGTACTCGCCCTTGTCGTCGGTGGCGGTGACCACATTGTACCCTGCGTCCGAAGCCAGCATCTCAAAGTCGGAGATATAATCCGCGAAGGATCGTTTGTTCTGGCGGAGGGCCATGAGTCGAGCGGCAGCAACTTGTTCCGCGTTGGTATCTCCGAACGCCCTCTGAAGCTCCTCCAAGAAGGTCGCCGAGGTGACCCCAGCCTTTATTCCACTAAGGCTCTCGAAGTTGCGCTGTTTCCAGTTCATCGCCCATCTCGAGGCGGCGCAACTTGTGCCAGCCTCGTTGCGGAGGTAGGAGAGGATGAACAGGATTTTTGTCTCATCCTGTGAGAATTCCGACCGGTATGCACCAATGTAGGTGGTGCATGAGTCCACGAAGCCCATGTATTTGGTCTTGTCCCCATCGAAATAGGGGGGGTTGGCGGCGAGGGTGATACGGTGATGACCTGACATGGTAGGAACAGGTGCGGTAGGTGGGGGCGAGGGTGGTTGTTCGGAGGGTAGTTCGTCGAGGTCAGGGATCTCGTCTTCAGGCGGTGGGAGGGCGAGGTAGGGATCGAAGGGTTCGGGTTGATTTTGATGCGCCAGGTCGGGCGACAATGGTATGATGGGGGGAGGAGACGGACTCCCAGACGACGATGGGAATCGGTACGAAATGGTGGATTCGTGTGCTGTACAAGCACTCGAGGAAAGGTTCTTTTGCTAGCAAAAAGATCCCGGGCCTAGCTCTTCACGTGCCCGATGATCCCAAGGTGCGTTTTCCCGAAGGTCTCCGCAGCACTCCTTGTAGCTACCGTAAGGCTTGGGTCGGGCTCAACGTTACCCGTGGCCTGGTGCTGTTTGCTCGAGATGAACCCTTCACTGCGATCGTAGAGAACGACTAGATGATTTCGTAAAAGGGTGAGTTGGTTGATAAGGGTTTAAGAGGATATAGCGGGCGTAGCGGTGAGGGATGCAGAGGTAAGAGGTACGAGGTAGGAGGGTATGAGGGGAGTCTTCGAATTATGTGACAATCAACAAGAAATAATGTCGAAAAGAGAAGTGAATTCGAAGACTGGAGAATACAACCAAAGTAGCTACAGTATTTATACCCAAGTCCAGTCTGAGTCATATCTACAACTAATGAGTCATAAGGCTATGTACCGCATGGAGCACTGGTCATGGGTTGAAGTAGAACCTTCCGGAGCATATGTCACGCAGCCTTAGATCGATAAGGAGAATCCCTGGAACCCCTAATCCGGGCCGCCTGATGCCGTGATCCGTGATAAGATAACCCGTGCCGAGATAAGATAAGATCGTCGAAGATAAGATGAAAAAGTGGCCAAACTATGACAAGACAGGGCCAAAATCCCGAATTTGATCAAGAATGTGGATGGCCCAATGATGGTTTGGTTTCATGCTATCAGCGCCATAAAGCTGCCAAAAATGAGGCCTAAATTCTGGATTCAGTAGGGAGCAGACGTGCCTCAAGAAAGCCCAGTAAATAATCCTCTAACAGAGATGATGCCCTCGGAATCATTTCTCTGTAGATCGCGCTGCCAATTATAATCTTCAGCGCAGTTGCAAAACGGAGAAAGTTCTCCTCCTCGCCAATCTTCATGCGATAAACAGGCTCGGATGGCGGCTGAGGCGGATCACCTCGAGTAGCTATCCTTTTCCTCTGCCATGTACGAAGTTCTGAATCGTATTCTGCCTTTTTCTGCTGATACTGTTCATTTGCGTGTTCATGCTCCTTTGGACGGAATATATCCCACACCACTGGGATCTGAAAGAATTGGTGGAGTCAATAACACTGCATCACGAAGAAGAAATTCTTCTCGCACTATGATGGCCCAGGGCGCGGTGACTGAGAATTTATATTCGTCTGCAGTGAGGGATCCACCGGCAGGCTTGCCAACCCGTAACGGAAGATGTCCTGTCCAGGATGGACATTCAAACTGTTACGCCAGTCAGACATGTCCAAGATCACAATTCAGGATAGATCAAACCATCTCTAAAATGTTGTGGATAAAATGCAGTTCCCTCTCCCTCGCATTTGTGTCTGGACGTAGAACTTTCTCCTTGATCCAGATTGAGTACCACTGAGTCTTTGCAACACCTGTGTAGGATATTGGAACCATTTCAGGGACAATGAAAGTGGAGACTCGCACCGAGAAGTAAATTGTGCATTGGATCAATCACCGTGCACCGGATAATGTCAAAGTATTCGAGACGAACAAATTCAGACCACCGAACACCATGTTCCATAAAAAAAGCATCCTTCTCGGCCTCAGTCTCAAGATCGCGATATTGTTTAGCAAGCTGGTTATGCTCTTCTTTTGTTCGTCCAGGAAATTCTATGCAACTGTTAGTTTCTGCGCAAGATTCTGAGAAATACAGACTATTTTGGAGCGATGCAGCGGTGAACATTTCTGCTTTGCAGACCTTGCACTTGTGGCAGGGAGCATTCTTGTGGCCATGATCGGCAAACCCAGCGATCTTACACATAGCTGGATGATCTGCAATGATTGATATCAAGGCAACACGGACGTGGTACCTCCCTGTGAAGATAAATTGACAAGTCCAAGTTTGCTGTGTTGTGCTCTGTGAGATCACTTACGTTTTGGTCTTCCCGGAATGTCTATCAAGATTCCGTCTTCAAACAGTTTGATCAAATTGTTTACTATAATCTTTGAGTAGTTCTGCAGCTGCGGCGAGGTAGGCTCGGTAGGACCCGGGGGCATTCCAACTACGATCAGATTCTCTGGGCGGTATCTAGATCAAAGGTTAAGAAATCCAAGTCACACAGATTTCAGGAGAAAGTTTATACCTCAGTTCTGGACTCAGATTCTGGACACAAAAGCTGAGAACACCGGAGGAATGGCTTGGACCATAGTGACTAGATTTGCGCCCAAACCTGAGTATCATTAATATCAATGAGGGCAGGGATCTAGATATTTCAAAAAGGATAGAACGCACCAGTCTATCCCGAATGAAACACCTATGCGTAATTCATCTATTCCCTCGTCGTAGAAAAACCGTGATCCATCAGCAGCTTCCTGGGTCTTCCAAATCTCCCCGTCCTGGATTGACTCCAGTTTCTCGTCTGAATGTGATTTTGTTTTCCACTCCTGAACCGCTTCCACCATGCCTGGCCGTTCAAAAAAACCCTGAAGAGCATCGGAGAGAAGGAGAATGGGAGCAACAGCAACAGGCTTGAAATCGGAGTGCTTTGAGCTCTCTGGAGCTGGGGCGTCAGTACTGGCCTCCATATCTGAGTCGTCATCATTTCCGGAGCCAGCTCCTGTTACGGTGGCTGTGAGGCGGTCAAGCATTGACTGCGATCGAACACGGTAGATTGCCGTATCACAAGTAGGGCATTTGGAATCCACTGGGGATACTTCCGGGAAAATGGAGTGGCAGGACGGGCATATCGGATGTATCTTGAACTGATCGTGGATGCTCAAGCAAGCCAGTGTTGTTTTCAGGGTCTTTGGAAGTGTGTTATCTCCAAGAATGTTTCCCGGAAGGAATCTGAGAACAAAATCGACTGCCCAGAGAAGCAAGGAGATTGCACGAAATGAGACATGGTGCTCGGTGTGGAGCCAGGCGCAGAGAATCAAGACACATTGTATGACCATTAGCGGATCAAAAGGCATCGGTACCGGTGACGCCTCTGATTCATCGACCTCTTGCACTGGGTGTAGCATCGGATCTCCGCCTTCAGGGTTTACAGAAGATTCCGTCTCGCCAGTGAAGCCAGCCTCGTTGAGGGACTGTGACCTGGCGGATCCCTCCGACTGAAGGGGAGGACTCGAAATGGGATCGGGGGATGTGTGTGATGAAGGTGGATTAACGTCGGGTGGATTGGGCAGACCAGAGAAGCTTCGGCCCCGGAAACTTGTGCGCCCCCGGGCAGCCTGTAGCTGACTAGCGGAACGCTCTGTCGCGAGGGATGGAGTTTGTGCGTTGGCGGACGGATGCTGATCAATGCGTCCCCGCTGTGCTAGTGATCGACTTGCAGAGCGCCCGTTTGAGCGTCCGCGATCCATATGGGAGAGGCAGAGGTATCTCTGATCTGTCTGCCGCTTGCCTCGTTGCACAGGCACGTTTTCACGCCAGATTTGAGCGCTGATATCGATATCACGGCTACAGCTCGAAAAACTAGATATACCAGGCAATTAAGGCAGTTAAAATGATTTATCAATGCTACCTAGAACACTTATAGTACCTAACAATGTCCGCAATGGCGGGAGAGGCCCGAAATCGCGCGCATTCTGCACCGTGGGAACAAGAGGGGGGCTAGCCGAGACCGATTGATGGCCAATCAGCGACCGATTCTCTCGACCCCGCTCGGTCCCATGTAGGCACCCGTACTCACCATGGTGTCTACACGTGTAGTCTCGCTCAAGGGACTATGGGTGACTACTCTCCTAGACCCCTTTGGGGTCTAGGTACCCCCGGAATGTAGTGCATGTTCTTCTAGTTTCCACTGTTGGCATTGAGCCTCTGGATCTGGTCTGTTTCCGTGGATCTGAGTCTCTCTCTCTCTACTTCAGCAGGAGGAACATTGACATAAGGCTTTGCAAAGTACATTGAACACTCCAATGTTGAGCAGAAATCAGTTACAAATACTATCCCACTTTTGTGGCCCTGCAGGGGCCTGCAGAGGACATAATGGGTACCTCACAGTGGGGTTGCAACATATCTTACACCTAAGGAACCCCCGCTGAAATGCTGAGGGTGTGCTTGTGACTGAATTGACAATGAAATCAACTCAACCACAAAACATGTCACACTCCTCTAATCAGCTTTTCAGATGTGTGAAAGTACAAGGGCTTCAATGGTTGCAGAACACCAAATCAAAATCTCTCTTGGGCCAAAGACGGGACCTGAGCAGTTGCAACACAGTAATGTCACACAAAGACTCAAACAAGATTAACAAATCCCAATCTAACAACCAACAGATCAAATAAGACAAGAGAAAACTTAGTACAGAGTACTGAGTGCCCTTGTCACAAGAGTGTCCAAGTATCAACACCAAATGTCATAGTTTGACCACTTCTTCATCATTTCATCAACAATCTTATCTTATCTCAACATGGGTCATCTTATCATGGATCATGTCATCACACGGTCTGGGTTAGGGGCTCAGGAGGGTTATCTCTATTGATTCAAGGCTGCGCAACATATTCTCCAGAAGGCTCTACCACAACCCATGACCAGTGTTCCATGTGATGCATACAATTGGCAGATTATGGGTTTTGGCAGCTATAGGTTAAGACAGCTTTGACTGAAGTCTCATGACTCATTAGTTGTAGATATTACTCAGACCGGATTTGGGTATAAATACTGTAGCTACTTTGTTGTATTCTCCAGTCCTCAAATTCACTTCTCTTTTTGACATTATCTCTTGTTGATTGTCACATAATTCAAAGACTCCCCTCATACCTCTTACCACTGCACCCCCACTGCTACACCTGCTGTATCCTCTTCACTCTTGTCAACCCACTCACTCTTTTACCAAATCATCTAGTCATTCTCTGCAATTGCAGTGAAGGTTCACGTTGAGCAAACAGCACCAGGCCACGGTAATGTTGAGCCCAACCCAAGCCTTATGGTAGCTACAAGGAGTGCTGCAGAGACTTTTGGGAAAACACACCTCAGGATCATTGGGCATGTGAAGAGCTCAGCCCGGGATCTGTTTGCTAGCAAAAGAACCTTTCCTTGATTGCTTGTACAGCACATGTATTCATCATTTTGTACCAACTCCTATCTTTGTTTGGGAGTCCCTCTCCTCCCCCCATTGTACCCTCATTGTGCAATCTAGCACATTGAAATCAACCCAGGTCCTCTGATCCCAACCTAACCCTCCCACCTCCTGAAGGCAAGATCCTTGACCTCTACAAATTGCCGAATTGCTCTGTAAGGGCAACCTCAAGGCCTGATCTCAGAGTCCTGACAAGGGAGAGTCCAAAGTGTCAGATGAAGGGATCAACTAATACAGGAGACTGGCAAACCTGACAAGGTAGAGTCCAAAGAGAAACTGAGTTGGGGACTCTCCTTGTCAGGGCCCACTATATATAGCCTACAGAACAATGGATGACCAAGCACAATGGGAAGCGCCAGACAATGGTGTTGAAGTAATACGAGATGAGAACTTATATTGCATAGCAGAATACGTACAGTATATATACTCTACTTGAATACTATCTAGAAGCTGGTGGAATGGACAGGAAGGCGGTAGTAAGCTAAGTAATCATAAGTAATGGCCATTACTTGTGATTACTTATCATTGATATAATCATTTATTTATTGAGCTTCAACACTCCCCCTCAAGCACAATACATGCCGAGAGCCTCAGCAAAATGTGTGTGCTTGTCTTGTGAGAGTCCGTTTATAAGGATATCTGCTGTGTTCTTGTTGGTTGGTACGTGGGAAACTGACACTTTGCAAGAAGTGATGTGGTCTTGAATAAAATGGTACCAAATGTCAATATGTTTTGATCATGCGTGGAAACCGGAGTTCTGGGCGAAGGCTATTGTCCCCATGTTGTTGACATTAATATGGGTGGATTGGGATGTGTCGAGGCAAAGTTCAGTCAACAGTGATCGTAGCCATAAGGCTTCTTTTGTGGCACTGGCGAGTGCTATATATTCGGCTTCCATGCTTGATAAGGCAACGGTGGGCTGTTTTTTTGAATTCCATGTGACAGCGGCACCGGCTAGCATAGTAACATAGTGTGACAATCAACAAGAAATAATGTCGAAAAGAGAAGTGAATTTGAAGACTGGAGAATACAACCAAGTAGCTACAGTATTTATACCCAAATCCAGTCTGAGTCATATCTACAACTAATGAGTCATAAGGCTATGTACCGCATGGAGCACTGGTCATGGGTTGTAGTAGAACCTTCCGAAGCATATGTCGCGCAGCCTTGAATCAATAAAGATAATCCCTGGAACCCCTAGCCCAGACTGTCTGATGCCGTGATCCGTGATAAGATAATCCGTGCCGAGATAAGATAAGATGGTTGATGATAAGATGAAAAAGAGCTGAATTATGACATTACCCCCTCTCTAGGGTCGATGTCCTCATCGACTAGGTCAATGGGCGTGAAGACGTTCTCGTAAGGGTAAAAGAGTTGTTGCTGGGGATATGGAAGACACTTGTCTTTGGGTTTGTAGCAATGGATGAGATAATCCCAGTGTCCGACTTCGAGTGTCGGCAGGAGGCAAATGCGTGTGTCTGGGTTGGATTGTTTCCTCTGCCAATCTCTCAGGACCTTTTTTGCGTGGGTAAGATGACGTGATGGTTCCCAGATATTTTCGCTATGCGGCCATCCCTTCCATTTGACCAAGTATTGCTTTCCCCGGCCGACTTTTTGTTCCTTCATGATTTCTTTGACTTTCCACTCTTCTGCTCCTCCGATCATCTTGGCTATGGGTCTCTTCTCTCGGCAATGGGGGGGTGGTTCATGATAGGGTGTCAACAGTGACTCGTTGAACACCGAGTGTCTCCGGTCCGTGTCCGGCAAATCTAGCTTCCATGCGGCCGCTCCAACCTTCTCCAATACCTCGTATGGTCCCAATCTCTTGTTGCTCATCTTCTTTGATGCTCTGTCCGTCTTGATATTGTCCCCTTCTATGTACACCTTCATTCCAACCTTCAACTCCGGAACATCTTTTCTTTGTTTATTGTAGTATTTTTTCATTTTTTCATTTGCTTTTTCCAATGCTGCTTTTGCTTCGTCTTGTATTCTTTTGATTCTTTTTACGAATTCCTCCGCTAACTTGTTCCTTGATTCCATCCTTTGCTCCACTCCCTTCCATGGGTGATATCCGTGATTTGCATAGAACGGCGACATCTTAGTAGACGTGTTCATTTTGTCATTGTATGCGAACTCCGCCATTCCCAGCCACTCTGACCAATCCGTCTGATGGTAATTGACGTAGATGCGGAGATAATGCTCAATCTCTTGGTTCATGCACTCTGTTTGTCCATCCGTGATTGGGTGATATGCGGTCCCCAGATTCATTTCCACGCCCAATATCTGATTTGTCTCCTTCATGAAGCCCTTGATGTAACGCGAATCCCTGTCGGTGGTGATCTTGCGGGGGATCCCGTGGTAGCGGAAGACTCAATCCCTGGTTAATCGTGTGACTCCTTCACTGCTGATGTCAGTGCTAATTGGTTTGACATGGATCATTTTGGTGAAGCTGTCACACCACACATGAATTGCATCATACCTGTTACTGACCGGCAAGGGTCTGATTTGATCCATGGAGATGATTTCCCATGGCGCATTTGGGACTGCATGCGGGTGTAGAGTCCCTGTCCTTGCTCTCCTGGTCTTGGTCCGTTGGCACACCTCACACGTCTGGATGTATTTCCGAATTTGGTTTCCCATCCTTGGCCACCAGTAGTTCCTTTCCACCATCTCCTGTGTTTGGTTGATTCCAGCGTGTCCGACCAAAGGCGTGTCGTGGTGCAGTCCAATGATCTTGTCCTGCAACTCCTCGTCTCTTGGTACATAGAGCTTCCCATGGTACGTGATGAGTCCGTCTTCCTTTTTCCATCCAGCGAGTGACTTCTCCAAGGCCGCCTTGACGCTTCCATCAATCGATCGGGTAGCCTTGATCTCATCGATTAGCTGCTGATCCTGCCCCTCAAATGTGACTTCTTGTGATCGGAAGAACTCGGGCTTTAGTAGTGTGATGTCCTTGTTGTTGTTCTTGCCCTGATCGTGATCCGCCCGTCAAGATAAGAGGTCCACCTTGCGGTTAAGTGCGCCGGGCCAGTGTCGTAAGGTGAAATTGAACTCCGCCAGCTCCGTAATCCATCGTGCTTGCCGTCGATTGAGTCTCTGCGGTTTTCGGAAGTACTCGAGATTTTGATGATCGGTGAAGATCTCGAATGTTTCTGTGGCTCCTAGTAGTAACTGCCTCCATTCGTCCAATGACAACATGATCGCGAGCATTTCTTTGTCATAGATCTTGTAATTCCGCTTGGTTTCTGTTAATGCATGCGAAATAAATGCGATTGGGCGCCAAATGCCATCTTGGTTTTGGCTCAAAACTGATCCTGTTGCCCCTTCCGAAGCATCGGCTTCCAGACGATATTGGCCAGTGTTATTTGGCAGTGCTAAGACTGCATCCTCCGCAATTCTCTTCTTCAACCCATCAAATGCTGCACGCTCATCTGCACCCCATGCCCATCCTGCCTTTCCTGTCAACCATGTCAACGGCTTGGCAACCTCCACATATCCCCGGACAAAGCGCCGATAGAAGTTTGTGAATCCGAGGAAAGCTTGGACTTGTTTGACGCTTTTTGGTTCAGGCCATTCCATCACACCCTTGATCTTGACAGGGTCCATACACATCAAATTGTGTCCAATAATTACACCCAAATATTCGATTTCCGTGCGTTCAAACTCGCACTTTTCGGGTTTCAGGTATAGCTTGTGTTTTTGGAGCAGTTCGAGTACTTGTTTCGTGATCCGCTGATGTCCGTCCAAGGTTTCTGTGAAGATTAGTATATTGTCAAGATAAACTACCACATGACCCTCGTTGATCAGTTCTCGGAGTATGTCGTTCATCATGTTTTGAAAGGTTGCCGGGGAGTTTGTGAGGCCAAAGAACATGACCAAGGGCTCGTACAGTCCGCGATGTCTGCGGAACGCAGCCTTCCACTCGTTGCCCTCTTTGATCCATACATTGTTGTATCCCCATCGGATGTCAAGCTTGGTGAAGAACTTGGTGCCGCACAGGTTGTGGACCAGTTCGGAGATCAGCAGTAGCGGGTACCGATTTCGGATTGTCATCTCATTCAACTTCCGGTAATCTTGGACAGGTCGTAGCGAGCCAGCCTTCTTTTTGACAAAGAAGAATGCTGATGCCATGGGTGATTTTGATGGCCTGATCTGTCCACTGGCTAGGTTCTCTTGTAAGAACTCGTCGAGTTTGACCTGTTCGTTTCGTGATAACGGGTACACCTTGCAGTCCACTGCTTTGGAACCAGGTTTGAGCTTGATCACATGGTCCCATGTTCGTCAGTCCGGTGATAGGCTGGCTACCAGACACGCTCTGCACCAGCTCTGTAAGGGCGTATTTCTGCGCTTTTTACAGAGTTTACTCTTGAACCATTCAGTGTATCGTGTCGCGGTTGACAGTGTTACGTTCAGTAGGGCTTAAGGGTCTACTGCCCAATCGACAACTGTGGATAGTGTCGACGATAGCAAGGCAGTCAGACCACTACTGTGGAATTGGTCTTATGAGTCTATACCAGGCTCAGGGCCATTAGTGACAAACGCTTGGACCACGACAATTCCCCAAAAGGGATCTTCGTTGCGGCGACTTCTCAAAAGGGGTCATTCTCTGCAGATGGGAACTTGGGCTGAAGGACTGAGCAATGTGCGAAGTTCTCAATAATACAACTACTACTACTGGACAGGACTTGGCGTTACGAGATTGAACCAATCTTGTCGCGGCAACTCCCGGTTTTGGGTTGGCCGTTTCCTCAGATCATGCCATGGCAACGACTTGTCACATGTCAGGATCCATTTGATCACAGGACATTGTGGACGCATCGCAGTGACACTTCCAAGTGTCACGGCGAGTCGCGCCTGTGCCTGAATACACTAAGACCGACATGGCTAGATCCGTGAACCGAACCATACGAGGAACGACTGGCGTGCCTAGGACCATACGGCTTCTTGGGGCACCCACGTTGGACTCACCTGCCAAGACATACCCGTCGGCCAATCCAACACGTTGTATTTCAAAAGTATGACGCGGTGGGTTGACCCACATCAAAAGTATCATATGGACTATGGGGCGGGGTCCTGATCACTCAGGACCTGTCCGATCGTCCAACTTTTCAATTACTCTAAAAGGCAACCGATCTTAGATAGCGTAGCTACTATGCAGTTGTACAGGACTTTACTAAGCATTGTTGTAGACAGTATAAGTAGCACGTCGTTTCTTTGTATTAGAAAGCTTTGCCCCGGACTGTGAATCACTCTCATTTCAGATTGTTTTGTGCAATTTGCATGTCGCGTGATTTCACCCTAAAAAGTTCTGCCACCCCTGCCCGGTCGCGACGAGTTGCTCCCTGAGCACTTGTAGCTACTGTGATTTGAGTTTGAGTTGAGATATCAGAAAGTCGGATTCGCTGCATCTGGTTTAGTTGCGGCATTTAGTGTCGTCGCCTTTGGGCTTTGTTGAGATTGTTCCACACCTCTAGCTTGGCAGTGCGTCGACTTGAGAACTTTGGTTCCACACTTCTTGCTTGGCAGTGCGTCGACAAGTTGTGCTCGGGTTTTGGACATTGGATATTGGCTGTTAGTTGGCAGTGCATCGACGCGGCATTTTGGTTTACTAGTTGGCAGTGCGTCGACTCAGTACTTTTGGTTGTGTCAGTTGGCAGTGCGTCGACTTGACATTTTGGTTCCACTAGTTGGCAGTGCATCGACTCAGTATATTGGTTGTATCGGTTGGCAGTGCGTTGACTCGGTATTTGGGTTTTGCGTCACCATCTAGACGCTGTCGCTACAAGGGATCTTAATACTCCATATTAAGTTCTGACTTGTTATATCGTTGGTTGTGGATTGGATTAGTGTTGGTTGTGTTCGTATAGAAGATATTGGTTGAGACACCATTGTTTACTATATATAAATTCTTGTCGTCGACTTCGTCTTCCGCGACTATTGATCTGCGTCTATTGAGAGTTGTGATACTGGTGTTCTGTCCACCCCGAAGCCCTCGCATCTTTCACACACTGAGAAGCTGATTACGAGGAGTGTCAGGGGACGCCGCGCTCCTTGGGCACGTGACCATGCACGTGACCCACTGCACCCTCTCTGCCGACCCGTGCCTGCTCACCTGTCGATCACCCAGCCTCCTCCTCCTCCTCCGATCCTCATCTCCATCCATGCTGACATCCGCCCTCTCCGTTCTTCCCCTGGCCATCTCCCTCGAATCCCCGCAAGCGGTCTAGCCAAGCCCGATTCCTTGCACCAGGGAGTGCTACTGCCGTACGCACTCCTCCCCCTTCACTTCGGCCTTCTTCCCGCGGATGTGGTCTACTGCCATACAGGCTCGTACCAGATGCCTTTGCGCTCATCCACACCACCCCTCTTCCCAGTCGGGCATTGGTCCTCGCCTCCAATGTCTCCACTGGCCGGCCCGGCACTGGCCTGGCCACTGGGCTCCTCCAGTGTGGCCTTCCACTGTTGGTGTCTCAGGAGCTGGCTGTCACTGGCCCCTCTGAGCCACTCACTATCTTATCTGGGTTTGTCATCATCTACTCATCATCTGCCATTGTTCCATGGCAGTGATATCCCATCATCATCAGTCACTTGTCACAGCTGACTATATAGTGTGACACCTGGGCACATGGATCCTTGAACTGTTCTCTAAGGATCCCCCTCTATGCTCAGGTGAGTAGTATACCTCCCTTGTATTTGATAGTCTCTAAGGATCCCCCTCTGTGCTCAGACTCATGTGAGGTTGTTGTGTGCTGTGTGCTCTCTTCCTTTGGGCTGGCAGGAGTTGCCCTTACAAGGAGTGTGAAAGTGTTCATATTTGGGTTTACTTCGTAGTAGATTCACTTGTGAGCACGCCCTCAGCATTTCACCGGCAGTGAGTCAAATGATTCCTTGGCAAATACTTTGACAAATTCTCGGTACTGATCCGGAATCTTTCCCTCGGTCATCCTCTCCTTCTCTTTTTCCGCTTCTTCTGCGAATTTCTGCCCCGGCGTTTCCTTCAGCCGTAGATCCACCTCCTTTCCAAAGTCGACCAGTAGGATTGACTCTCCTTCTTCCAGATCCTGTAAGGGCAACCTCGAGACCCAATCTCATAGTTCTGGCACGGGAGAATCCAAAGTGTCAATAGTGGTAGCTAGGTACAGGACCGGCATACCTGGCAAGGGAGAATCCAAAGAGAAACCGTGTTGGGGATTCTCCTTGCCAGGCGCCACTATTTATATGATACAAGAACAATAGAGCGTGCAGCGACAAACAAAGAACAATGGGAACAATAAGTACAATGGCCGTTGGAGAACAATAGGAAACCGAGACAGTGGGAACGATGGGACACCTGACCATGTGCCCATCAGAGAGAAGCGCTTGGCGTGGCAGTCCGGGCCGCGGCACGGGACAGCTGACAGGTCACGCAAGCGCGATCACATGCCTGATCAAAGGCAGAGCAGTCCGAAGTGGGGGTTCCCCTGACAGATCTGGTGCGTCCGCGTGCAGGTTAATTGCGTCCATGTCAATCATTGCTTGGTGCTCCTCGTGACCCCTCATGTGACAACGCTCTGGGCATCGACTGAATCTCATGGTCTGCTCCTGCCAATCCACCTCGGGGTTGTGTTCCGTCAGCCAGTCAAGACCGATGAAGATCCGGGCCTTCCCTAAGCACGTTAGAAGGAATGTGCGTGTCTCTACATGAGGGCCGATTCTCATCCTTAAGTCAACGTAATGCGTGATCCGGCCACTGATGTTCTCGGTGTTGTCAGCGTTTCGAGCCACGATGGGTTGTGGAAGCTCTTGGATATCCAGCTTCTCCGCCTGCGCGTAGTCAGTATCGATGCAGCAGGTACTGCAGCCACTGTCGAGTAGTGCCTTGACACCGGGTGTCTTTCCTGAGTCCAGGCCTGTGATCTGGACATATACGTCCATCGAATGCCTCTTTCTTTTGGCCTGGTAGCTGCGTGATTCCTGCGCCAACCTGCTGGGCTGAGGGCCCTTCTGTTTCTTGGCCGCCAATTTCCTCTGGACGGCATCTGGTACCCTGGTGCGCTTGGGTGCTTCTGGAACCTTGATTTCGGCAGATTCCTTAGGCGCTTCCTCCTTTTCCAAGGATTGAGCCTCCGGAGCAATGCTCCCCTTTTCGGTCTTTGTTGACGTGGTTCCTTCTCCATGAGCCATAAATACGTAGTTGTCCAAAATTAATTTGTCTGTAGCTTTCTGATCCTTTTTACTCTGTAAATACTCTCTATTTAAAGCTATTTTTCTTTGGCGTTCTTTTTCCATATCAGCAATGAGAAAATCGTGAATATTGGTATGTAGTGAGTCCGATGACGGACTGGCCTATCTATCCGACAAGTCCTGACGTGTGGCAGTGCATGTCAATCAGCAATCAGTGGGCGCACGCTTCGCACACAACTGAGGGTCTCCTCAATATTCCTCAGCCCTGGCTATTCACTGGTTCGTCCAGCCCTGCATATATTTTTGATATTCACATCCCTGGACTGCTGTCTGCACATTTATCTCTACACCCCTGCCTTTCTTACTTCACCATCCACTTGTACCTGTTTTTCCCCTCTCACTTCCCTGGTTCCTCTGTTCACCGTCCCTTGCTCCATCCTGTCGATATTTCACCCACTCTGATGATTATTTCATTGTCTCACATACAAAAGCTTGTAGTTGGACAAAAGAAAAATAGATTTATTCTCCTCATAGTCTTGAGTTCAGTTCTTGTCTTCAGCTCGTTTCTACTTGGGTATTTCGACCCTCTGCTTCGTCGCATCCGTCCCACGCCGCCCTCGACTTCGTCCCACGTCTAAAATCATCATTTCTTACTGCCTGCCACGGCACTGAATCTTGTGGACCTCCTCGCACATCACACTTATTCCTGCACTGTTTTAGGTCGTAGCTGACCCCCATTTTATGTTAGCTTGCGCCTATTCCGTCCGCAGGCACGTCATTTTGGAGCCCACCGCGAGGGGATTTCAACATAGATTCTGGTGCCTCTCGCAGTCTGCGACACAACAATCATTCTGAGCTACGTTGCACGCTCCGTGAAGAGCTAGCTGTTGCTCTCAACGACCCCACAACTCTCTCTTTCGACGACGAACACCTCTTTGACATTGTCCCCAGCGCCCTTGCACAACACAACAACCTCTCACCGCATTCCCCGAGCTCTCCAACGCTATCCTGGCTCTTTGATTCGCCTCCAACAACGCGTTCACCATCCCCCCTTAACAACACGAATATTCCTTCTCAAAATATGGCTACTCCCACTCCCATGCCAGCCAGAGGCGATCGAAACGCCCCAGTCTTTGATTCGTCCAAGCCCCACGAGTTGCGCCGTTATTTCCTCGATCTGGAGTTCCTTCTAGCTCGATCTGCCGTCACTGACGCTGCCCAAATGAAGGGGCATGCGGTCAGATTCCTTTCCGTCGAAGATCAGGAGATTTGGGAAGGTCTACCGTCATTCTCAGACGCCAACAAATCGTACCACGACTTCAAATTGGACGCCCTCAGCCTCTACGCAGGGAACGACACAGATCGTCGTTTCAGCCTCGACGATTTGGACATGCTCGTTGGGCAGACATCTCGCATGGGAATCCACACAAAGGACGACCTCACACAATTTTATCGACGATTCCTACACATCACAACATTCCTGATTAGCAAACAACGACTCTCTGTGGCAGAACAGAGCCGATTTTTCCTTCGAGCTATGAATCCAGCCTCGTTGTCCGTCTCAGTTCGCCAGAGACTTCAGATCAAGAAGCCAGACGTTCACCCTGAGGATCCATATGATTTGTCAGATCTGTACGACGCTGCTAAATTCGTCCTTTCAGGATCATCGACCTTACTTCCTGGAATGCCCACGTCTCAGCCCGGAACCGAGCTCACAATCAAATCAGACCCTGGAATTACTGCACTAGTTTCATCCGTCTCAGATCTAGTTCGAATAATCGCTGCTCAACACGCCAATCCTGGTGCCCCAGCACAATCACAGTCCGCCAACGCCCTGCCCCGCCGTCGCCGTCCTGATGGCTGCAGTTATTGCAGTGATCTCGAGCATTTTATCAGCCAATGTCCCCACGTTTCGACGGATATTCGAGACGGAAAATGCCGCCGCAATGTGGATGGGAAAGTCGTCCTCCCCTCAGGTGCATATGTGCCAAATATTGTCCAAGGAAAGGATCTTCGAGAGCGCATTCAGAAGTGGCATGAAGCGAACCCAGGTCAGGCAGCAGCTCCGCAGATGATTTTGGAAGTTTCTCACCAGAATTTGCTGTCTTCTGCGGCGCCTGGGCTCGTTCAAACGTTCAAACTCACGGAAAAAGAACGAATGGCAGTTCTGACGGCTGAAATTAATCAACTACGCACACGGGCCCAAGCTAAACGCGCTATGGAAGTTGCTAATCAACCAGAAATCCCTGAACGCACTATTCCACCGGCGGTAGCGCGAAATCCAGTCGTTCCACCTGTTCCAATCGAAACCGTCCCTCCTGCGACCGCCCCTGCTGCTCCAGTTGCCCCGCCTCAACCCCCAATCCATCCGTACGCCGCAGCTCGTGATGGCGCTTACGCACCGCCCAAAGAACGAAATGTTGGGATTCCAGCGCAGAAATCACAACCCCCACGCTCTTCGGCTCCGATCTACAACCCCAAAGATGCTGCAGCTGTTTTCGACGCCATTTTGGACATCCCTGTCACCCAGACGCTTCGCCAGACCCTGTCGATTGCCCCAGAAGTCCGTGCTCAATTCCGCGAAGCCACTAGTTTCCGTCGTCCCCCTGCCAAGACTGGCGAGGCAGTGCCTCAATTCCTGCATCCTGTCACTGATAGCACGCCCTACGACCTTCCATATGCTCAGGACGACTCAGATTTGGTCGAAAAGATGCTTCAGCAGCAACGAAACGAAGATGCACGCCTTGCTTTGGCTGCGGAGCATTTTCCAGTCGCCTACAGTCAGACATTGCCCCCAGACGCTTGGGTGGTCCCAGATAAATTCGCCGTCTACTACGATCAGACTGGAAGGTTGCCAGAAAATCTAGTTGTGGCTGCCGAGTCCCTGGCCATCCGCTCGATCCTCCCAGTGATTGACAACCAGCAGCAGGTGGAATGCATCGTCGACAGTGGTTCGCAGATTATTTCGATGTCCCAGGCAACCTGTCACGAGTTGGGACTTGCGTACGACCCTCGAATTGTTCTACAAATGCAATCTGCCAATGGAACAATCACCCCGTCGCTTGGACTAGCCCGAAACGTCCCGGTTCGCATTGGGGACATCACATTGTACCTACAGATGCACATTCTCCGTGACGCTGCCTACGACGTGCTCCTGGGACGACCATTCGACGTTCTGACGGAAAGCGTCATTCGAAACTTTTCCAACACGGATCAAACACTCACAATCACCGATCCCAACACGGGAAAGACGGCTACTGTGCCTACTGTGCCCCGTGGATCTCCCCGTGCCCGTGCAGAGGGTTTTCGCAGCTCGAGGATTTGATTCCTGATCAAGGAGAGTACGCCTTTGTGATCGAGGCCAGCCCAGATCAACCAGAACGCTACGTATTTTCGTCCTATGCCCCCATTTCTCTCACAGACTCTCTTGCGCACATACAACATACTTATCTCTCTGCCTGTAGCAATTTATCCGCACACAGTTCGACTATTTCTCTTGCACATACAGTCGTTCAACCGGCGTTTTCCTCAGCGACCCAGGATTCAACTCCTGGTTCAAAATTCGTTCCCATATTTTCTTTGAACTCGTCTCGTACCTATCCTACTGCTACGTCTCCTTCATCTCAATTCTACCCGTCCACGTCACAATTTGCTAACAAAAAGTACAAGCCAGTGGCCAGGAAAATTCGGCCTGTTCTTGGATCTGTCCCAGACGAATTCCGCATCGAGCGCCAGATCCTAGGCGACCCACTCGCAGATCTACCATATCTGGATCCTATTCCGCCTCCTTTTGTGCCGACTGGACGCTACACCGCCGAACGCAAGGCTGCTCTTGACGAAGCACACCGCGGTGACTTCCTGTGGCCTGCTGAGAGAGATTTAATGCACCAGTTCATGTGCCTTCACCAAGGAGCCTTTGCATGGCAAGAATCAGAACGAGGACATTTTCGAACCGATTTCTTTCCCCCTGTCAATATCCCAGTCATGCCGCACACACCGTGGGTCCAGCGCAATATCCCCATTCCCCCTGGGATCTACGATCAAGTCTGCGACCTCATACGCTCGAAAATCGCTGCTGGAGTGTACGAACCGTCCAATTCATCCTATCGATCCCGTTGGTTCTGTGTGGTGAAGAAAGATGGCACCAGCCTTCGTTTGGTTCATTCCCTGGAGCCACTCAACGCCGTCACAATTCAGCACTCAGGCGTCACGCCGTTCACTGAGCAGCTGGCTGAGCATTTTGCAGGACGAGCCTGTGGTGCCATGCTGGATTTATATGTTGGATATGACGAACGGTTGCTTGCGCCAGCCTCCCGCGACTATACAACGTTCCAGACGCCCTATGGAGCTCTCAGACTTGTTACCCTGCCCATGGGATGGACGAATTCAGTCCCCATCTTCCACGACGACGTCACCTACATCCTCCAGCCCGAAATCCCGGAATTTACTTGGCCATACATCGACGACGTCCCGGGCCGTGGCCCCAAATCGAGATATCAGCTAGAAGATGGATCATTTGAGACGATCCCTGAGAATCCAGGGATTCGCCGGTTCGTTTGGGAACATTTTGGAAATCTGAATCGAATCGTTCAGAGGATGAAGTACTGCGGAGGGACATTCTCTGGCCTCAAGCTCACACTCTGCGCCGAAACCATCACAGTTGTTGGACATGTCTGCACACTGGCTGGACGAATCCCTGATGAGAAGAGAGTCGACAAAATCGCAAATTGGGGACCCTGCAAGACGCTCTCAGAAGTCCGTGCATTTCTGGGCACCATAGGAGTCTGCCGTGCATTTATTTCGAATTTTGCGCATCGTGCCCACGCCCTGACACTTCTAACACGAAAGGATATGCCATTCCACTTCGGTACTGCACAGATCGCTGCCCAAGACGACCTGAAGCACGCATTATTGAGCTGCCCTGCGCTCCGGCCAATCGACTATTCATCTGGGGACCCAGTTATCTTATCCGTGGACACCTCTCAGATCGCCGTTGGTTTCCTGCTTGCCCAGTGCGATCCAAACACTCCCAGTCGACGTTTCTATGCCCGGTTTGGCTCAATCACGCTTAACGATCGAGAAGCTCGATTTTCACAGCCCAAGCTAGAGCTGTATGGATTATTCCGCGCCCTTCGTTCATGGAAGCTCCACCTGATCGGTCTACGAAATCTAGTGGTTGAAGTCGATGCTAGGTACATCAAGGGTATGCTACGGAACCCCGATCTTTCGCCCTCAGCCAGTATCAACCGCTGGATCCTGGCGATCTTAACCTTCCATTTCGAGCTAGTACATGTCCCTGGCGTCAAACACGGCCCGGATGGATTGTCCAGACGACCCGCACAGCCTGGAGACGAGTTAGAGCATGAGGACGACGGTTTTGATGACTGGATCGACGAGGTGCACGGTTTTATGCACATAATCAATGACTTACCCTTCGTTTCACGACGCCAATCCACGATCCACTCATTTTCCGCCGAAATTGCACCCACCGAGTCCACAACACCGCCTACACTGAGCTACGATCAGGTACCTCGCTCAGAAGCAGCTCGACTCGCCGATCATCGTGTAGATCTGGTTCAGGGATGGCTTGAGACGCTACGACGCCCACGGGACATGTCTGAACAGCAATATCAGGCATTTATTCGGTTTAGCATGGAATTCTACCTCGAAAATCGAAAGCTTTGGCGCAAGGACGCACACGGACGCCACAAGCTAGTCGTTCCCTCCCACCGTCGAATATTCATCCTGCGATCTGCCCACGACGACGTTGGTCACAAGGGATTCCACGCAACGAAGGCTTTACTCACGGAACGATTCTGGTGGCCATTCCTTGCACACGACGTCACCTGGTACCTACGCACCTGCCACCTATGTCAGATTCGACAGACAAAGAAGCTCCTTATCCCCCCTACCGTCGCGGTCCCGGCCCCACTGTTTTCGAAAATTCATATGGACACTATGCACATGCCGCCAAGCGCTGGATTCCGCTACATTGTGCAAGGACGATGCTCGATTTCGCTTTTTCCTGAGTTCCGCATGCTGCGCCGTGAGACAGCGACCACCCTGGGCGAATGGATCTTCCAGGACTTGATCTGCAGATGGGGGACGCTCACAGAAATCGTGTCAGACAACGGCGCACCGTTTGTGAAGGCATTGGCGTACCTGGAAGCTAAGTATCACGTCCGTCATGTGCGCATTTCGGGATACAACTCACGCGCAAATGGGCTGATTGAAAATCCACATTTCGACATCCGCGAGGCGCTCTTCAAGGCTGTAGATGGGGAGCAGAAGAACTGGAGTTCTGCTGCTTATTCGGTCTTCTGGGCGGACCGTGTCACTGTCCGTCGTCGCATGGGCTGCTCACCCTATTTTGCGGTCACTGGAACGCATCCATTAATTCCCCTCGATTTATCAGAAGCCACATACCTGCTCCCGCCGCCCGAAACCGTCCTTTCGACCACGGATCTCATTGCACGACGCGCCATTGCGCTCCAGAAACGCCGAAGCGATCTAGAAGCCCTACACTCTCGAGTTTATCAAGCACGACTGCGTGACGCTGCACGCTTCGAGATCGAGCACGCCGCCACGATCTGCGACTTCAACTTCAAGCAGGGCGACCTGGTTTTGATGAGGAACACGGCCATCGAGAAGTCCCTCAATATGAAGATGCGCAAACGCTATTTGGGCCCATTAGTCGTCATTTCGCGCAACAAGGGAGGCGCCTACATCCTGTGTGAGCTAGACGGCTCAGTTTTCCATCGTCCCATCGCCGCTTTTCGTGTTATACCTTATTTTGCACGCACAACGATCCCCCTCCCTCCCCTGGACGATTTCCTCGATATCTCAACCGAGAAACTGCGCGAGCTCGAGCAGTCAACATTGGTGGACCCAGAAACAGATCAGGAAGAGGAGGAGAGCTGTGAAGAGTTGTAGAAGAGTTAGAGAACGCGTTTCAGTCAGGAGGATGCACCTGCACAGCTGAGCACCCTCTCCTTTCGACTTTGCTGCCCATTCCTTTCCCCCCAAGTCGCATCCTTTGATTCATCATTGTCTTGCGCAGCTCCAAGGAGCTAAGGCTATGATGATCTACTGAGCCTTTATCTTCACATTTCTATTCCTCAAGACACTTGTCCGCTATTCTATGACCGAGGACGGTCATTTTTTCAGTCAGGAGGAGATGACGGACTGGCCTATCTATCCGACAAGTCCTGACGTGTGGCAGTGCATGTCAATCAGCAATCAGTGGGCGCACGCTTCGCACACAACTGAGGGTCTCCTCAATATTCCTCAGCCCTGGCTATTCACTGGTTCGTCCAGCCCTGCATATATTTTTGATATTCACATCCCTGGACTGCTGTCTGCACATTTATCTCTACACCCCTGCCTTTCTTACTTCACCATCCACTTGTACCTGTTTTTCCCCTCTCACTTCCCTGGTTCCTCTGTTCACCGTCCCTTGCTCCATCCTGTCGATATTTCACCCACTCTGATGATTATTTCATTGTCTCACATACAAAAGCTTGTAGTTGGACAAAAGAAAAATAGATTTATTCTCCTCATAGTCTTGAGTTCAGTTCTTGTCTTCAGCTCGTTTCTACTTGGGTATTTCGACCCTCTGCTTCGTCGCATCCGTCCCACGCCGCCCTCGACTTCGTCCCACGTCTAAAATCATCATTTCTTACTGCCTGCCACGGCACTGAATCTTGTGGACCTCCTCGCACATCACACTTATTCCTGCACTGTTTTAGGTCGTAGCTGACCCCCATTTTGTGTTAGCTTGCGCCTATTCCGTCCGCAGGCATGTCACCGAGATCGTGTATATGTGTGCAGAATCGTTCATGTCTTTAATCAAAACAAGTACAGAAAATTGTCCATAGTCCAGACGCTCCACCTCCTTGGCGAGAGGAGTGGAGTGCTTCAAAAACCCTTCTCGCGCAGCTTCTCGGTGATCTCCTTGAGGAACTCATTGTCCTTGTCCCCGTTCTTGATCTCTTCCAGCATTGTGGCCCGATTGAAGAACGTGTGCTTCTTCCTCGGTTCCGGACAGTTCCGTGCGATGTGCCTAGGCTGCTGACAGTTGCAGCAAATGATATTGCGGCCCCGGGTATGAGTGAGATCAATTTCCATTGGAACCGGTTTGTTGGCAGCGGGTCAGATCGGAGCAGGTGCAGGTGCTGCTGGAGTGGCTTGAGGACGGAATTGGGGAGGTGGTCGTGGCATGGAGTGCCCGTGCGATGCTTTGCGCAGCTGATTGCACAGAGCGTTTGCCTCGATGTTGACACACCAGTCCTTGAAGGCACCATACGCCTTGGGTAAGGGGACACCGGTGTTGTAGAGGCGACTTGCAATCTCGCTGCTCAACCCACGCTCGAGGAATTCGATGAGGATGTTGTCCTGATCCCCCTTCTTGTACTCGCCCTTCGAATTGGTGGAGGTGACCACATTGTAGCCTGCGTCCGCAGCCAGCATGTCAAAGTCGGAGATATAATCCGCAAAGGATTGCCTATTCTGGCGCAGAGCCATGAGTCGAGCAGCGGCAACTTGTTCCACGTTGGAGTCTCCAAAGGCCCTCTGAAGCTCCTCCAAGAAGGACATCGAGGTGACCCCAGCCTTCAGTCCATTGAGGCTTTCGAAGTTGCGCTGTTTCCAGTTCATTGCCCATCTCGAGGCGGCGCAGCTTGTGCCAGCCTCATTGCGGAGGTACGAGAGGATGAAGAGGATTTTTGTCTCATCCTGCGAGAATTCTGACCGATAGGCACCAATGTAGGTGGTGCACGAGTCCACGAAGCCCATATATTTGGACTTGTCCCCATCAAAGTAGGGGGGTTGGCGGCGAGGGTGATGCGCTGGTGTCCTGACATAGTAGGCGGGGGTGAGGGTGGCTGTTCGGAGGGCAACTCATCGAGGTCAGGGATCTCGTCTTCAGGCGGCGGGAGGGCAAGGTAGGGGTTGGAGGGCCCCGGTTGGTTTTGATACGCCAGATCGGGCGACAATTGTAGGATGGGGGGAGGAGACGGACTCCCACACAACAATGGGAATTGGAACGAAATGGTGGATTTGTGTGCTGTACAAGCACTTGAGGGAGGGTTCTTTTGCTAGCAAAAAGATCCCGGGCCTAGCTCTTCACGTGCCCAATGATCCTGAGGTGCGTTTCCTGAAGGTCTCCGCAGGACTCCTTGTAGCTACCATAAGGCTTGGGTCGGGCTCAATGTTACCCGTGGCCTGGTGCTGATTGCTCAAGACGAACCCTTCACTGCAATTGCAGAGAATGACTAGATGATTCGGTAAAAGGGTGAGTTGGTCGATAAGGGTTTAAGAGGATATAGCGGGCGTATTTCTTCAACTTCCCACTCCTTGCCGGGCCCTTGGCCCATGATCGACGGACACGTTGTTGCTATGTCAGATGTGTCAAGCCAAACTCGATCTCTGACCTTGATGTCAGGAGCTGGGGTCCTCCGTTGATCGCAGTACTGCTTGTACTCCTCCTTTGCCTTCACCAGCGCAGACTTGGCTTTGGCCACCCCGGAAGTGATTCAGTCGCAGAACCTGTTTGCCGATTTGCTCACAGCCGAGTACAGCCCATTCGGCTCAAATGTCAGGGGACGCCGCGCTCCTCGGGCACGTGACCATGCACGTGACCCACTGTGCCCTCTCTGCCAACCCGTTGAAATGCTGAGGGTGTGCTCACAAGTGAATCTACTATGAAAGTAAACCCAAATATAAACACGTTCACACTCCTCGTAATCAGCTTCTCAGTGTGTGAAAGATGCGAGGGCTTCGGGGTGGACAGAACACCAGTATCACAACTCTCAATAGACGCAGATCAATAGTCGCGGAAGACGAAGTCGACGACAAGAATTTATATATAGTAAACAATGGTGTCTCAACCAATATCTTCTATACGAACACAACCAACACTAATCCAATCCACAACCAACGATATAACAAGTCAGAACTTAATATGGAGTATTAAGATCCCTTGTAGCGACAGCGTCTAGATGGTGACGCAAAACCCAAATACCGAGTCAACGCACTGCCAACCGATACAACCAATATACTGAGTCGATGCACTGCCAACTAGTGGAACCAAAATGTCAAGTCGACGCACTGCCAACTGACACAACCAAAAGTACTGAGTCGACGCACTGCCAACTAGTAAACCAAAATGCCGCGTCGATGCACTGCCAACTAACAGCCAATATCCAATGTCCAAAACCCGAGCACAACTTGTCGACGCACTGCCAAGCAAGAGGTGTGGAACCAAAGTTCTCAAGTCGACGCACTGCCAACTGACCAAAACAACCCGAGCACAACTAGTCAACGCACTGCCAAGCTAGAGGTGTGGAACGATCTCAACAAAGCCCGAAGGCGACAACACTAAATGCCGCGACTCAACCAGATGCGGCAAATCCGACTTTCTGATGTCTCAACTCAAATTCAAATCACAGTAGCTACAAGTGCTCAGGGAGCAACTCGTCGCGACCGGGCAGGGGTAGCAGAATTTCTTAGGGTGGAATCACGCGGCACGCAAATTGTACAAAACAATCTGAAATGAGAGTGATTCACAGTCCGGGAAAAGCTTTTCCTTTACAAAGAAACGACGTGCTACTTATACTGTCTACGACGATGCTTAGTAAAGTCCTGTACAACTGCATAGTAGCTACGCTATCTAAGATCGGTTGCCTTTTAGGGTAATTGAAAAGTTGAACGATCGGACAGGTCCTGAGTGATCAGGACCCCGCCCCATTGTCCATATGATACTTTTGATGTGGGCCAACTCACCGCGTCATACTTTTGGAATACGACGTGCTGGATTGGCCAACGGGTATGTCTTGGCAGGTGAGACCAACGTGGGCGTCCCAAGAAGCTGTATGGCCCTAGGCACGCCAGTCGTCCCCCACATGGCTCGGTTCACGGATCTAGCCGTGTCGATTTCTAGTGTGTTTGGGTATGGACGCGACTCGCCGTGACACTTGGGAGTGTCACCGCGACGCGTCCACAATGTCCCGTGATCGAATGGATCCTGACATGTGACAAGTCGTCGCCGTGGCATGATCTGAGGAAACGTCCAACCCAAAACCGGGAGTTGCCGCGACAAGATGGTTTAAGTCTCGTAACGCCAAGTCCTGTCCAGTAGTAGTTCTATTATTGAGAACGTCGCGCATGGCTCAGCCCTTCAGCCCAAGTTCCCATCTGCAGAGAATGACCCTTTTTGAGAAGTCGACGCAACGACAGATCCCTTTTTGGGGAATGGTCGCGGTCCAAGCGTTCGTCACTAATGGCCCTGAGCCTGGTATAGACTCATAAGACCAGTTCCACAGTAGTGGTCTGACTGCCTTGCTATCGTCGACACTATCCACAGTTGTTGACTGGGCAGTAGACCCTTAAGTCCTACTGAGCGCGACACTGTCACCCGTGACACGATACACTGAATGGTTCGAGAGTAAACTCTGTAAAAGCGCAAAAATACGCCCTTACAGAGCTGGTGCAGAGCGCGTCTGGTAGCCAGCCTATCACCGTGCCTGCTCACCTGTCAATCACCCAGCCTCCTCCTCCTCCTCCAATATTCATCTCCATCCATGCCGACATCCGCCCTCTTCCTCCTTCCCCCGGCCATCTCTCTCAAATCCCCGCAAGCGGTCTAGCCAAGCCCAATTCCTTGCACCAGGGAGTGCTACTGCCGTACGCACTCCTCCCCCTCTACTTCGGCCTTCTTCCCGCGGATGTGGTCTACTGCCATACAGGCTCGTACCAGATGCCTTTGCGCTCATCCACACCACCCCTCTTCCCAGTCGGGCATTGGTCCTTGCCTCCAATGTCTCCACTGGCCGGCCCGGCACTGGCCTGGCCACTGGGCTCCTCCAGTGTGGCCTTCCACTGTTGGTGTCTCAGGAGCTGGCTGTCACTGGCCCCTCTGAGCCACTCACTATCTTATCTGGGTTTGTCATCATCTACTCATCATCTGCCATTGTTCCATGGCAGTGATATCCCATCATCATCAGTCACTTGTCACAGCTGACTATATAGTGTGACACCTGGGCACATGGATCCTTGAACTGTTCTCTAAGGATCCCCCTCTGTGCTCAGGTGAGTACTATACCTCCCTTGTATTTGATAGTCTCTAAGGATCCCCCTCTGTGCTCAGACTAATGTGAGGTTGTTGTGTGCTGTGTGCTCTCTTCCTTCGGGCTGGCAGGAGTTGCCCTTACAAGCAACTTCTCAGTGGATAGGCCGTCCTGGCCCTTTTTTTCTGCTCTGGGAGGTTGTGGAGGCAGTAGCCCATTTCTGTAGTACTGTCCCATTTTTCCATGTATGTGACAATCAACAGAAAATACAATCGAAAAGACAAGTCAATTCCAAGACTGGAGAATACAACACAATGGCTACTGTCTTTCTACTAAGTCCAGTCTGAGTCTTATATACATGAAACAAGTCATCTGACTATGTACCGTGTGGAGCCTTGGTCATGGGTTGTAGTATAGACTTCTAGAGCATACGCCGTGCAACCTTGTACGGATAACCCCCTTGAACCCTAAACCCGGACCGTGTGGTGCCGTGATCCATGATAAGATAGTCCCATGTCAATGATAAGATAAGGTGATTGATGGAATGATTGTGAAAAATGATTGAATCATGACAATGTAGGCACCAGTTTCTCATGCTTGATCCCACATCAATATATATATACCTTCTTCCCATGCACTTGAGGAGTGCAAGCATGCTCAAATCCCAAATTCTGAGCGCCCAGTAGTCAACCATTTTGAGAGCACAAATTACACAGTTTTGTGAGCTAATACATGGTCTGGGGTATGGAATTAACTGCCACAGCCTATAATATTATCCAGGCCAATGTCCAGCCTACCATGCAGGTAGTAGACAAATGGCCAGGCAGCATCCCAATTAGGAAAGCACCTCCAGGATGGCCTCTGATCAGGGGGGTAGGGGGTGGTTTGATGGCCTCCGGAAGGGGGCCTGGAAGCCATTTTACGTCATAATTGGAGGTTGCTGGGGCGCATAGCTTAGGGCTTTAGATACATGTACATGTGTGGGGTGCATGTTCAATGTGTATTGATTGTTCCCTCCTTCATTATGTACTAGTACCATTTATTTTCAAACAATTGCCCTAAAATGTGTTGTGCGTGCACGAAACGGCGAGGAAGTGGCTGGACAGGGACGCGTCTTGCACAGCCCTGAGGTGCTGCAGCACTGCATTGGTACGGCATCAGCCCGGGTCTTCCCAATCAAGGATTGGTCCTGTAGGACTGGAATTGCTCTCAAATAGTACTGTCTGAATCAATCACGCGTAATCGAAAACTGAGAAATAGGACTGGGATAACGGTCCTAGTGCTACAGTTTTTGTTACTCCTCATTTTTTATTTTGGATTTCCAACCCCGGGATTTGAACCTGTGACAGCGACGTGACGTGACGCTACCATCAGCGTAGTCACCCGTGCTGGCACCAAATGCCGCATCCCTTACGCTCCAATAATCCTACGCGGCAAAGCTTGGGGGTTCTGCAAGGGTCAGCCCAACAACAAAGCTTAGACGAAGTGGTTGCGTTCTGACGGTTCTTGCTCTCTTATCACAGCAATCATGATCGGTTTGACAGATCTTGGATCACCCCCGCGATCAGTCCCACTTTCCTGGTACAGACTCCGCTCCTTTAGGAACAACAAGTAAGTGCGCATTGAACCATTTGGCGAGCAAGCCCCCCGCTGCCATCCATGGTAATCGAATTCACACGTTTCGAACTCATCTTATCGTCAGTTGGCATGCACAAGAAAGCCACAGTGATTTTTGCGTGGTTAAACGGCCTGAAACGGTCATTTTTTATGACACCCGGATCCCGTACCTGTTGAAAAGCATAGTGAATGAGAAGTTCGGTCAGTCATCTTTTTTACTCGGCGGGCCGCTGAAGTTCTCACCGTCTGTTGCAGCTGCAAGCTCCAAAAACTATATAAGCTATAGTTGTGTGGTGTCCCTATCAACAAGTTACTATCTCTTGAGCGACAGCGCAAGATGATTCACACCGTTCTCGTCCCAATCATCTGCACTATCCTCTCTTATGTCGTTTTTCACTTCGCTCGGACCCTCTACCTCACCTGGACATCGTCATTGAAATTCATCGACGGTCCGCCGTCGTCGAATTTGATCTTCGGCCACTCGATCGTTTTCTCTGTGAGGATGTGCTTATTTCTCTTCCATATCCTGACTCAATCAATCTCGAGGACGTGCCAGAGACGGGGAACCAGTGGCGGAAACGTTACGGTCCGACCTTGATGGCCAAGGGCATGTTTGGGGTATGCGCATCTGCAAGTCATTGTGTACAAGACGGTTTCTAACACACGCGCGCAGGTAAACGATCTACACACAACCGACGTCAAAGCTGTCGCACATATTCTCAGCCACGGCTTGCTATACTCGAGAACGCCCGAGTTTATTTCAAGTCTGAGTCGTGTCCTCGGTGATGGAATCTTATCGGTCGATCTGAATCCGCATAGACGTCAGGTAAGCTACAGCAGTTGAACACAATCTCTGTTGCTGAAACCTTAATCCCTACAGCGCAAGATTCTTGTATGTCTGCGGATCTATAGTCGATTTTGTCTGAGCGCTTTCCCCAGCACCCCGCTTTCAGCGTCCAGCAAATTCGGTTAATGAACGAGGTGTTTTTAGAACAGGCACTCGTGGTAATTTCTTGTTGCTTGTCCTGTCCAGGAAGCTACTGATGTTCACAGCTGCGAGATTTTTTGGCGTCGGATGTCCGGAAAGCCGGCGGGGCCGCAACCATCAACCTCGCTGAAATGTTTCGTCAAGTAACATTGGATATTATGGGACAAACCGGTGTGTACTAATCTTCTCTAGTTCCTGAATCTTACAAACACCTCTTCGGTCAGGTTTCGGATACAAATTCAACTCACTCGAATCAGGCGGCAAGAATGAAGGAGATCTGAGCAAGGCCTTCCGCATGTTGTTCCATGTCCCCAACGCCAACCTGTATCTTGCTGTGCAGCTTGCTCAGGCAGCCGTTCCGGTCCTCAAGTTCCTGGTGCGTTGCAGCGAGGTTCAATGGAATGCAAGTCCTTGCTCATGGAATAACTCTCAGCCGCTGCCCGGCTGGCGCACTACGCAGTTTGCAATCAATACTATGCGTGCGGTTGGAACAAATCTCCTACAGAAGGCGAAGACGGACGCGCAGACATTGGGAGAGAAGGAATTGGGATCGGGGCGGGATCTGCTCTCCATCCTGGTCAAGGCAAACATGTCCGCGGAAATCCCGGAGAGCCAACGACTGAGCGATAGCGAGGTCATAGCCCGTATGTTATCGCCGCGGAGACGAACTGGGGCTGACCGGTAACACCCCAGAAATCCCGACGTTTCTCCTGGCCGGGCATGAGACCAGCAGTGTCGCGCTGGGATGGGCCGTCCATGAGTTGTCGCACCATTCCGCTGTGCAAGACAAGCTTCGCAAGGAGGTCCTGTCCGTTCAGACCGACACCCCGACCATGGATGAGCTGAACGCGCTGCCATTCTTCGAAGCTGTGCTGAAGGAGACACTGCGCTTGCACGCCCCGGTGGCCTACGTTCAGCGCATGGCCCTACAGGACGATGTGCTGCCGCTCAACAAGCCTTATGTTGACCGGTGGGGGGTATCTCACGAGACTCTCCCGTGAGTTTCCCTCACTGTGCTACAAGGAACGGTGTCACTGATGAAGGACAGCATCGCCAAAGGACAACTGTTCACCATCCCGATACTGGCCATTAATACCGACAAAGAGATTTGGGGCGAGGATGCCCTCGAGTTCAAGTCTGTGTTTCCTTCTATCTTCTAGATCGCGATTTGATGGTTTTGTATTTCCTCCTTGGATAGCCCCGACCGGTGGACTAATCTCCCCGATGCCGTGCAATCTGTTCCGGGAGTTTGGGGCAATCAGCTTACATTCCTCGCCGGCGTTCACAGTTGCATTGGGATCCGATTTTCCTTGGTTGAGTAAGTCCAGTCATTCCGGACCGCCGCACTACGAGTACAGTTTGCTTAATATGTGACTACAGACAAAAGGCAATCCTATTCAGTCTCCTCCGCTCTTTCGAGTTCTTTCCCGGCAAGGAGCCCGTAAGCTCCGTGATGTCCGCGCAGCTGCAGCGGCCATTTTCGTTCGTTTCCGATGGAAAGGGTGGTCGTGTGTCGACGGGTGAACTGTCTCTTGTGGTGAAAGCCTATCAGGGTTCTTCCATTTGATTTTCAGTAGTTGCTACTCAAGCGGGCTCGTTGATATCTGCGATTTGTGTATGATGGAGCGTTCTAGGAATCTTGTTCGCATCTTAACTGCCCTCAGTTGAGTATCTCCCGAAGCCCTTCTATTTTCGGTGGTAGTACTCTTCGCCCTGCGTGCCGTTCGGAGATGCCCTTACCTTCGTACTGCTGCATCGTGAAGGATGTGTGATGCGAACGCAGGGACGTGGTTTATCTGGCTGACCCACGTGACACCGAAGCACAACCCGGATCCTCGGATTCCTCCGCGCGATCATCATGATCATGTTGTGGTGTTGACCGCGATCACATGAGTGAGAGACACGTGACCGGAGCCGGCAGTCATCGTTTACCGTGCAAGAATAATCTACTCCTCGCTTCCGCCCCAGAGTTGGCAAAATCCAAGCGCGCAATCATGGGCGGTGCTTCAACTCTTTATCGTGTTTGGGCGTAGGATGCAGTGCATCTCAAGACGGAAACAGTGATATAGGAGCTCTAGGCTTCCGTCCATCGCCTGAGACCTGGAGTTGGGGCAGCGGTGCGACTACGTCAGCGGTGGTGCGAAGGGACGGATATCACCGAGAATCCAGTGCTCTTCCCTGCGCCAGGTGTAAAGCGTTGCTGATCTGGAACAGCCACTCCCTGCCTGATTCATGCCACCTCTACTGGACCAGACTGGACCATAAGGACCGGTCGAGGTTCCTCCGAACGGCTGTACGCGCAAAGGCATATTATACTGGCTTTGATTCGGTTCCCGAGTTGATGATGGACGGGGAAGCTGCTCGCTGCGTAGAATTCTATGTGCAGCACCGGCGCTACATAGGCCAGAGCCTCGGTTCGTGACATCCCCGTTCTTGGCGAGTTTGTATCGACACATGTCTCCTTCGCGCTTGCAATGGTGACGGGCAGCATGTTGCGCCACTCGCTCGATCTTTTCGCTAGCGCGACGATCGCAGCGTCGGGGATGGCACGTGCAAGTACCAGGTCTGGAGCATCCTCGTCGATTCGAACGTGGACCTCATTCCGACCTTCCCCTTGACGACTTGCTGACGACAGATCAAAATGACCTATTCCTGTCCGTCCCTACACTCTGTTCGGGCTGCCGCATCCGAACGGAGAGATCCATGTTGTCAATTCGTAACTGCGCGAAGATCATCTCCCGTCGTAGCCATGATAACATCTTTGCCTCGGCGCCATTTCTGTGTTCGATATATCGACCTAGGCTCGCGCAGCGTTCGCTCTTGTATATCTTGAGGGTGATCAATCCCGTTCCTAGACCAGGTTCTCGTCGGTTGCAATTTCTGGCTGTGGATAATGCGCCTTACGTTCTTTGCTGTGCATTCTGTCTGTTTTCGCGTCATGTATTCGGGCTGCAGCTCAACACCAATCCCACGACCTTGAAGCTCAAACACATGCACGCCGTTGAAACCACTTCGACTGTCTTGACTTTCCCTTGCCGGTGTGATCATACCGTTGCGCCATGTGATGTGTCTGTCGTAAGAAACACCGGCATCCAGCGTTGACATGTTCACCTCATACAGCGCTAAGATCGAGACAGATTTGCGGCAAACCACAATAGTTAGATTCATCGCAGTATAAACAACGGAGAGAAAACATGCAGTCGACAGAGCCTTGGGATTGGATCGAGGACAAGGTGGCTGTGGGCTTGTTAAATCCTCCGAACTACTCCCTGGCGACCCTGACTTCCGTTTCCAGTAAATGCACCCTTTGGCCCATCGGCAAAGTAGTTTAGCAGAGTGAGAAGAAGCTCGTGGGGGCTAATCGGCACACATGCATATCCCCCAGCCCCGTGCCACTCCTGGTGAATTGATGATCTATCTCGATCTCAAAAATTACGAGCTGGACTTGAGCTAGACAAGATCGCATTGTGAAACAAACGAAGTTTCTTCGTCATCTCCGTGAGTCAACTGCTCACATTATGTCAAATCGGACACAATGACGCCAGTCAGCAGAACGCCGAAGGTCCCAAGCTAAGAGAGAATGCGTAATGAATTAAGCGCACAGAAGAAGCGGGTGTGGTTCCTTCGAATGTGTGGGCGCTGTGTTCATGAATGTCTGGCGAGGTTCCAGTCCAGCAAGCACGGGTTGACCCCATTCAGACCGTGGTGGTGTCCATGATACTGGGTCGCAGAACTGTTCAGAATCCGAGGTCCACGCTTCTGGTCGTGGTCCAATATAGTGATCCGCACCTCATCAGAATCATTCAAGATCGTCTTAGTGACCCACACGTTCTTCGGTCTGATCTGACGCACGATCCGCTGTGCTTCTCAAGCGTCTTCAGCGTCAGAGAAGTGTTTCTGGACAGGCAGTTCCGTGATCGTTGGCTTGACATCGCAATCTTGTTGACACTCTCGTACTCTCCAGTTGTGGGGCACAGGAGAGGGTGAGCAATCGATCTCGTGGTGCAATTCATTTCTCCCGCCGTTCCTGAAACTCGCAGCCTCACGTGCTTTGGCATTTGTGTTTTGCTTGTGGAAACGACTCACTGCCTCCGTCGACTCGGACTGACTCCGTCCCAGAAAGCCACGATGCAACCCGGTGTGATCAGCATGAGTTCCATATGACATCGTTCGCTTGCAATTCGATTGTACGAAACCCTCTGCGAGATCTACCAATCTGGTCCAAATTCCGCATGCTGCACGGAGATCTGCAGAAATAGGAATTCGGCCAGGCCAATACCCCGGCAGAGTGTCAAAAAGAAGGACGATACTGACAGCGGCCGACGCTCGCGTGGGAAAGAGAACTGGAGGCTTATTCATTGCGCTCCGCACCTCTAAGCAGGATCTTCGCCTGTCAGTTGGCGCTATCACCTTGGCGCTATCTAATCACGGCACCGTCGGTAGCACCTTTCACGTGCGAGCCTGATGTAACCGTCTCGGTCATAGTTTCTCGTATGAGTCAGGACCATCGGTCTCTCACATGGCCTAGGAGTCGGTTCCCCGACTGCTGCCTCAACGCGGAATAGTTCCAACGAGGCGCCAGGTTTGAATCCGAAATTCTGACAGTGACTTGCCTGGTTTCTGGCAGCGGATAAATCTCAAGGAAAGCGAGTGGGTGGATGCAAATTATGACAGGAAGAACTCTGGCGGGAATCCTCACCGTATCGGAACCCATCACGCCATGTCAGAGTACGAAATTCTTCGGCCAAGTGCTGTCCAGCGTCTTGTCCCGGTTCGTGGTGGCAAGGAGACCTCCATTTTGTCCCACGCCCCGGAAAAGATATTTAAGCTGATCTCAACACACCAAGGATCGCAAAAACAGGTAGCCAGCGAACTGCTGCTCTACCCCCTTCTCCGATGATTTCACCAACGCTCTCTACTCTGCTTCTTTTCGCTCTCGGTGCCCGCGGCACCCCGTCAGTCAAGCTCGGGAAAACGACCGTGGTCGGAACGACCCTGCCGACTTACGGACAAGAGCTCTTTGCAGGTGCGCAGTGTGCTCCCACTGATTTTCACTGCGACTGAAGAGGATCCCCTCAGGCATCCCGTATGCTGAGCCGCCCGTGGGACAGCTTCGGTTCGCGCCTCCTGTTCTGACGACGTCGTTGAACGGCTCCTCGTTCAATGCTACTCAATTCGGGCCGGCGTGTCTCCAGCCGACGGGTACCACAACCCCGCATGTAGGTGTTGAGCAACCTTGGCGAAGCCTGTCTCAATTTGCGCGTCCAGAGCTTGCCGGCAGACGGCCTAATCTCCGAAGATTGCTTGACCGTGAACGTGATTCGTCCTACGGGTGTCAATTCGACCTCGAATCTCCCTGTGGTATGTCCGCCGATACACTTTGCTACCTTAACTATGAACTGATCATCATGCTGCAGATGTTCTGGACGTGAGCACCCCTCCGACCACACCACCTGCCTGCGGCAAACGACTGATCTCTCTGTAGATACGGCGGTGGTTTTTTCAATGGTGCCTCCATTGTTTATAACGGCAGTGCCATCGTTGCTCAAAGTGTGGAAAGAGTAAGATTGTCGGGGTTGCTTTCGCGGATCAATTCTCATCAGTGTCATCCAGGGCACCCCCGTCATCTATGTCAATTTCAACTACCGACTTGGCCCTCTAGGCTGGCCTCAAGGCCAGGAAGCTATGGATATAGGAGTTGTGAACCTTGGGCTCAAAGACCAGCTGGCTGCTCTCGAATGGGTTCAGGAGAACATCGCCAAGTTCGGCGGTGACAAGCGCAAGGTCCTTGTCTTTGGAGAGAGCGCTGGGAGCATGATGACCTCGATGCAGTTCTTGAACTCCCGATTGGATAAATATGCTCGGGCAGCGGTGCGTGACTCGTCTGTACAGAGATCGGCGCATCGAAAAGTGCTGAGCGTATTACAGATATTACAATCTGGCTCGCAGGCATCACCGGGGTTGTTCGACGCCGCCCGGCGAGATAATATCTGGAGCCTCTTTGTTGGGGCGGTTCCTTCTTGTGCATCCCTTGCAGGCAGCAACTCGACTTTTTCGTGTCTCCGACAGAACGCCACCTCAGCGGAATTGCTGAGTGGATTCCTCGCGACGATGTCCCAAGCGAACGATCGCTTCCCCTGGGACCCAGTTATCGACGGTCCAGGTGGTCTAATTCCCGAACTCCCTTCGCTTATGCTGGCGAAAGGCGAGTTCTCTAAGCTTCCGTTCATTGCCGGGACCAACATGGACGAGGGTAAGTGAGAACGGCCCGATCTACAACAGGCCGATTCATCCCACTGTAGGAACGGTGTTCGCGAACGCGCAGCTCAATTCCACCGCTGAGATCAATGCCACTATGATCGCTGGCCGCTCGCCTTCGATTTCGCCTGCAGAGCTTCAAACTTCAATCCTCAGGATTCTCGAACTCTACCCTGACAATCCTTCGCTGGGTTTGTTTTAATCCTTCGACTGTTCAGCACCAAAATTTGACGAACTATCAAACTTCAGAATCGCCATATGGGACAGGCAACGATACCTTCGGTCTGAGCAGTCAGTACAAACGTTACGCAGCGATCGGTATGTTCCCCTGCTGCTTCGACTTGTTTCTACCTTGGTGAATATTCCCACAGATGGCGACATGGACTTCCACTCTCAGCGGCGGCTTTGGATCAACACGGCAGCCAATGCGAGTGTGCCTACTTACGGCTACCTGTTTACCCAGCCACAACCGCAGCAGGCTGCTCGACTCGGAGGTAAGCTCATGAATTTTACACTGCAGCATGAATACTTACGACGAGAGTTCTCCTTAGTCAGTCATGGGTCTGATATCGACTACATTCTTGGGAAGCCCACGGATCAATCGGCCTCGTCCTTGTTGATCAGTCGTCTCATGATCGACTATTGGGTGTCTTTTGCGACGAGTCTTACCCCGAACGATGGGCTTGGGATCCAGCGTGCGGAATGGAAACAATTCACGCCAACCGCGAAGGTAAATCGTTGAGCAATGGTCAAAGTTTGAGTCTCATCAGTTCGATTCTCCCTAGTCTCTCCTCCAACTGAATGGTGACAATGTGACCATGATTCCTGACACGTATCGCGAGGGTAAGTGTTCTGTTCAGGTGAATCAATTGTTGTGATGTTGAATCTGTGCAGAGCAAATTGCATTTATCAACTCGAACCCACAGATTTGGCGTCATTGAGATCTTTCTTTTGTTTTGATATATATATATATATATATGACATGGTTGCTTTCTTTGAATGCACTTTTTTCTGCCATTCAATGTATTGAGAACTGGGAATTATGTCCGACTCTCAACTTTCTCCCAATGGAAAATTGCTTGAATGCGGGGGATCCCATTATGTTGACAAAACTAACTTTGCCCTCACTGTCATGGATTGTAGAGACTGCTTACTAAAAGACTCGACATCAATAAATAAGCAGATCTGATCTTATTTGATACTCTGTAAAGCAGAGTACTGTACCATTTCAACCGTATGTTCACCGGCTTAGTTTCCAGCCAGCCATTTGTCCACCGCCTGCATGGTAGGCTAGGCATCAACCTGGGTATTTATATGTGCTCTAGTAGTTAGTATCGAGGCCTGGACAATGTATTAGCTCACAAATACATGTATTTCTTGCTTGTAAATGGTGGACCACTTAAGGCTCCAACCATTTTGTTTTTGTTTACAGGTGGCCATAAAATAAACAGAAATGGTATTTAAACATTTATAAGCTGTTTAAACTGTTTAAAACAGTTGCTAAACGATCTTTTTTTGGCACAGAAATTGTATGCTGATGATGTACAAGTAATCTGCAAAGGTAATACAACAGACTA